AATGCTTTATTGTATTTAATATTTTAATAATTTCACAACACAAACAAAATGATCTTACATTTTGACAAAAGCAAAACTGACACTTTGTTTTATATTACCGCTTAAATGACCACAGATTATATTTGATTATTTTTGCTTTTTCTGTTGGTAAAATATTACTATTAATAAATAAATAAATAAAAAGAAAAATATTATTTTCACTTTATAAATACATTTATGACTTTTTATTTGATTTATGTAAAATATATTGTTTTACAATTGTACATTTAGTAAAAAAAACCTTTTTTTTATCTGTGAATATTTTTAATTATTTATTTATTATTCGTCATATCTGGGTTAGGTTAGGTTAGAACATTTAAGATTATATATTTATTATTCCTCATATCTGGGTTAGGTTAGGTTAGAACATTTAAGATTATTTATTTATTATTCCTCATATCTGGGTTAGGTTAGGTTAGAATATTTAAGATTATTTATTTATTATTCCTCATATCTGGGTTAGGTTAGGTTAGAACATTTAAGATTATTTATTAATTATTCGTCATATCTTGGTTAGGTTAGGTTAGAACAGTTGCCACAACGCACGAGCCGAGCGAGCGAAGCGAGCGTGCCGCGGTAGCGGCCGGCGAGTGCCATAAATGACTAGAAAACTAGAAAATTCGAATTTCACGCAAAGTACAAATAAAGACAATCATCTGGAGATCATTTTGACAATTGAAAGTGACGTTTTGACTCCAAGTGTCTAAATGGTAGTAATGTCAAAATAATGTATGGAAATGTTATAACTTTAAGTCTCAATAACTTTTGACTCTTTTGTTGTATTAAAAAATTTATTTAACATTTCGACTCTCTATCACGTCCCTTATCCAGAAATACCACCCACTCCGCTAGGGGCCAAGTCCCCAATTCTAAATCGCCGCCGTAATTTCTTATTAGCGAGAACCTGAATACCTTAATTAGAAATATATTTCACAATTATTAAAATTTGTATTTATCTCAACTCGCTCACCTTAATACGTTACTCCGGCTTAGTTGATTATTCAATGTATTGACCATATACATACACCTAATATAAAAATCAATAAATACCTCTTGAGTAATGGATTTTCTCTTAAAATGAAACTTACAGTATTTTTTTATCCTTCTCCCGAAACAGTCGATATTCATTCCAATTTGGTGCACTAGGTAGAGCCATTTTGTGATGACATTTCTATTATGTCATAAATATTCCCCAAGAATCGCTGAAGTTCGTTGAACGGATTCTAGTATAACCTTTTTTGTAGGTTGCATCTTTAAGCGGAAATCGTGTAGAGTGCGATAGTTTAAATTTATTTATACTAAAGAGTATTCTAACAAGAAATTACATGGAAAAAAAGAATTATAAAACATAGTAAGACAATGCTGAAATAAAAAGAACTTTTTACTTTTATTTAGTAGTAGGGTGAAGTGGAGCCAAAGATTTGCTTCAGCACTATATACTTTGTGCGTCTTTGCAGACGTTTGTCAGCACACACTGACCTCGCAACGCGACACGCATTTGTCATCGATTACACAATTTTCTTTTTTTAATTTTAACTACGATATTACTCTGAGGGAATAAAAATAAAAATGTTCCCTTATTGAGGCCACGATTGTTTTCCAACATTAGATAGATAGATAGATAGATAGATAGATAAATACTTTATTGCACACACAAAAGAAGAGTACAGAAGATGAAGAGAAAAAAAATAACAAAGAGGCATGCAAAGATGGTCTTATTGCTACGAGCAATCTCTTACAGACAACCTTTGGTGAAAGGATTAGAAGAATCGTAGACGGGACGGTGCAATTAACATTAAATACAGACAAGATGAACTACATTTACAAACATGAATACATACATAAGGCAAAAATGTAATATATACATACATGTATAATATATACGTATACATATACATAAATACATAGTGTATACATATATATTCAAGAACTAACAAGACTGATAATAATTAGTTAGACGATGTTTAAATATATTTAGTGACTTTGAATGGCGAACATCATGGGGGAGCATTACCTATACCTTAGGTGTTGTATTGTCAGTAGGACAATCTTTCAGTCAGCAGGTTGAACCTACGACCTGTATCTAACTGTTTATAGTTCAAAATTAACGCGAACTAAGTTCAATGCTTAGTTAATGAAATAAAGGTTTACGACTATAATTTAAGAAAATAAAATTTATATTAATGCGCTTTTTAATATATGCGAAGTAATATGTAGGTATGTATATTTACATAATACATTGACAAACAAATTGCTATTAATATGTTTATCTTAGTGTTTAATCTTATTATAAATTTTAATTATGTAGGTTACAATGAGATAAAATGTTCAATTATTATTATTTTAATATATGTATGTTGTATATACAAGTTTGGATATGTCAACCTTTTTGTCCCTCTTTGTTCAAACATTTAGCAGTACCATTGGCAAAACATCACCAAATCACAAAAGTTTATGTAATACTAGCGATTCGCCTTCGCTTCGCTCGGGTTCGTCCATGGCTTGCTTCCCTATACAAACTTTCATCACCATTTTCACCCCCTTAAGGGATGATTTCCGTAATAAGAAGTATCCTATGTCCTTCCCAGGATCTCAAATTATCTTCTTACCAAATTTCATCTAAACCGGTTCAGTAGATCCAGAGATTACCCCCTACAACGTCACAAACTTACAATCTCACAAACTTTACCTCTTTATAATATTAGTATAGAGATAGTTGCAACTCGTCCTATCTTTTCTAAGCACGTGTAATATGAAATAAAAGTTAAAGCGACATCGTTAAAAACAAAGTCAAAAAGATGTGGAAAAAAGTCGTAAAACCTAGGTTTCCTTACTACGAGTACCTGAGTGACACTCGATTCTTCTGCGGATATTCCATACCGTTGCGAGCAGGCACTCTTAACGATCGGGTCGAATGGCCTCGTTCTGAGAACTCCGCGATCACTCGACGCTTTCGTTCCAACAAAAGTCCCAACATTCTTTCACCATAATTAGCTCGATGATGAATGACATTAACGTCATTACTTTCATCTTCCTAATGTGATTGTAGTGATTATAATGAATTATTATTTATATATAATTAGTTATGTTCGCGGTAATGATGTTTAAAATGAAATTAATCAATTATGTGCCAGTATTTCACCATGTGCGCTGCTTGAAATTATTTATAGTGCATGTACGCATGCATTTGTATATGTTTAAGCTTCTACAATCCCAAATCCTCAATCCCTTGTTCAGACCCACAAAAGGGCATCACGACGAGCGATATACCTAAATCTGCATGTATGTATGTGCGCGCTAATCTTGACAACTTTTAAACGAATTTGTTTTTGTTATATAATAATTAATAATAAATGCTCTTTTAGGAACAGTGTGGTGTATTTCAATTGATCTACTTATTGAAGTTCAACATTGACGGTACCAGCACTCTAGACTTGGTTTCTATATCAGCATGCACTTAGTGAAAGCAATATAATAACCTTTAGTAGTTTTCTAAACGAAAACCGAAAGCAAATTCATAATTTTACCACATATCTAACTTTAATATTTCAGCAGTTATCCTTATTTCTGTTAAAAAAAATCTTTTTCATATATAGATTGATATATTTAGATGCCTATTTGAAATACAAATATTACTCCTTATAAAAATAAACGAGTTTATCATTCATCATTCATCATCATCATCAAAAGTATTCAACAGACATACATTTCACCAGTTACAGAGTCAATCAGTATGTGATTTGATAATATTAAAGTTGAGGAGATAATGAAAAATGGAAATAACTTATGATATGAGTGTAAAGTTTTAGAATTAACTTCGTCTTAATATTTAAATTCCTGAAAAGTGTCAATGTTTGATTTATTTATATCCTAATATATTGTCATGTAATATTTTTTTTTATATATATAATTTTTTTATAATGCAATCTATCTGGCGATATTCAGCATTAGGCTGGTATGTGCAGGTCTTAGGCTTGTGCGAGATTGTTTATTAACAATATCGCTTCATTATTATGCGATCTACAACGTCACAATAATAGATCTTGTGGATTTTTGCGTTTGTAATAAAAATTAATAAAAATTTAATTAAAGATATTGTTTAACGCTTTAACGGTTGTAAAATAAAAGTGAGCGATATGCTGTAGTTGTCATTTATAGAGCCATTAGACGTTGGACAAAGAATAAGTGAATGTGTCTAAGAGTCATTCCGCGACAATTCTACACAGACGACCATAAATAAACTTTATCATGCTAAACCAGTTCACGTTGCACAGCAGTCTTAAAATACCACAAAGTCCTGAGAACAACCACTTACCAAACTAGTAAATTGTACGCAGTTGGCTTTAAGTAATTATAAGCTTCCACAATTGTTTATAATTATATTGTAACACAATTTCTTATCAGTCGTCTCGCGATTTACAAAAGAATATTTTTAAGGATAAAAATACTTTCTTCAAGCGGATATTACACCGGGGTCCTTGTGTTTAGTATTGACAGCTATATATTAACGATTCGATTGCCATCATAATTGCTTTAACCGTTAAATCTGTATTTTCGGTGGGAGGCGTATCCCGTGTGGGAGTGCGCAGCAAATGGGCTTCGTTTCATTACTATCAATTACGGCATATCAAGCGTTAGTGGCAAAGCCTCGCCAACGCAAAGGGTTGCGTGGGACAACGTGGAGTGCGTCTGTGCAAATATGTACGTACGTATTAGTTTTCAATATTTTACCGTGATGATATTTCTTTTGATGTATGATAACTCTTACTGTTTGTTTTGACGAGAACTAAATGACTCAGGTTCCATTTACTCTTTAAAAACTTTCATTCGGTAATGGTGAGTAATTAATGATTACCGTTCCCATTTTACAACTTAAATATTTTTACAGAATTAAAAAACAAATATATAGCTTCCTCTAAGTTACTGCCTTACCACTGAATAAAACAAGGTTATTATTTTACATGTTACATAAATACATTCTGTTCGAAACTACCACTCAAGCATATCCTTTCGTGTTTGAGTGTAGTCAGGCAACAGGATATTACGGCAGGAAGCTGGCGGGGGTCGTGCGGGGGAGTGTTGAGGCAGGAGGGGTGCATCGAGGGATGCAAGAGATAAAAGCGAACTGCAGTTATAGAGTAGTTGCAAGCTTGTCTTCGGTCAATTTGAGTTCTACTTGTAGATATAACGTTCAAGTAAGCGCTTACACGCTTACTTTCCATTTTATTGAATTTTTAGTCATACAATTATTGTATTCATATTGGCATAATACATAATAGTCATTAAAATTAAAGATAGCATTCAATTGCTTCTTAAACTTCTTCTCCTTAACTAATCTAAGGTTTGGTAAATTCTTGTTTTACTATGATTTCTTGCTATATTGCTTTCAACATATTATGTTAATGATACAGATAAATACGAGTATTCTGTTCTAAAATTTTACTTGGCTACGATCCCTGAAAAATCGTGTTACATATAAAAAGATATTACACATTAATTTACAATAGAGTCTTTTTAACACATACAACACAAAGATCTCTTGAATCAACATTATAAACTTTAAGGGACTAAAGAAATATTTGTTTGTAACAACTAACACTACTTCGCCACCTTGCCCTTATGACCAGGTATCCTTAAACGATGTGAAACATTCGCGGAATGCGCCGCACGCGACATGACCTACCCTCAACCCTGATCCTGACTGTGTAACTTAATACATAAAAAATTAATACGTAATACTAAAAAATAATACGTTAAAAATACAAAATTAAAGTCACATCACACAAATGTAAAGTGGACGGGGTTCTTAAGTTTCTTAACGAATTGAATCAATTTACACACTTCAAAAACGATATATTTAATATATATACAGGGTTTAAGCTTATTTATGTATGTATTCGCAAATTGTGAACTTTATTTAATGAACAGATACACATAAGTAATGAGTGTTCAAATTCCACTTACACTCTTCGAACTTCTACCCTTTCTTTAACCCTAATATTTAACTTTTACTATATTATTTTTTATGTAAAATAAAATAAAATGAATTATAAGCTCGTAAGTAACATGTTTTTGTCGAGACCTTAATGATACCAATATAACTTTTACAAATTGAGTTTCTTTCCAATCACCGGCACGCACCGGACGTGCGTGTGATGGCGAGTACGAGTAGGTGCACAAAGATGCTCGCAAGCTGCGTGTTCTCACAACTCTCTCATTATTAATTAATAATTTTATGTTTTAAATAAAACTATCTTTTCGGATTTCTTCGCGGATTTATTTTGACTTTTGGATCCCGACAATCATGGTGCCGGGAGAGACTAAGATTTAAGGTGTCTCAAAGGCATTATGTAGTTGTTACAGACAGCCTACCCACAAAATAACAAAATGAATTCAAAAAAAACAAAAATGGCATCAAATTACCTTACAATATTTAAAAAAATAAAAAGGACTGTAGTCGGCGATGCTGCGAAAGCTCTATCGCTTTATTGTTTTAGTAACGTGTGTATAGTGGTTATTAATAATATTAAAGTTTTAATATTTATAGTTATCTAAACTGTACGACACGTTTGGCTCAGTTTGTAGTGACCCTACTTGCTATGTCAGCGGTCGCGGGCTCGAGTCCCGCGAGGGGCATTCATTTGTGTGGTGAGCACGAATGTTTGTACTCTAGTCATGGGTGTTTATATTTATAATATGTATATATTTAAAGTTATATATGTGTAGTGTATCAACTGTCTGGTATCCATAACACAAGCCTCGTCGCTTACCATGGAACTAGATGGTGATGTGTGTTAATGTCCCTACATATTTATTTATTTATTATTTATTTATACCGCCTAGAGAAACATATTATATAGGACTCTTGAAACATAATGATGACTCAATATTGGTGACTCAAGTCTTAACTCAAGCCAGCACAAGGGCTGATGAGTGAACGTAATTCAGATAAGGAGTTGATAATTGTGACAGTATTTAATGCTATTTATACCGTGATGGATTTCACGGAGCGCCCTTATCGCGTCATTAAGCCGGCTCCACACTTGACGGTTAGGGACGAAACCAAAAACTGGACGAACGAAAAAAATGGTTTCAAATTTTTCTGTGTTAAATTTTAATAGTAAATCAATATAGAAATAGCTTTACTTTCATTATTTTGCTCTGCCGCAGTGATTGTAAAGCACTAGTTACTTAAAAATATAGACGGGCTGGTTTACTATAAAAAACAGTAACTATACATATCTAATAATGATTCTTTTTATTCAATGCTGTGTAATACTGCTTTATTGATATTTAAACAAATAATGACGATAGATTCTCAGCGGGATCAAAATCTTTGTTTAAAAACTAGAATATCAAAATGTTAATGAGTGTCACACTCTTGCGAAAATCAAAAATATTCTTGTACACAAAACATTTTGCAACAGACTGTGATCCCAACATGCATGCAAGCATGGAGCGGTACACAAAGTTACTTTTCTTATTAGGGAGACTTAAAACATTTGGGAAAGACAGACAAACAAACACACATATGTTAGCATTTATAATAGTAATAAGGATTAAAAAGTAAAAAGATATTATCAAAGCGTTGAAACGACCCCGCTATCCTTTATGCATGATCTCTGACAGCGACGACGCCGCCGCCTTTGTAGATACATATAATTGATGCGCCGCCGGGCGCCGCACTGCTGATAGCGGCCCGATCATCCGAGGCCTATTGTCCTCTCTTTAAACAAATGAATATACTATCCTTAAATGAGTGTTTGTCAATTTGTTATTCTATCACGCAGATCAATGTGTATTTTTCAAAGAAATCATTTATGCTCTGATACTGATGATGAGATATACCTAGGCTACATAATCTTTATCCAGGTTACATAATAAAATAGCGCTTAAATCTATAAATAAATAAATTACATATATGTGTAATTAAATTGTGAAGTTAATTTTTTTTAACCACTCCTTTTGGGGCATCCATTAATTACGTGAAGCATTTAGAGAGGGGAGAGGAGGGGGGTCGAGCAAAACCTCACTCAATCTCACGTGGGGGAGGGGGTGGTCTCGGCAAATATCACGTAATTGTTTTTCCGCAAGAAACAGAGTAAAATTGCGAGAAGACTGGTTTAAATTGAGTAAAAAATGTTTCTCCATTAAAATATGGCTAAATCATATATAATAATATTCAATGCGGTTTAATTATGCATGATAGAAGAATTTATTAACTATTAATAAACTCATTTTTTTGGGAACAATTAAGAGAAATAAATATAAACGAATATTTCTTAACATTCAATAAATAATCGGTAACTATTAATAAATATTTATTAATAGTAAATAAATTATTTGGGGTGAATATTTCTTTTTCATATATGGCGCGATGGGAAGATCATTCATAAAAAAATAATGCCACAACCTTTTGTAATAAATATACGCACTCACAATTTTCACTAAAAATACTGTATAACTTATTACAACCATTGTTTTGTTATTAATTTTATTTTCTCCACATAAAAAAAAATCTCACGTAAGATAAGGGGAGGGGGGAGGGGGGTCCTGCAAAATCTCACGAAATCTTACCATGGGGGAATGGGGCATCGAAAAGTCGCTAAAATTGTCTCACGTTACTAGATGCCCCTTTAGAGATAGAAGATCAACGGTACGAGCAGTTATTGTTAACCACTTGTATATTTTTTATCCATTACTAAATACTTGTGTGTTTCGAAAAATACAATAATATAGAAATCAATAAGACCCTCTGTAGAGAGTAAATATTTAAAAAATAATTTTTAAAAGCTCTAACAATAAGCTTACAACAAAATCCACTCACTTTTTATCTATAGTTCACGCGGATCACTGAACATTCCAGTCAGTAAGCGAAACAGGCAGTTTAAAACAACGTTGAATATATACTATAGATTCTATTCTATAGTATAGAATATAAACTTTTAACTAATTTTTATTTAAACAACACAAACAACAGACAGACAGAGAACAGACAGACAAAAGCAAGACTGTTGTTCTAAGTACTTTACAGCCATTGGGCCCAACATTGGACACCATAAACATAGACGCTTGTTTCTATTTAAATCGTGAGAGGTTAAGGAGCTACGTGTCTGTGGCACGCAGCGTCGGCACTTCCGCATAGCGCAGGCTTAACTAAATAAGGATTACATTGCATAACCTTTCGCGGAAACCACCTGCAGCTCGCAAACGTACGGTTTTCGCGTATATAACAAATATTTCCTACTTTTTATCCGACTTCAAAAAAGGAGGTTATTAATTCGACACGTTTGTTTGTATGTATATAACTGCAAATAAACTGCAAAATATTCACATATTATAACAATCTATTAAGGTTTTCAAGCAAAAAGCTAAATAACCGACAATGTTTTAAGATATGAATATCTCATAGGTAAATATAAAAAGGTATGAACTCTAATTATAGTTAAAATATTAAACGTCAATTTGTGATATATTTATATATGTATATCGAAATAGACTTGCTTTGCTTTGCATCGGCTGGCACTGAATTCGAAAATATCTGATTAGTTATCTAACGTAAATGAAAAGCCCCGTTCAGTTATGTTTTACTTTTTAGTTATTTTTTTAAGTATGTTTAATTTTCTTTAATTAATTTTTTTAAATGAATGTGAGGTACAAAATATATCGTTTTAGGCTTAAACTCAGAGTCACATAAGTCTTCTAATGTTTAAAATAAACGTATCGTAAATTGTAAAATATTTTTACATAACAAAGTAGTGAAGCTAGCAAACCACCATAAGCTCGATATGGTCAACGGAATCTGATGGAGGAAAAAACGAATCGCATCTATGCATGGCAACCACTGCATAACCACGGGCCGGTGCGCGCCGCCTCGACCGCTTATAAGGATCGAATAGTTTTTATTACCCTGGAACTGCAGCTACTTAGATAAATTATGCGTTATCATAGATCATTCTCGTACTTCACTCTAACGGTTTTATTTCCATGCTAGTTACGCTGTGTTTATACGCTTCATATAAAAAAATAATGACAAGTGCGAGTCAGCGAACCTCATCGAAAAAGCTAAAACAACATGACACTTACTGTTTTTGGCGCGGAGACCGCACGTAGTTCAATCTGCGTAATACAACTACAATATGAAAAAATCTATACATACTTATAATAAAATTGTAACTAAGCCGAATCTGTACATTAAACATTTTTTGGAAAATCTTATTGAAATATACATTATTATCGATACAAAGGCCGAATCTATAGTTTTTAGATTTTTTGTCTGTCTTTCTGTCTGTCTATCTGCCTGCCTGCCTGCCTGCCTGCCTGCCTGCCTGCCTGCCTGCCTGCCTGCCTGCCTGCCTGCCTGCCTGCCTGCCTGCCTGCCTGCCTGCCTGCCTGCCTGCCTGCCTGCCTGCCTGCCTGCCTGCCTGCCTGCCTGCCTGCCTGCCTGCCTGCCTGCCTGCCTGCCTGCCTGCCTGCCTGCCTGCCTGCCTGCCTGCCTGCCTGCCTGCCTGCCTGCCTGCCTGCCTGCCTGCCTGCCTGCCTGCCTGCCTGCCTGCCTGCCTGCCTGCCTGCCTGCCTGCCTGCCTGCCTGCCTGCCTGCCTGCCTGCCTGCCTGCCTGCCTGCCTGCCTGCCTGCCTGCCTGCCTGCCTGCCTGCCTGCCTGCCTGCCTGCCTGCCTGCCTGCCTGCCTGCCTGCCTGCCTGCCTGCCTGCCTGCCTGCCTGCCTGCCTGCCTGCCTGCCTGCCTGCCTGCCTGCCTGCCTGCCTGCCTGCCTGCCTGCCTGCCTGCCTGCCTGCCTGCCTGCCTGCCTGCCTGCCTGCCTGCCTGCCTGCCTGCCTGCCTGCCTGCCTGCCTGCCTGCCTGCCTGCCTGCCTGCCTGCCTGCCTGCCTGCCTGCCTGCCTGCCTGCCTGCCTGCCTGCCTGCCTGCCTGCCTGCCTGCCTGCCTGCCTGCCTGCCTGCCTGCCTGCCTGCCTGCCTGCCTGCCTGCCTGCCTGCCTGCCTGCCTGCCTGCCTGCCTGCCTGCCTGCCTGCCTGCCTGCCTGCCTGCCTGCCTGCCTGCCTGCCTGCCTGCCTGCCTGCCTGCCTGCCTGCCTGCCTGCCTGCCTGCCTGCCTGCCTGCCTGCCTGCCTGCCTGCCTGCCTGCCTGCCTGCCTGCCTGCCTGCCTGCCTGCCTGCCTGCCTGCCTGCCGCCTGCCTGCCTGCCTGCCCTGCCTGCCTGCCTGCCTGCCTGCCTGCCTGCCTGCCTGCCTGCCTGCCTGCCCTGCCTGCCTGCCTGCCTGCCTGCCTGCCTGCCTGCCTGCCTGCCTGCCTGCCTGCCTGCCTGCCTGCCTGCCTGCCTGCCTGCCTGCCTGCCTGCCTGCCTGCCTGCCTGCCTGCCTGCCTGCCTGCTGCCTGCCTGCCTGCCTGCCTGCCTGCCTGCCTGCCTGCCTGCCTGCCTGCCTGCCTGCCTGCCTGCCTGCCTGCCTGCCTGCCTGCCTGCCTGCCTGCCTGCCTGCCTGCCTGCCTGCCTGCCTGCCTGCCTGCCTGCCTGCCTGCCTGCCTGCCTGCCTGCCTGCCTGCCTGCCTGCCTGCCTGCCTGCCTGCCTGCCTGCCTGCCTGCCTGCCTGCCTGCCTGCCTGCCTGCCTGCTGCCTGCCTGCCTGCCTGCCTGCCTGCCTGCCTGCCTGCCTGCCTGCCTGCCTGCCTGCCTGCCTGCCTGCCTGCCTGCCTGCCTGCCTGCCTGCCTGCCTGCCTGCCTGCCTGCCTGCCTGCCTGCCTGCCTGCCTGCCTGCCTGCCTGCCTGCCTGCCTGCCTGCCTGCCTGCCTGCCTGCCTGCCTGCCTGCCTGCCTGCCTGCCTGCCTGCCTGCCTGCCTGCCTGCCTGCCTGCCTGCCTGCCTGCCTGCCTGCCTGCCTGCCTGCCTGCCTGCCTGCCTGCCTGCCTGCCTGCCTGCCTGCCTGCCTGCCTGCCTGCCTGCCTGCCTGCCTGCCTGCCTGCCTGCCTGCCTGCCTGCCTGCCTGCCTGCCTGCCTGCCTGCCTGCCTGCCTGCCTGCCTGCCTGCCTGCCTGCCTGCCTGCCTGCCTGCCTGCCTGCCTGCCTGCCTGCCTGCCTGCCTGCCTGCCTGCCTGCCTGCCTGCCTGCCTGCCTGCCTGCCTGCCTGCCTGCCTGCCTGCCTGCCTGCCTGCCTGCCTGCCTGCCTGCCTGCCTGCCTGCCTGCCTGCCTGCCTGCCTGCCTGCCTGCCTGCCTGCCTGCCTGACTGCCTGCCTGCCTGCCTGCCTGCCTGCCTGCCTGCCTGCCTGCCTGCCTGCCTGCCTGCCTGCCTGCCTGCCTGCCTGCCTGCCTGCCTGCCTGCCTGCCTGCCTGCCTGCCTGCCTGCCTGCCTGCCTGCCTGCCTGCCTGCCTGCCTGCCTGCCTGCCTGCCTGCCTGCCTGCCTGCCTGCCTGCCTGCCTGCCTGCCTGCCTGCCTGCCTGCCTGCCTGCCTGCCTGCCTGCCTGCCTGCCTGCCTGCCTGCCTGCCTGCCTGCCTGCCTGCCTGCCTGCCTGCCTGCCTGCCTGCCTGCCTGCCTGCCTGCCTGCCTGCCTGCCTGCCTGCCTGCCTGCCTGCCTGCCTGCCTGCCTGCCTGCGCCTGCCTGCCTGCCTGCCTGCCTGCCTGCCTGCCTGCCTGCCTGCCTGCCTGCCTGCCTGCCTGCCTGCCTGCCTGCCTGCCTGCCTGCCTGCCTGCCTGCCTGCCTGCCTGCCTGCCTGCCTGCCTGCCTGCCTGCCTGCCTGCCTGCCTGCCTGCCTGCCTGCCTGCCTGCCTGCCTGCCTGCTGCCTGCCTGCCTGCCTGCCTGCCTGCCTGCCTGCCTGCCTGCCTGCCTGCCTGCCTGCCTGCCTGCCTGCCTGCCTGCCTGCCTGCCTGCCTGCCTGCCTGCCTGCCTGCCTGCCTGCCTGCCTGCCTGCCTGCCTGCCTGCCTGCCTGCCTGCCTGCCTGCCTGCCTGCCTGCCTGCCTGCCTGCCTGCCTGCCTGCCTGCCTGCCTGCCTGCCTGCCTGCCTGCCTGCCTGCCTGCCTGCCTGCCTGCCTGCCTGCCTGCCTGCCTGCCTGCCTGCCTGCCTGCCTGCCTGCCTGCCTGCCTGCCTGCCTGCCTGCCTGCCTGCCTGCCTGCCTGCCTGCCTGCCTGCCTGCCTGCCTGCCTGCCTGCCTGCCTGCCTGCCTCTGCCTGCCTGCCTGCCTGCCTGCCTGCCTGCCTGCCTGCCTGCCTGCCTGCCTGCCTGCCTGCCTGCCTGCCTGCCTGCCTGCCTGCCTGCCTGCCTGCCTGCCTGCCTGCCTGCCTGCCTGCCTGCCTGCCTGCCTGCCTGCCTGCCTGCCTGCCTGCCTGCCTGCCTGCCTGCCTGCCTGCCTGCCTGCCTGCCCTGCCTGCCTGCCTGCCTGCCTGCCTGCCTGCCTGCCTGCCTGCCTGCCTGCCTGCCTGCCTGCCTGCCTGCCTGCCTGCCTGCCTGCCTGCCTGCCTGCCTGCCTGCCTGCCTGCCTGCCTGCCTGCCTGCCTGCCTGCCTGCCTGCCTGCCTGCCTGCCTGCCTGCCTGCCTGCCTGCCTGCCTGCCTGCCTGCCTGCCTGCCCTGCCTGCCTGCCTGCCTGCCTGCCTGCCTGCCTGCCTGCCTGCCTGCCTGCCTGCCTGCCTGCCTGCCTGCCTGCCTGCCTGCCTGCCTGCCTGCCTGCCTGCCTGCCTCCCGCCTGCCTGCCTGCCTGCCTGCCTGCCTGCCTGCCTGCCTGCCTGCCTGCCTGCCTGCCTGCCTGCCTGCCTGCCTGCCTGCCTGCCTGCCTGCCTGCCTGCCTGCCTGCCTGCCTGCCTGCCTGCCTGCCTGCCTGCCTGCCTGCCTGCCTGCCTGCCTGCCTGCTGCCTGCCTGCCTGCCTGCCTGCCTGCCTGCCTGCCTGCCTGCCTGCCTGCCTGCCTGCCTGCCTGCCTGCCTGCCTGCCTGCCTGCCTGCCTGCCTGCCTGCCTGCCTGCCTGCCTGCCTGCCTGCCTGCCTGCCTGCCTGCCTGCCTGCCTGCCTGCCTGCCTGCCTGCCTGCCTGCCTGCCTGCCTGCCTGCCTGCCTGCCTGCCTGCCTGCCTGCCTGCCTGCCTGCCTGCCTGCCTGCCTGCCTGCCTGCCTGCCTGCCTGCCTGCCTGCCTGCCTGCCTGCTGCCTGCCTGCCTGCCTGCCTGCCTGCCTGCCTGCCTGCCTGCCTGCCTGCCTGCCCTGCCTGCCTGCCTGCCTGCCTGCCTGCCTGCCTGCCTGCCTGCCTGCCTGCCTGCCTGCCTGCCTGCCTGCCTGCCTGCCTGCCTGCCTGCCTGCCTGCCTGCCTGCCTGCCTGCCTGCCTGCCTGCCTGCCTGCCTGCCTGCCTGCCTGCCTGCCTGCCTGCCTGCCTGCCTGCCTGCCTGCCTGCCTGCCTGCTGCCTGCCTGCCTGCCTGCCTGCCTGCCTGCCTGCCTGCCTGCCTGCCTGCCTGCCTGCCTGCCTGCCTGCCTGCCTGCCTGCCTGCCTGCCTGCCTGCCTGCCTGCCTGCCTGCCTGCCTGCCTGCCTGCCTGCCTGCCTGCCTGCCTGCCTGCCTGCCTGCCTGCCTGCCTGCCTGCCTGCCTGCCTGCCTGCGTGCCTGCCTGCCTGCCTGCCTGCCTGCCTGCCTGCCTGCCTGCCTGCCTGCCTGCCTGCCTGCCTGCCTGCCTGCCTGCCTGCCTGCCTGCCTGCCTGCCTGCCTGCCTGCCTGCCTGCCTGCCTGCCTGCCTGCCTGCCTGCCTGCCTGCCTGCCTGCCTGCCTGCCTGCCTGCCTGCCTGCCTGCCTGCCTGCCTGCCTGCCTGCCTGCCTGCCTGCCTGCCTGCCTGCCTGCCTGCCTGCCTGCCTGCCTGCCTGCCTGCCTGCCTGCCTGCCTGCCTGCCTGCCTGCCTGCCTGCCTGCTGCCTGCCTGCTGCCTGCCTGCCTGCCTGCCTGCCTGCCTGCCTGCCTGCCTGCCTGCCTGCCTGCCTGCCTGCCTGCCTGCCTGCCTGCCTGCCTGCCTGCCTGCCTGCCTGCCTGCTGCCTGCCTGTGCCTGTGCCTGTCTGTCTGTCTGTCTGTCTGTCTGTCTGTCTGTCTGTCTGTCTGTCTGTCTGTCTGTCTGTCTGTCTGTCTGTCTGTCTGTCTGTCTGTCTGTCTGTCTGTCTGTCTGTCTGTCTGTCTGTCTGTCTGTCTGTCTGTCTGTCTGTCTGTCTGTCTGTCTGTCTGTCTGTCTGTCTGTCTGTCTGTCTGTCTGTCTGTCTGTCTGTCTGTCTGTCTGTCTGTCTGTCTGTCTGTCTGTTGTCTGTCTGTCTGTCTGTCTGTCTGTCTGTCTGTCTGTCTGTCTGTCTGTCTGTCTGTCTGTCTGTCTGTCTGTCTGTCTGTCTGTCTGTCTGTCTGTCTGTCTGTCTGTCTGTCTGTCTGTCTGTCTGTCTGTCTGTCTGTCTGTCTGTCTGTCTGTCTGTCTGTCTGTCTGTCTGTCTGTCTGTCTGTCTGTCTGTCTGTCTGTCTGTCTGTCTGTCTGTCTGTCTGTCTGTCTGTCTGTCTGTCTGTCTGTCTGTCTGTCTGTCTGTCTGTCTGTCTGTCTGTCTGTCTGTCTGTCTGTCTGTCTGTCTGTCTGTCTGTCTGTCTGTCTGTCTGTCTGTCTGTCTGTCTGTCTGTCTGTCTGTCTGTCTGTCTGTCTGTCTGTCTGTCTGTCTGTCTGTCTGTCTGTCTGTCTGTCTGTCTGTCTGTCTGTCTGTCTGTCTGTCTGTCTGTCTGTCTGTCTGTCTGTCTGTCTGTCTGTCTGTCTGTTACCGCATCACGAGAAAACCACTAGAGGGATTTCGATGAAATTTGGTATGGTGATAGCTGGTTGTCCGGCTCAACATATAGGATACTTTTTATCGCAGCAAAATGTCTCATTTCTGACAAAAAAATACAAAAAGTAAAGCAATGTAAGAGTATACTAATATGTAAAACCTAAGAATTTGTTTTTTGGTAATCTGAACGCGGGTGGAGCCGCGGGCAATGCTAGTATACAATAAGTTAAAAAAAGATCACGAAGGTCGTTATTATAGCATACATCTAAATTTATTCTAAATTGTAACTGTAGGCATTTATCGTAATACTACTGAAAGCTAAAATAGAATCGTCCGTTATTTACACTTAGCAAAGAAAACATAACCAAAGTGTTCCAAAACGAAACAAATGTAGAGCAACAGAAATGAACGAGAACACGCAACTTAATATGCATCGTAATAAATGACATGCAATAACAGCTTGTTAGCAGCCGAGATAAACGAATTGCTCTGTAAGTGCGAGTGCACATGGCGCCGGCGGCGGGCCATGTGCGCGCCGGAGGGCTACCACCATCAGTTACTTAGGTATATCACAGTCATTGATATATAAAAACATAGATACACATTCCGACCAAATTTCTCTTCAAAAATTGATGTCGACATGGTTCGTTAAGACAAACCAAAAAATGAAATTAAAAAATCAAAAGTTCTAATTACCGAACCTGCGCACACCACATGAAAAACGTTTTTAAACACAACAACGTGCATTTATATTTGTCATTTAAAATAATTGTCATGCCTGAAAAGCAATAAACAAAAAGATTTGAATAAAGTGGAATTCAATTTCGAATGGTTCTTTTTGAGTTTTTGTATATCAATGATCACAGTATTAAAATCCATTCAGTAGGTGCTCGCCATATAACGAAAATGCTGTCAACAGCAAGTCTTGTCAAGAAATACCAATTTTCGTGGTGAACGGTTTCCAAGTTAAAAAGTATCGTAATAACATCTCGTGGCAGATTAAAGTTTTACCCTACAGCTGTCTCCCAACTGTCATATAAAAGATCGTATGGCAGTCGGGTGCAACTCTTCCGCGTCACCCCCTACACCGTACACGTCTCTCACGATTGCCCAGTTTAAAGACTACGCCTTCATTAGACGACTGTATGGATAAGATAACAGCTCACTTTCCATAACATCATCTCAGCATAATTTGTTTAACATAATTTATAACTCACGTAAGACAAGAAACTTTAACCCATTATCTATTTGAAATTATTATTTAAAACTATAATAGTTTACCAAAAGAAATCAAAAATTGTAAAACTTTCAATAGCTTTAAGTCTAGGTTATATATACCTAAATATATTCTTTGTAACTAACGCTCCCAGTTCTACTGATCAACTGTCATAATTTCTTATATCTTTAAGAGAATGAGAAATAAAGCTTGTAATGAGAAATAAAGTTCTTTAAACCGAAATTATTATTTACATATAATTTAATAACAGTTATTTTCGAGTGGTATATAATAAAACTCAATAAATTCCAACAAATCATTATTTAATTTATTAGTCTTTATAACGAATTTACATTGATTGTTGTATCTGCGAGTACCTACTGTAGTCATACCTACTCGTACATACAACTAACAACACCATAACACAGAGTTTAAAACAAATAAGGAAGCATTGAATATTTATTTGTTTATGAGAATCATTTACTTCTCGTTTGAAGACCGTTTTCATGTCATTTATGTGTCTAGCGATAATTGGCAGATCGACGATATAATTTAGCTCGAGTGTGGTGTGCGTGGAAGAAGCAAGTAGGTAATAAATTAGCGATATTACGTCATCGGTTTCACTTATCTAGCGCGATCGTCGAACCCTGGCGCACGGCGCGGGCGCAGGGCCAGGCTTGCTAATGCCTACGGTCTAGGAGGACGACAGGCATGACCTGCCTTCCGCTCATACATCACCACTTCAAAAGCAATGTATTACAGATTTAGTTCTGCTCTCGTTTCCTCAATGTACATTGTAATATATCAAGAAGAAGAAATATTTTGCACTACTGTCAAATAAATTGTAGTATAAATCAAGCTGATTAATTTTCACTAAAATTTAATAGCAAATACTTTATTTATTCTCTGAAAACAATAAATTACGACGTAATCACAGCAAATTAGATACCTAACTATGAGGACGAGCATATTTTGTACAAATATTTTAGGTCGCAGCTTACACACTTAATGTTTAAAGATTGAAATATTATTTTTTAGAGATAATATTGCAAAAAAATGTTACTACCTCAAAAAAAATATTAGAATTCATAATTAATAAGAATCTATATCGAAATATGGAGTAAAATAAAGGATAAAATAGAGTTTCCTTAATAAAATCTTTTTTTTTACTATTTAAATTAAAATAATAATTACAGAATATAAGAGTATATTCATAAATAGAATAGAAAATATTTATTTTTAATACGACTGATAAAATACTGTTTTACAACGGAGCGTGTAGGTATTCTTTATATAGTATACGCGGGCGCACACACAAGGGAGTCGAGAGCGGTGGCGTAGAAGTGGCATAATGGCATGACAGCGTCACGCCACCGTTTGCCGTCACACCACGCGTCGGTATTACTGCCAAGGCGCACCAATAGATATTTCATATCAAAATATCACTAATACTCGAACTTGCAAAAATATTCAAATTATCACCTTGGTTAAGTTATTTAAAATGTGGCGAGAAGTTATTGGAGCTGCTAATTAAAAGCGCACTGTAACATGTGGTGGGCCCCTTTCGTTTTAGTTGTTTCTTAGAAGTCTGGCAGCGCGCCATCAGCGAGCTTTGACGTCTTGTTCTGATTAGCATTCACTATTGTTTAACATTGGCTTGGTAGTACGGCAAAGTACTCCGACCTCCGAAGTATATTACCTACTTCAGTTATTCTATTTATTATTTACTTACAAACACTATTATTTCTGTCACGTATTTTTGTGCAAGTCATAATATGTTCATTTGAGTAATCAACGATTGCTTATGGCAATTTAATGACCATAAAATAAATACCTCCATAATTTACCTCTTTAGTTTAACAACAAAGTAAAAAAACCGCTTACAAGAATATACCTATATACCTATGTATATAAGCAGTATAAACATCCGCAGGTCGAAATAATTGGTTTATGAAAAACAAAACATACTTGATTTTTTAACAGTAATTTATTTCTTACACTTTGTATGTATGGATGGTAAATTAATTGAACAATATAAAGTTCAATATAAATAATAAGTTCTAATGATGACAGTGTAATCGAAGAGATGACTCATTTAAATTAAATATACTGACGCGAAGATCGAGTTCGTGTAATGGACACCATCAGCGTAATGCATTAGAGGTGGGTCGTGGGGGATACAAGCCATCAATCACCGGCGCCATCGATCACGATTGCAGTAGAAAGCAAGTACAGAACTGCTCTAACCACAGTGCTCTTACCGTGAGAAAAGCGCTTCCCGTGGCCGCAGGTTGCGGGCAGCTGATTTGAGAATGTTCGAGATATCTTCATAATAATAAATATGGAATATTTTACACTTTCATTTCACTGAAATAAGTTCTATGATATTGACACTTTAGATATTTTTTGACGTTGTTTCCGATCTCCGATATTTCGGCATTATTGAATGCCGCGGTCATGCGAGTGTGTGCAATAGAACATAAGTGGAAACAATTTCAAAGAACATTAAATGTGTCGTTTCGTTTCACATCATAAAATAAAATATTAAATCATAAAGATATTAACATCTTTCATCTCGTATGGGAACTTAAGGCCTCTACTTCAAAAGTCAATCCACTTAAAATGCGCGAAAGAGCACTTAAACAGATAAGAGCAAATAAAATCCCTTGTATTGTTTATCTCAGAAAACTATAATACTCAGTTAATTTTGCTATAATATTTTATGACTAGCGAATTGCCCTCGCTTCGCTCGGGTTCGTCCCTGGGTTGCTTCCACATACAAACTTTCATCCTCATTTCCACCCCCTTAAGGGATGATTTCCGGGATAAAAAACTATTCTATGTCCTTCTTAGGGTATTTAAATTTAAATTATCTTCTTACTAAATTTCATCTAAATCAGTTCAGTAGTTTCGGAGCTTATTCGGTACAAACAAACGAAACAAATAAACAAAAAATCTTTCCTCTTTATTTTAACTTAGATACTATTTCTATTTAGATACATGCTAGAAACATTTCTTTTCTGTTTTAACCTTTTTCGTCCTATTTTTAGTTTCTTAGAAATACGTTTACCACACAAATCCTATTTCCGTCTCTTTTCACTTGTACATCCTTTTTCATCCTATTGCTGAAACTCCATAAGATTCACGTTCCAATCTGTAACAAAAATGTGTACAAACTATGATTATTACAAACATAATTTGGACACATAATAATTAATATGGTACAATTTTCTTTTAAAATACATAAAAAGTGATTTATAGTTTTAGCAATAAAATATGTAAATATGCATGTATGCAGCTTCGTTTAACATTTGTTCGTTTTAAAATAATCAAAAATTATAAGTTCCTAGCATTCCCCGCGGCTCCGCCCGCGTTCAGATGAAAAAAATGCAATTAATCCTTAAAGAGAAATTCTTAGGTTTTACATATTATTATATTCTTACATTACAGTTTTTGTATTTTTTCTCAGAAATGAGATATTTTCCCGCGGTAAAAAGTATACTATATGTTGACCCGGATAACCAGCTATCACCATACCAAATTTCATCAAAATCCCTCCAGTGGCTTTTCTGTGATGCGGTAACAGACAGACAGACAGACAGACAGACAGACAGACAGACAGACAGACAGACAGACAGACAGACAGACAGACAGACAGACAGACAGACAGACAGACAGACAGACAGACAGACAGACAGACAGACAGACAGACAGACAGACAGACAGACAGACAGACAGACAGACAGACAGACAGACAGACAGACAGACAGACAGACAGACAGACAGACAGACAGACAGACAGACAGACAGACTGACAGACAGACAGACAGACAGACAGACAGACAGACAGACAGACAGACAGACAGACAGACAGACAGACAGACAGACAGACAGACAGACAGACAGACAGACAGACAGACAGACAGACAGACAGACAGACAGACAGACAGACAGACAGACAGACAGACAGACAGACAGACAGACAGACAGACAGACAGACAGACAGACAGACAGACAGACAGACAGACAGACAGACAGACAGACAGACAGACAGACAGACAGACAGACAGACAGACAGACAGACAGACAGACAGACAGACAGACAGACAGACAGACAGACAGACAGACAGACAGACAGACAGACAGACAGACAGACAGACAGACAGACAGACAGACAGACAGACAGACAGACAGACAGACAGACAGACAGACAGACAGACAGACAGACAGACAGACAGACAGACAGACAGACAGACAGACAGACAGACAGACAGACAGACAGACAGACAGACAGACAGACAGACAGACAGACAGACAGACAGACAGACAGACAGACAGACAGACAGACAGACAGACAGACAGACAGACAGACAGACAGACAGACAGACAGACAGACAGACAGACAGACAGACAGACAGACAGACAGACAGACAGACAGACAGACAGACAGACAAAAAGTCTAAAAACTATAAGTAGATTTGGCCTCTGTATCGATAATAATGTCTATTTCAATAAGATTTTCCAAAAAATATTTAATGTACAAATTCGGCTTAGTTAGAATTTATGTATACATAGATGAGAAAGTCCAGTATCGTTTCCTGTAAATATATTAAATAATAATGACAAAGTACTTTTGAATGCAATCTGTGTGTTTAAGAGATACGCTCTTACATAACAGCAATTAGCTCAGCTCGAGTTCAAGTGAAAGAAAGTTCAGAATCGGCTCCCACTCAGGCGCTCGCCGCGAACGCCTCACTTACGATAATCGCTGCACGATCGCGCCTCTCGCTTTCCACTCTCCACTCGATTAACAAATAAACACTCATGAGAGAAGGGAATTCTTTACTCGATCACTTATTTCATAAATATCAAACCACGTTAACTATTACCTTTTTGCCGTATGTTTTACATTACAATGCGAAACGCAATAATAAAAGTATGAAAAATGCTATTATGCCTTAATAAATAGAACTGACAAAATGAAATAATATGTAAATTTATAGCAGATTATATTTTACATATTATTATATGTTAATAAAAGTATTGCAAATAGATACCTACAAGTATCAGTTTGAAAATTTTCTTTGCTTTTCATAGCTGGAAGGTTAAAGGCTAATTAACATCACATTATAACGTAAAGAGTGAAGCAGTAACCATAAACGTGACCAATCTAGCAAGCTGTAGGCGAATAGAGCAACAAGGTGTTCATCACGCGGGAAACGTCGGGTTACACCTACTATATTGTATAATATTAAAATATTGCTTGTCTCGATTTAAAAAAAGTCTGTGGTATCTAATTGATGGTCATTTCGATGGTATCTTTAAGCTTTATGCTGCCTTCGCAGGTTTGACGGAAATAAAAATCGAATTCCCGAAGAGGCAAGTACCTACTAGTCTTCTTCGATATTTTGAAATAGTAATATTTTCCCGCGTCTGCATACAAAATTAAGTATCTCATTGTAAATTGTTGGAGATTATTAATCTGTGACTATGAATAATTAAATTGTAACTAAGCGGAATCTGTACATTAAATATTTTTTGGTGAATCTTATTGAAATAAGCATTATTATCGATACAAAGGCCGAATCAATAGTTTGTAGAATTTTTGTCTGTCTGTCTGTCTATTACCGCATCACGCGGTAAAACCACTGGAGGGATTTTGATAAAATTTGGTATGGTAATAGCTGGTTATCCGGGTCAACATAGAGGATACTTTTTACCGCGGGAAAATATCTCATTTCTGAGAAAAAATACAAAAACTGCAATGTAAGACTATACTAATATGTAAAATCTAAGATTTGGTTTTTGGTCATCTGAACGCGGGCGGAGCCTTGGGCAGTGCTATTATCTTAAAAAAATGAAATATATATTCATTATATATATATATATATATATATATATATATATAACAAATATATATATATATTACAGAGACAAAACATTTAAATGTAATTTTCCACAAAATGTAAGATTCTTTATTTCAATAGATATGAAGACATTTAGCGCAGTTATCTGATTTCTTTGTGGCTCGACGTGCCTCGCCGCCGCGCTCAAATGGAGATTACAATATGGGACGTGACTTCAAGCCGATGTACCTGTACATAGTACATACGTCAAACTGACGCCTGAGATATTTGTTATGTCGGGCGTTGTAATAGTCTACCTCTATCTTCTAAAGCATCGGCGGCGCTCTTCCACTTTTGCAGACGAATTTTTAAAACGAATAACTCGACATTGTCAAATTCCCCTCTTCGAACTGTTACTGGTAATTATTCAACATAAAAGCTCAATTCGTAAGCTTCAATACGGATTGTAGCGCAAGACCTCGACCTCTGCTGCCGTGCACGCTGCTGCTGAACCGACAAGCTCAAGAGTTTTATCAAAACAGAAAATATGAAAGGAATATTAAAAGTGTTGTTTCTGACTTTTATTTATTTTGAATGTAGTAAAAAAAACTAGGACACATGTATATATGATGACAGGCCGAGACGCGCCCGAAAGCTACTTCCTTTCAGAATCACTCGCAAAGCGCTCGTCGCGCTTTAAGTTAAACTTTTAGCAAATTCTCTTTGCAATGAAAGTTATAATTTGAAAAACTTCATTCTAAATTTATATTTTTTTAAATAACAAAAAACGTCTAAATAACTGATGAATGTTAGTATAGAGACAAGCACTTCATCAAAGCGATTTACTTCAATCATGATTCACTTTATATACTCGTATTTAATAAATGAATTTACGATTTTCTTTACACGCTACTAGTTTTGTAGTGCTGCGTGTTACAATAATTTTATAAGTCTTATGTTAATAAGTACAGTACAATTAAAATAAATACACAAGTTATTAGTTATTATCATTAACTATATTAGAAAATCGTGTAGTTTCTGAAGCCATATTTATATCGTCCCAACGCGGGTACAGCTTGTCCTACAATGATGTTTAACAAAGTCACAATACACATGTCGACGATACATCATAGTTTACTAACCGATTACATAACGTGCGTCCGAAGCGACTTCAAAGCGGAACATTAGAAGTGGGGCAGATGCCAAGCTCATGCAGCGAGTGATTAATTGCAACAATCAAGCGAATCAGAATCAATCGCGGGCCGCCGCGCCGTCGCACCACCGCACCAGGCGCGGCCGCGGCTAAGTGCTTTCCTTCATTACGTTTGCTCATGTGCTGCCTTCACTTACGCGCTGAAGGCATCCCCATTTATCACCTATTCAGCCCCTAACTACCTTAATAAATTGAGTTTTTCTGCGAATGTGATACAATTATCTTGTAATATACGACTGCGTAGACGGAGCAATCAACAAACTTTTGTATAAACAGGGATCAGTGCACATTCGTAGTGCCAAAAAATTACTACAGTCACGAAGAGTGTAGTAATTTGGTTTCTAAATGTGGACGTAGGTATCTTCATTTATTAAAGACTAACATTGCCCGCGGCTCCGACCGCGTTCAGATGACCTAAAACCAAATTCTTAGGTTTTACTAATGCAGTACATAATTCTGAATATTCAGATTCACTTCTTCACAAGTAGGAAGCAACTGATATATTAATGCCGAGTTATTAGTTGACTATTTTTTGTTCCGATAAAAATGTGTATACTGTCACAAATCATAAAAAGATTAATTAATTTGGAAAAAAGTTGGTGTAGAGACGCGCCCGGGCGAAGCGAGAGTCGCTATCTTATAATATTTTCATTGAAATCAGTTTAAAAAATGTATTTTAGCGTTTAAATGTTGTAGACCAAAATATAGGTAATGATCTAGAATGTAAGGTTAATTAGGAAAAATAATAATAAGTACGATCTGGTAGCTCGTTTAAGCTGTCTTAGCGCAAGCATCCAGTTTTGCCAGTCGCTAATTAAAAACACCATGCAAGGTAATTCTGAACAGTGTTATCGAGACGACTATTATTTTCATTTCTCGTTGCATTTTATGGTATGCTGCAATTATTCCCTGCGAAGGTGAGAAGGCGAGTTATTCGAGTGTTTATTAGGTACGAGCAGGCACCGCGCCCGAGCCGTCGCAACGCGGTCAAGCGCACAGCCTCGCCCCTGTTCCAATGAGACCTGCATCGTACTCGCTAGGCTTACTTATCTATCTCATGCCCGGCAACATTTTTTCTATACCCTTAGTTAATTGTAAAAAAAATTGAGGAGGATCAGGTACACATACAGGTAGACAATTATATTGATTCAGGCATAATTAACATGAAATGACTTGATCTGACATAATTTATCGAATTCCAATCCAAACCTTTAGGGTTCGGTTTAGAGCCAGAACACGTTGCTAATTTTTTTTCTTGATTGCATTGTAGATAATTATGTTATTAAAATATAAATACGAGTGTATGTACATCGCTTTTCAGCTATTCACAAACTCATATTATTCATCGAATACCTAATGTAATAATCACAAAGATATCATAAATATTTTATTACTATTTCAATATTAATGTTTTCATATTTTTTTGTTAAAAAGTTTTTATTCTAAAACTATTATTAAAGAAAAAGAAAATCGCCTCAGGCTTTGAAAAAGTATTTTACAGTGGGTAGAAATTTAAGAAGCAAAGATGTGAAGGCTAGACCTTAAAGCCCGCCTACTCTATTTATTCGCTACTCACACGAATATTCGTTTATAAAAATACTAGCGACTCTCCCTCACTAGGCGTCGGATTTGTCTCTAGGCAAAAATAAATCTATCCCACGAAAACCGTACATTTTTCGTGATAAAAAGTAACTTATGTGCTATTCCTGACTATAATCTATCTCTATGCCAATCGTCCTAATTCGTTCACCCGTTCTGACGTGAAAGAGTAACAAACATCAAAACATACATCCTAACAAACTTGAATGGATGAATATTCCCTTCATAAAATCATAATATTTCTAAAGCTGGACGATATGAATGTATATCTTTATATCAATCCCTGTTCAGAGTGGAAGCTCAAATTTTCACCTTAGATTTACTTAACCAATGCTTAGTTCAGATTGCTAGAATTCTGCTTCTGAAGAGAGAAACCTGCCTGATAGTAAATAGTAAACGTAATCTATACATATAATAAAATTGTAACGAAGCCGAATCTGTAAATTAAATATTTTTTGTAAAATCTTATTGAAATAGACTTTATTATCGATACAGAGGCCGAATCTATACTTTTTAGAATTTTTGTCTGTCTGTCTATTACCGCATCACAGAAAAACTAATTTTAATGAAATGTAGTATGATGATAGCTGGTTATCCAGGACCTATAGGATACTTTATACCGCGAGAAAATGTCTCATTTTTGAGAAAAAATACAAAAACTGCAATGTAAGAGTATACTAATATGTAAAACCTAAGAATTTGGTTTTTGGTCATCTGAACGCGGGCGGAGCCGTGGGCAATGCTAGTTATATATGTAGGTACGCTTGCAAGGCTGAAGAAGCAATTTAGGATTTTGTATCGATAGCGAGGGGCTACACCTATTGTAACTGTTAAATAATATGTATCTATTTTCAATTCTGACGTTCACTTAATTATCATCCTAACAAATTTAACAGTCTATCCCTCAATGTTCGGGCGATGCGTGAATAAACACTTGATATACTTATGTATATAACATCTCAAATATCCCCCGAATAAATTCCAAACCATCTCTCTTAAGCAACCATCTCTCTTCAACAAATACATCTCTCTTGTATGGTCCAACAAGGAGCTTCTATAGACGTTGAATGAATGAATACTATGAATACAAGGTTTCTGCATCGCATGAGAGGTCTATACAATACGCTGGCCCCCATCTTCGTGCCCGCCACACGTGTCCACGTGCACGTGCACCACCGTGTCTGTGCGCCCGCACATTGCAGGTCCGTCGTCCGTACTAATATTAGAAACACAATTACGGTAGTAATAATAAAAATCACTTACATACATTATACAAAAATAGAAAATATTAACCATTTTTTTTAAATAAAATAAAATAAGCGAGATAACATCAAAAATAAGCAATATTTCTTCCCACTTCATTAAATCTTAACAAACAGTACCAATTACTGTACTCGCTAAAAACTATGAAATACATAGTAGAATATAGTACAACGCCCGACTGCAGCCCAACTGCGGTCCAACCAGTATTATTTGCCAGTAATTGCGGCCTACAGGCGGCAGAGGGAGGCGGGGGCGGTGGAGGGCGGCCCGACTGCCTTTGAGAGCCCTTTGACTTGCACCGATGCAGGCAGACTGCTTATTGCGCTGACCATCGATGCATCGCGCCTGTAGTCATGCTAAACAGATCATCTGATCTATACCATGTATGAATAACGTATACCTATAGCCATATACTTTGTATAGATCACAAGATATTTATTGGGATCGATTAATGTGTATCCAAGTGTGATGTGTGTCCAAGTAAAATGAAAAGTTTAATAGCACTCGTTCGATGAGATGGAGATGGCTGTACTCGCATTAACGTGAAAAACCTATACTATTATCATTTTGACAAACATTTTATTGTCCAATACTTATAGTCCAGTCAAATAAGATCTGAAATCAAAATCCTGGCATTCAACTTTGCATTTTTGATATAATATAGTTTTAATGATACAAAAACAATGTGTAAAGGTTAGTGTAAAAATAGTCAAAAGTATTTTTTCGCAATCACTCGAAAACGGTAAAAGTTAGACAAAAAGTTTTGATAAAAATATGTAGAGCTTAAAATTTTACATCAAATTTTATAACTTTTTTCCTCCGGTTAAAATTAATATAATATAAAAGGAATAATTTTATGCCATATTTAGACTCTTTGATTGATTTTTGATTGACATAATGTATTATGAACTAATTTACAAATATTTTATGTACAGGAATTCGACCTCTACAGTTTTATTATAGTACTAGCATTGCCCACGGCTCCGCTCGCGTTCAAATGACCAAAAACCAAATTATTAGGTTTTATATTAGTATACTCGTACATTGCAGTTTTTGTATTTTTTCTCAGAAATTAGATATTTTCGCAGGGTACAAAGTATCCTATACATATATTGACCTGGATAACCAGCTTTCAATATAAAAGCTTTCAATACCAAATTTCATCAAAATCCCTCCTGTACTTTTTCTGTGATGCGGTAACAGACAGATAGACAGACAGACAGACAAAAATTTTAAAAACTATAGATTCAGCCTCTGTATCGATAATAATGTCTATTTCAATAAGATTTTCCAAAAATTATTTAATGTATAGATTCGGCTTAGTTACAATTTTATTATATATATGGATATAGATAGTTAATTTTGACCGGAGGAAAAAAAGTCATAAAACCTTTTTGATGTAAAATTTTAAGCTCTACATATTTTTATTAAAACATTTTTGGCTAACTTTTACCGTTTTTGAGTAATTGCGAAAAAATGCTTTTGACTATTTTTTTGAACCCTTACCGGGGGTTGCGGACACTGAAACCTTTACACATTGTTTTTGTATCATTAAAACTACATTATATCAAAAATGCAAAGTTGAGTGCCAACATTTTGATTTCAGACCTTATTTAACTGGACTATTATTGACTTTGCATGTGTAAATAATTTCCTTTACTATTTCAAAAATCATCATATTAATTACAAATTACAATATTTCACAGGCAGCTCATGAGCTCGCTCTGTTATTATGATATCACAAGACCGAAGCCGTTGTCATTAATATCAATAAGCCTGTACTCCAACTGTGACGTAACAATAGCGTGTATCTACTTCTAAAATGTAGTGGCTATGTACTTATACCGAATTATAGAATGTAAAAATTAATATGCATAGAAACTTTTTAAATTCTTTCATTTAAGTTACATATTCTTGCAAGAATATGTTCGCTTCAAAAACACTTGACTCAGCCATCTCGCTGCGAGGCAGTGAGGAGAGTGATCACTGATCAGTGAGGCGAGACGCTGCACTAGCCAAGTCCGTATTAAATATGAATCCTTTGCATTATTCAGTGGTAGCGTCGAGCCACCGAGCGCCGCGCCGGGCGGACGCACTCGCGCGGAGACGACGCGAGTGTTGCATACATTTGCTCTCTATCTCTCTCTCTCTCCATAATCCACATGACGTGAAATCTGTTAAACACCGTTCGTTGAGGGACATTTAAAATATTGAAACTATAATTTGAAAGTTTGATTTATAGCGACCCATACGAGGCAGGAAGATTCTTGCATTTTTGACCGACTTAAACTTTGACTTTAAGAAGTACGATACACAATTCAGATAGATTTTTCGTTGTATTTTGTATGTGTATAGGTACTTGTAAATTGTTAGTATACTTTCATGAATAAGAAACGCATACATAATTAGCCAGTATATAATTACACGAATTAAATTAAACGAAATGATATGAAAGATAGCAAAAGAATGAATTTATATAAACAATTAATATAAAGTATGTCAACAAAATAATATAATGTAGAGTAGTCATCATCATCATCTCTCTGCCCATTGGGATCACTTGTGTCACTTGAGGTCGGTGCAGTACATCTTCCGTACTGCTGATCGATTTTGGCAAAAGTTTTACGATCGGCCGCCTGCCTGACATCAAGCGTCCTTGGTAATGTTATTGTTTATCGCGGAATGTAAAGTTGTTACGTAATAATTAATTTTAGACTTTTATTAACATCGCACTTAAGGTATATCTGGGCTCCAAGTGTGGCTGACGGCTCATGCAACTCCTTAGAATCGACCAGCGCCAGTCAGTCCACTCCGCTGGCGATGGCCTCAACAACGACGTACGATCCCTTATTTGTTATTAAAACTCAAGCATCAACATTCCTAAGCAAAGGTCCCGAGCTATTAGGTATTCATGAGGGCATTTATAGACGCGACGTTCTGATACCACGCGCCTCGCACTGGCTGCAGTGCTGTTCGCTCGTAATTGTGTTCACAATATTTAAAATTAAAAACACGATTACATTCAAATATCTAATAGCATACCATGCCGACGTCGTGGTCGGACTGACACAGAGCATTGTATTTGGCAGATATGTGTACTTAGTACAAGTTTGCCACTGTTTGCTTGCACATGACTCTATTTTTCCTATTATAATTGTTCAACCAAATACTATAAGTAATAATACTGTATGTAAGTGCAAGTTTGTTAGTCCTTCTCTCACATAATAACAGAGCGACGAATTAATATTTTTTTTACATATTTATAGTTTATAGGCCAAGGTAAAGATCACTTTTAATTCCGGTACACCCAGTGCTATCCGTGGGATATTGTATATTCAAAAAGAAACTAAAGTAAGCGCATGGTATACCTAATTAGACTAATCTTAGCGATGTAAGGCTAAGTGGTACCAAATAGGACCAAGCAAATATACCTAGTAAATTCATATAGTACCTGCTTTAAAAGTTAAAAAAGGTAATTTAATGACCGTAAAACAAACGAACAATTATTGTACAATACTTGCCGATCACCGAAATCGATCAAGACTAATTATGTTTGCCCTTATTCTAAAACGTTGAATATAACGGTTAAACATGATAGCAGCGACAGCCGACAGCGGCTATCGTGCAAACGCGAGCTGTCCATTCCACTTAGCAAGTCGCCTCCGCTGGCAACTATGTATTGAGCAATCTAGAAATGTAGTGCACAATCTAAGATATACTCGTGCCTACTCGAATTCATGTTTTATGATTAAAATATACGGAAGCAGTGCACGTGTTTCAAACTATTCCAGAGTTCACCGAAGAAAGTACCTACCGGAGCTCAGTAGCCAATAGGTGCTACCTAAGCGTATAATATTTACACACTTCGTAGAGATTAGTAGCGTTTGAACATTTCCTAATCGACTTAATAAACTAGTGTCCTCGCCCTAAGCCACGAAAAACTTGTATCACTACAGACAAAAAATTGACAAATAACGATTACGTGAAACACGTTTTTTTGCCCCACTTCCAGGACATTCAACTCTATTTTTGCTGTTACATTACGCAATATCTGCCGGCTGGCCGAGCGTCGGTAGCGCGCGGACAACTCGGCGGGCGATCTTATTTGCGCAGGCATTCCAATAATGCACAATTGCTTAGTTTAAGCCGGAGATATTTCACAGCGCCCGATGCGTCGCTCCCCGCGGGTGCAGCGGCAGCCGCCCGCCGCTGGCCGAGGGGAATAGCGCAAATACCAAAGAAGGTTCACGAACATTAGGAGAGAAAGCAATATATGATCATATAAATATATAAGTATTAATTTTCTATTTACAGCAATAATCAAATATACTACTATACTCTTTTAAGCAAGTTTATAATATATAATTACCTACATGCTTGTTAAACAATTATTATACGATCTAAGCAAAACTATAAGTACTATTGTGTCGTTTATTAGAAACAAACACTGTTTACGGGCACGGAACAATGAAATGTTTAATGTAGCATAATGACTGTCAGTCACACGAGTATAACATATTTGCTAAAAATTTTAATCTTTCAAACTGGAGTAACGAAATTTGCAAACAAAATAGCAATTGATGTTCATGAGTTTGATTAATGCATACCTATTCTTCATTTTATAGTGTTACTAGCATTGCCCGCGTTCGGATGATCAAAAACCAACTTTTTAGTATTTACATATTAGTAGGTATACTCTTACATTGCAGTATTTGTACTTTTTCTCAGAAATGAAATATTTTACAGCGGTAAAAAGTATCCTATATGTTGACCCGGATAACCAGCTATCACCATACCAAATTTCATCAAAAACCCTCCAGTGGTTTTTCTATGATGCGGTAACAAACAGACAAACAGACAAAAATTCTAAAAACTATAGATTCGGCCTCTGTATCGATAATAATGTTTATTTCAATAAGATTTTCCAAAAAATATTTAATTTACAGATTCGACTTAGTTACAATTTTATTATATGTATAGATTTCACAGAAGAGCCTGAGGAGAGAACGTTTAGCTACTATCTCTTTGGATAGCCCCTTTTTAAGCCAGCCCCGGAGAACACTTCTTACATATGCACATCTTCACAAATTATTGCAATTAAATATGATGATTTATTCCATCCATTCTATTATCATTCTTCTTCTAAGCAACATTTTTTCTACTTATTTAAAATATTATTACCGTCATACTTCCATTCAAGTAAGTCACACCACGTATCTTGCCAGCCAATTTTATCAGCAAAGTTAATTACTCAATTACAATACAACCCAATTTTATTCATGAACAAGTTATACGGATACAAGTTACTATTTTCATTTATTCTCTTTATTGCTAACATGTATTGAATTCAGTTTAATTTCTACAAAACTAAAGGATTTTTTTTGATAATAATAATAATGTCATCCTAACTCGGTACTTACAGAAGTGGTCAGTAGACAATATAGAAGATAATTAAACAAAACGTTATGTTATCTGCTGCTAAGTACACGTCGTCGGCAAACAGCGGAGCTGCCGCGATAAGAGCATGCGATACTTTCCTGCCCGCGTGCGTGAGGTTGCGAACTAGGACGACTCACTTAGCTTATCGATTACGTTGCATTATTAATATTATTAAAAAGTTAATAAAAAGAATATTAACAATTTTCGTCTCATCTACACATATAATAAAATTGAACTAAGTCGAATCTGCACATTCAATATTTTTTGGAAAATCTAATTAAAATAGACATTATTATCGATACTGAGTCCGAATCTATAATTTCTAGAATTTTTGTCTGTCTGTCTGTCTGTCTGTTAGCGCATCACGAGAAACCCACTGGACAGATTTTGATGAAATTTGGTATGATGATAGCTGGTTATCCGGGTCAACATATAGGATACTCTTTACGGCGGGAAAATATCTCATGTTTGAGAAAAAAATACAAAAACTGCTCATACTCGTAGTATACTAATATATAAAACCTAATAATTTGGTTTTTAGGTCATCCCAACGCGGGCGGAGCCACGGGCAATGCTAGTAGGTACGATATAATGAATAGTTTGTTATTTGCTTAGTAAGGCGAGGCCAAAACAGCCGCAGCTACAAATCCTATAAACTTTATATATTCTTAATATATTTATGCAACAATATGTAAGATCCATATTCATGAGCAAATGCCGTGGAAGAGAGGCGAGTCGGCCTTCCCTCAGTGACGAAACTAGCGAGAACGAAAGTTATAGCGTGTCGAGAGGAGCCACCTGATGAGTCAGCTCGTTGACGACGGTTTTGCAATAACAATTCCGTGTCAGGTGACCGCGACCTCGCCGTCTCCTGTATCTGACACAATTTACCAAACAAAGTCAAAAGATATAACCTTTAGGAATTTACAATATTTTCCTTTTATAGTTTTATCGTGTCAATTTTTCATAACTACTTCATAACATATTTTATTCGGAATGTTTGTATTTGTCTTTCTTTATGATTAGGCCATGACATGTAAAAATAATATATCAGACCTGACTGGTAGTTTGAAAACTAAACGCGTTCAAATAAACAAACTCTTCAGCTATTAATTATTATATTTAAAATGTAACATAATTTTTCCCAAGCTTCTATTTTAAATAAAGTTACAAAAACACTTTGAATCATATTTTAATATAGTATGATTGATAAAAAATACATTAATAATAGATAGCGAACTTGAAATAGCTGCAAATTGTAAATTGCAAAAAATGAAAACAACATGAATGGTTTTTACGACGACACCGTCGCGCCCGGAAACAGAACCTGCTTCTTATAATAGCGGCCGGAGCACTGTGTTAGTGTTGTTACCACCAGACATGACGTCCATAATCATGTCGATATTATACATAGATTATATTTGTTCTATAAACTACTAGCATTGCCCGCGGCTCCGCTCGCGTTCAGATGACGAAAAACCAAATTCTTAGGTTTTACAGATTAGTTTACTCTTACATTGCAGTTTTCGCATCTTTTCTCAGAAATGAGATATTTTCCCGCGGTAAAAAGATCCTATATGTTGACCGGGATAACCAGCTATCACCATACCAAATTTCATCAAAATCCCTCCAGTGGTTTTTCCGTGATACGGTAACAGACAGACAGACAGACAGACAAAAATTCTAAAAACTATAGATTCGGTCTCTATATCGATAATAATGACTATTTAAATAAGTATTTCCAAAAAATATTTAATGTACAGATTCGACTTAGTTAGAATTTTATTATATGTATAGATTTTCTCTAAGTAATCTGACTTGATACATTTGTAAGAACTCAATTAAGTCAGAGGTCATTGCTCATTAAACATACCACGAAATATCGTTATCCTTTCTTTGCTCGTACAAACAATGTACAATATAAAGTAATATGGTAAGTTAAAGTTTAGTAGAGTTAAGTGAACTAAAAGAAAGTTTAATATACTTTAAAGATAATATAACATTTTTCCAAATAATAGTAACGACTCTACATATTTCATGTATATTTTCTAGAATTAATTATAACAATATTGTGTTATGGTTTCGTTCGAAATTATAATAATTAGGTCGCACAATGTAAGTGCTATTATAATAATGGTGACCTTGATTAGCAGAGGTGAGTCTATCTGGAGCGTGAAGCTCGCGCTCCGCGGCGCGTGGAGCGGTAAGACACGGCGCACAGCCTCGGCGGTCGGCGCATCTCCGAGCGGCGGGTGAGGCCGCGGTACCGTTGCGCGGTGTACCGACAGCCATTTCAAACACAGCTACTATTAAGGTCACGACTTCGACTCTACTTGTTACACAATTCGCAACTTACCATGACAGATATACTCGTATATAGGTACAGCAAATGATAAAAAAATTATTTACACTTATTACAAAACTATGTACATACGTGATCAGACATCTAAATAAAATATTACCACGTCATAGTAAAAAGTTTATCTTTTTTACCATTGGGTGTTGGTATCTGTCTATATTTTATTATATCGGAAAGTCACACGTTATTAAAACAAATACCTAGTGTCACAGTCGAACTATTATTTTCCAAAAGGTTTTACTTGAAATAAAAAAAGAGAAAAGAGAGGGAATAAATACGACGTGAAGACGCGCTGTGAGGGCGGTGCGCGGGGCGCGGCGCGTGCGCAGCGGCCCGGATTGCCTCAGACGAGCCGGACTACAACTATTACAAGATTGTTAAAATCCGTTTCATACATTAAGTGTATTACTGAGCAATTGCGCATTTTATAGACTATAAAGTAATACATACATACGGGCCATTATTATTTTTTATTTTATTTATTATAAGGAAAAAACAGTATTACAGGAAAAAAATTAATCAATAAATAAATAATAAATCAGTTCGTTTTTGGTGAGAGTGCCAACTCATCATCTGCCAACCTTCATGAAGGAGGACTTCTGGCCGCAGGGCGTCGTATTTTGGAAGTTTCGAGGTCGTTTGCCTGCCGACATAGCTCACACGTCTGCACTACGTGTTAAATAGTTATAATTAATATATGTATATGTTAGTTCTAAGGTATATATTATGCTATGGGCCTCTGTTTACATATTTAAGATGTTTTTGTAAATATTGCCTGAAATAAATGATTAAATAAAAATAAATAAAATAAATATTTACCAATTAAGTTTCCACAAATAAGAAACACATAATTAGAGTAGAAACTAGAAAGCATTAGGCTAAATTTAGCAAAAAGTTGACATGTAGGTATACGTATAAACGTATAGGTAAATATACTATAAACACAATTAAAGTACATGATCAAAAAAAATTTGTATGACTGAACTGTGTTTTCTAGTACTAATATAATTATATAATTTTATAAGTATAGTAGTTTCAAATTATAAATATTAATTATTATTTTTATTGTATTATTCTAATTTTGACATTAATTTATATTATGATTAATTTAATTAAAGTAGTTAATATGTATGTGTTCACGAATTCGAATACTTGTAATCAGTAAGTTAATTTTATCTATTATAAATATTTGTTGGAAATTGTATTTAACATTTCATATATTATTGTTTTAAAGCCGGAAATGTAATCAATGTTGTGTATACCTATAATTAATGCTTGTACTAGAATAAGTAATCTTATAACATAATAATTTAGAATGTAGGTACAATGTTGGCATATCTTGCAAATAAATAAATAAATAAATAATAAATAAATAAATGAAAATATATTTTGTATATTCCTTAAATACAGACATGCAATTTTTCTGTATATTCTTCTCCTAGTTTATTTTTAATATGGCAAAACTTTAAGTTACTTTTAAATGATATTTTTTCGTGTTTAGAAATTAATTACCAATTAAAGAAAATCTCTTTTAAGAACCCGAAAAGAAATGTTATCATAATTCAATTATATGCGGCTATTATTATTATTTTATTACCTGAATATCCCGCGCGAGGTGTCGACGGCGCGGTGACTCACATTACGAGGTAAGGGTGATCCCTTGACCTAATTACGTTATTATTACCTAAAATGCACAAGGTAAGTATTTAAAGAATAGAAACGGGTTTCCCCTGTTTCCCCTTTATTGATAATAATCGCATTTATTCGTTAAACTCAAACATCTATACAGTTATCATAAAACAAAGTCTCCCACCGCGTCTGCCTGTCTGTCTGAACGCGATAATCTTAAAAACTACCGAACAGATTTAAGTACGATTTTCACCAACGGATGGAGTGATTCATGAGGAAGATTTAGGTGTTTAATTCATAAAGTTTGGTGTAAATTGGCTGAAATATGACAATGATTGTTGAAATTTCGGAAAAAAATTGGGACTGGGAGCTCTACTGGCGTGCGCCGCGTTAACTATTGCAGGCATAACCAAAAAGTTCTATTAAATTGGAAAATATAAAATTTACTACAAAAAACTCCGCGATAGCATATGTCTATCATTTAAGGTGAAGTCACAATAACCATTTTTATGGTTGTCAAATAGGGTCTAAAATAATGCTTTATTTGCGAGGGTGTTTTCACTGTATTCAGCCCTTCATAACGTCCCACTGCTGCGCACGGGCCGCCCTTCAATATGAGGGGGATCAGGCCAAAGTCTACCACGCTGGCCAAGTGCGGGTTGGTGGACTTCACATGTCTTTCGAAAACTTGCTAGGTTCTCTCAGACATGCAGGTTTCCTCACGATGTTTTCCTTTACCGTAAGGCAAGTGGTAATCATTTTGAAAATGATTCGCACATGAAAATATCAGAGGTGCGAGACCCGGAATTTGAACCCGCTTCACTAGGTTACCCATGCGAGCGCGTCACCACTGGGCTACCACTGCCTTAACTGTTTTCACTGACATGGTTTTAATCCTTATCTAAATAAATATGTTAGAAAACTTTTGTACTTAATTTAAATCAAAACTGACCTTTACACCGTTTAAATTAGATGAATGTCTTAGGAGATATCACAGAATTAAAATAACTAGAGAAACGTGATAATATCATATCATCGACGACGACAGCGGGGGCACTGGGCAGTGGGCAGTGGGCAGAGACAGACGGAGTCGCGGAGAGTCCTAGCATGTCGCATGTCGTAGAATCGCGCGTTGTCTATCATCGAGTATTACGCACCCGAGCGAAGTGAGGGTAAGTCGCTAGTTTTATATAACCTTTAAAGTTCTTTGAGACGATTAAGACTGCGGATGTAGTTTTTGATTGATAAAGTCCGTGACATAATTGTATCAAATTTGTAGGTACATTGTAGATAATTGAGTTAGTAAATAGAACCAGTCAGCCACAGATATGTAAGTTTACAATTGTTTTAATACAAAACATTTTTTGTTGAAACTAGTAAATACTAACATTAACATTATAAATTCGACAATTGGTTGGCAAAAGATTTCAATTTGAGTGAAGTTCGAAATGAAAGGCCCATATTTTGGATTTGATAAGAATTAAGTGTATTTGCCCTTTATTTTAAGCTCTTAAATAAGCTATTGGCCTTACAATTGTTTTAATTGTAACGCAGGCAAAGTCAAGGAAGGTAATCACTGAACATGTACTACTACATACATATATATCTATACCTATAGGCCATAAGATACAAATTTTTAGATGACCTAAAAGCGTCAAGATTTACAACTTTGTTAGTTGTTATTTATCATAATAAACTTATTTATAAGTAAATTATTAGATGAATCCATCAGCCTCTTATTGTGCGAAAGAAGGTAAGACGAATAAAGCCCAACGCACCCGAACGAAGCAAAGATTAGTATTATAATATATAAATATAGATCATTAATAAATTTATGAACGTAATAATTAGTAATATGTTTAGAGTTTGGGACACATTGCAAGAGTACCACCGATGCATCATGCAGGTTACTGCTACCGTGGGTTAACAGCTGTATGGATTGACTAAAGACAAAATAGATATTTAACATTTGAAATCCTTAGACTCCGTCCGGTTGCAGCGCGCGCCCGCGCGTGACGTTGACGATTGTTACTTCACTGGGCATTCTCTGTTATATATTATGTACTTACTTATTGTGAACAGTACAGAAAGAACATCTGCTACTGACTACGGTGCTCTTACATTCTACTAATAAAACTTTAATAAAAGGTAATGTAAACCAATATAATCAAAATGTTATTATATTTCTAAACAAAGGTCCATACTAATATTATAAATGTGAAAGTGTGTTTGTTTGTTTGCCCTTCTTTCACGTCGAAACGGAGTGACGGATTGGCGTGATTTTTGTGTGAAGTTAGTTGGAGGGCTGGAGAGTAACATAGGCTACTTTTTACCGCGGGAGATTATTTTCTTCCCACGGGAAAATACGTTATAATACAATCCAAAAAAATTATATCAGAATTACTGGAAACTTGGTATTAATGCTCTTCGAAAAAATAAATAAATACATGTTTTAGCATTTTTCGAAATTTATCCTATAAGGGGGTAAAATAGGGGTTGAAAGTTTGTATGAAACTACTTTTTTAGAAATTTTTTTGTAGTTTTAGCGCGAGCGAAGCCGCGGTTTCTGCTAGTAAGTAATAATTAAGAAAACAAATAACACTTTCATTATGTTGGGTTATACTATATTTGAAGTTTTATAACTCATCGAATAGGTATATTAATTATTATACATACTTATGTATTAACTAAGGTAATATCGTACAAAACACAATAAGAAAGACTTCGTAGAATTTAGAGTATACTAATATGTAAAACCTAAAAGTTTGCTTTTTGGTCATCTGAACGCGGGCGGAGCCGCGGGCCATGCTAGTTAAATATAAGGTATGTGGTTCGGACTAACACAACTAGGTATATGTTGATATCATCGATGATCGGTTCAATCTAATGTTAGAGACAGGATGCGGTAATACTTTTAATTTGCTAAGAGTAAAATTCTCCACAATTTCTTTGTTTTACTATAGTTACAGAATTAAGTACTTCTACAAACATTCTTTTAAACAGGCTTCTCCTGGACAAACTCACTAGATCATAGACCTTATCTATGCCTTCGAGCTAAGATGAAGGTCAAGAGTAAGGTCATTTTAAATTAAAAAAAAAATATAACTAAGCGATTTATATCACGGTAAGGAAGATCTATTATCAGTCCGGGAGTACCTACCTAGTACTCCCGGACTGATAATTTAGTGAACACTTATTGTACACACTAAACTGTTGGGGCATAAATATAGTTTCATTGTAAGTTTTGTTATAAATACATATTATAAAGAAATATTAATTTTAGAATTTTGTTATATATTAAATATTTGAATTCGATCGAGTCGTGTTTGCGTTCTGCGGTTAGATGTTGTGTTTTTATTTAAAAATAACTCTTGATGTAATTTTAATAATCGACATAGCGTTTAAATCGTTTCAAATTGTTTTCCAATTAAAGTTTATATTATTTTCTAGGTAATACTCATTGTGGAGTGATTCTTCTTGTATTAGTTAATACTCAAGAATATATTTCGACAGTGCTAATAATTAAAAAACTAAAACTTAATTCCTTGAACTAAAACTACAATAAGTTGGGTGTTACCTACATACATTTTCACATTCAAATTTTTCACACGTGAAGTGATTTTTTGCCTTATTAAGCGTTCCATCCATATCGTGTTTGCCGGTTTGTCCTTCTTAACACCTCCAGGTAAATTTCTAAGAAATTAATTAAATTTCTAAGAAATCTATTGTTAACTGTAACGCCGGCGTGTCCGCGGTCGTGGAGGGATTAACGCAATGAATACAAAGATTGATGTGATTTGTTAGATAGTGACTGTTTATAAACAGAGTGACGTTGATAATATATTTTTACCCTACTTAGGTAAATTCTATAGTTCTCCCAGAGACGGACTACAGTTTTATATTTTATAGCCTTTTTATTATTGGTACCCTATATGCAACCCTATAATGTACGAGTGATGTCGAGACTCGAGCCGTATCTAATTAAGCAGACCCCTAGACGCCCACATATCCACATAATACTTAGAACAAAGTTAGATATTTAATATCAACCAAACGGGATATGTGTATTGGAATCTTAATATGCTTGATAATAACGACTTCCTCATTTAAACGGAACCTCAAAAAGGTTATTGATTTGATTTACGGATTCCTTTTATTTTCTTTTTCGTGATGAGTTTTGAAGTGAAGAATTCGGTTTTGATTAAATAATTAATTTTATAGATTAAAATTATAAATAATTCAAACTTCACTAATGGGTACATAATATTACAAATAGGTTACCTATTTGTTTAACATTTTTATATAATATTAAAGTTTGTTATTATAATTTTACTAGCATTGCCCGCGGCTCCGCCCGCGTTCAGATGGCCAAAAACCAAATTCTTAGGTTTTACATATTAGTATACTCTTAAAATGCAGTTTTTGTATTTTTTCTCACAAATGAGATATTTTCCCGCGTTAAAAAATATCCTATATGTTGACCCGGATTACCAGCTACCATCATACCAAATTTCATCAAAATCTGTCCAGTGGTTTTCTCGTGATGCGGTAACAGACAGACAGACAGACAAAAATTCTAAAAACTATAGATTCGGACTCTGCATCGATAATAATGTCTATTTCAATTAGATTTTCCAAAAAATATTTAATGTACAGATTCGACTTAGTTACAATTTTATTATATGTATAGATTATTATTGTTGCCTACAAATAACTTTTTAATCCTTGTAGACCCGGAATGGGTAATGGATTCGTGAATAGGAGTTGATATAATTTTTAGTAATAAGTATTAAGGTGGGTGGACCATGGAAGGCCACTCTAGAAATAAACATTTATTCTTCTCTGGATAAATAAAACATACAAATTATTAAGTAACACTTTGTTCTATTGTGTAACTTATAAAACACTAGCATCGCCCGCGGCTCCGCCCGCGTTCAGATGACCAATTTAGCTTTTACATATTAGTATGCTCTTACATTGCAGATTAGAATAGAATCTTCCTTATTCACAATGCAAGCTACTCGTACTTTAGTACTCTTGAGCCGATTTAAAAATAAAGGAGGAGGTGTTTAATTTTATTTAATCATTTATTTCAGGCAATAATTAATAATTATTGCCTGAAATAAATGACTTATTTCAGGCAAATTATCTAAATCAATAATTATCAAAATCAATTATCAAGGATTTAGAGGAAAATATTGAATTAGCAGTTTAAATCGGACGAGTGATTTCTAAAAACTTAATTCTGTTTTCTCTTCTACTTCAAAATTCCAACAGATTCATTTGTGTTTTAGCTGCTTATTTCCTACAATCTGACAAATCGAAAACTGATAATATTGGTATAATTTAAAGTTATAGTAATTTCCTCAAAGTATGAGGTATTTGTGCACGATCTGATTAGCGATTACCTACTCAACAATTGGTGGTAATTGTGCCTGTCTACCAGCGAACTAATATTATTACTATAATAGGTATAAAAGTGTGATGTTTATTTTACATTTGTTGTGTATGCAACTTCATTAGATAACAAATCGAATAAAGTGGTAGGCACACGTAGGTACTGTCAAGAAAGACTAGCGTAATGCTGTATTCCTAACAAAGGACTTTATAGGTATTTTATAATTTTTTCCGACGCCGCAAGAAGGAAACCCTCTTTCTGTTGTTTTTTTTTAAATTAAAAGGCTCATGAACATTATGAGCATATCACAACAATCACATGAACAACTGACGTAGCTGTATGAACAATTTTCGATACCCCTTCAATGTGTCGCAGTAAATAATGCACATTATACCAGTTCAACATGTGGCCGAGCCGCCGGGCCGCCGTCATTAGCTAACGACGATGTCAGATAGCAGCAGCGGTCGTAGACACAATTAGCCGCTGCGATTCCAAGAAGCCGTTGAGCATGAATCGTGAGACGGAAACATGAGCTGCGCCGGCGCAGCGCACGTACAGTTCCGCACAAAGGAACCGGGTCACCGCCACCGACCCGCCCCTGCCCCCGCTCCCGCCCTCTCGGGGACACTATTATGAAATATGGGCACATTTTATATTTCCCCATCAATGTATTTAAATCATTTTTCTAGCTTTTAACAACAATTTGCGATTGTACACTGTCATTACTGTCATCAGCAAGCAGCAATTGACGATACAAAGACGCACAAACGATGAGATGATGATATATTATGATGATACGTGATGGAGCGATGAACGTGATTTGTCTAACTGTCCATTATATCAATCAGCTTACGAGTGAACCAGTCGTTCCATTCCAGTCGATAGATTGAAAGAATTGACCTATTGGTGTCGCTCTTCTATACAAGACACTTAATGTACCTATATAATTTATAGTATACGTATACACAAACTGTTTTCTTGCCTAATAATATATTTTTTACATTTCACAATGCTTTTGAACTATTAACGCCACAATGAGCGCACTCCCCGTCGACAGACCACTATTGTGACCGGGCGCAATAAAAGATCCACTCACACCGCCTTCTATTCTTCGTCTGCGTCTCTGAATACATCATTTACTAGTTACTACACACTCAATTGATACGAAAAAATCCTTTGCAGTTATATTGCGATTAAATTTATTATATTCGCTAGTACGCGCGGGTCCAAGCACACTATGCACTAATACGTTACCTAAAAGCACGACGCGTCGCCAACAGTTCAGACTTGAGACAATTTCTTAATCTAGTTAAAATTAGTTACAATTACTAATTGTAAAAAATAAGTGCAAGTCCGACCCGCGCACGTCTCAGACCAATCCGACTTCCTAGGCATCATCCAGTAAAGTGTGTATTAAAGTTATCTTCGTAAAATAGAAATGCTTAAAAGTAAAATAAAATGATTAGCAATTTATAATATTCATTTTCCTATTCGATGTTTTAAACTATCATAAAAGATATTTTGTAATCCTAATCGATTACATTTACCTTCACAGCTCCACGCCCCGCGGGCAGCATCGCACCATACAAGAGAGCTCGAGGAATCTATTCAACGTACATTTTTCAAAGAATTAATCTCTGAACTAATATTAAATTTAGGTTATTTTCTTACTGATACTGAGAAGTTAGAATATATCTTCTTTATAATTTTGTACTAGGTTAGCTATATTTTGCTTCAATCTTATTAATATATATAAATTGCGGCCTTGTCGTAAATCATCGAACGGGTGAAATTTCGCACGCAGATGGACCATGTACCTACCTACCCTACTGTACTAGCACAAAGAATATCTACTTTTTAAATCCGATGCGATTTTGAGGAATAATTGGTTCAACTTCTATGGTGATTGTACCAATTTTAGAGCTTATCAACAGACTGTGTACCTATAAGGCATATTCTTAATGAATACCAAAAGTTAGCATTAACGTTTACATAGAATATGTGTCTTGAAATGTCCGATAGGAACTGGGCCAGCCATTATCCTGCGCATTAGGGGCACATTCCGTTATCAGGCAATAAGCGCAGGCGCCACCGCTGCGCGACCGCTCCCACCCGCTTCGAGCGACGCGGACAGCGAGTACTGGCACCGGCGACCGATCAGCCAGTAATCGACACGCGATGAGACATCGCCTGTAAGCAGAAACGCTGACCTATTTCCTCTTAACATTAACCACAAGCAACTTCATACATTCATTTCTCTTATAAATGGCTTATGATTGTTTCGCATTTTTCATTACGAGAACTATGCTCGTAACAGACTCCAGATAGGATCTAAATAAATACCTCTTTATTTAAGTAATATAAATATTACTTTATTTTTTCAATGTATCTAAATACTAAGCCAAATCAAATTCTTAATTTGTAGTTTACATAGCATTGAAAGATGCTAGACAGCTAAGACTAATACGAACTTATAAATAAATCGTAAATAGGTACTGTAGAACTCAGTTATATATAAAAGGCATCCACCCAAGCGATGCTCGTCACTACACCGACTGTGACTACCCGACACCCGAATATGTACACAATGGATCGCTCCTCACTTCATATTGACTGTAAACAACTTATTTCCGACGAGAACAAGAATGAGATAATGGCCTATGTTGTGGGAAGGATACACACGAGATGACGTTATGTTTTTAATTCAGATTTAAAACAATCGTATACTACCGTCTTATTACATATGTATGTATAATAAATACGCAGGAAGCGTACTTATTGTTCTATAGGTACGAAATAAGTACAAACACAATATCTTCAAATCTATGAAGGTATATAATAAAATTAAAATTACAAGTAGAATGATTCAATTACCAAGCAACAACTATCTATGTGCTTTAGCACGGTTGAAGGTGGTAAGTAAACAGACGATACAATTATAACCTGTTTTTTTCCAAAATTGCGGATACGCTCGTCGCAGAAATTTTATTGCGTCAAGTGATTACGATTACTAGTAGCAGCAGCAGCCAGGAGTAGGTCGAGGCCCGCGTGTTCGCCTCTACGTCACACGGCACGCGGTGCATACTAACGTGGCGGGTCCCGCGCTCAGCGAGCGGAGCGGCGCGAACTGGGTGCTTTACGACTGTTTGATAAACATTGGGCCGCAGTGTTGACGTAACTCTCGTCAGTTGTTTTGGTTCTGAACCAAAGCCCGACAGCGCAACACATCGAGTGTAACACTTAACCGAGTAGTGAGGCGTACTTAATGCAGTTTTACATGACATTTGCGATCGCGTACTACCTTCGGCGAGCTGACATTCCACATCGCAGGAGTGTGCGGTGTGACGACTGACGAGGTGCGGCAACGTGTGCGGGGTGTGCGCGGGCGACGCGGGGGTGTGCGGGGTAGGCGCGGGGGGCGGCGACCTCGGCGGTAACCCGGTCCCTGCACCGAGCGCTTGCAATAAAACGAGAACAAAACGCGCTAGGAAACACCTGCTCATCAGATGCGAGTTGTCTTTACTCTTTATACATATTTAAAGATATTTACATTTTATTTATTAAATTTCTAAATATGAGTTTAAACTAAAATAATTAGATAGTACATTGTACATGTATGATGTTATAAAATTGTAAGTCACTTTTATTACCCAAATAACCTTGAGTTGAGTTTGAAATGAGTGAATAGATCAAAGGAACACCCACGTAATTAGCATTCGAGTGCTCGATGTGAGGCATTCCGAGCGAGCTCCGGACGGTGAAAGCGTGCGCCACACACTACTTTCCACCGACCTCGCCTCAATGTCGCTCGCGAGTCGCAACGCTCGAATGTTACATACTACCTACATTGTTTACAATATCCGCACGTATGTAACTACGAATTTCTGAACATACTTACACACTACTCAAGGACTAAAGTAAAATTATTTAAAGTATATATTATCCAGTGTTCGTGTTTCTATTACGCCACTGAATTTAATTTGACACTAAGTTTTGTAATTAAATAAAATATCATACACCTTTTAAACAAAACAAGCTCTCGAAACTTTTATAGCGAATAAATATGCTGGCAAGATGAGATGACGAGTGGTGGCCTCGTGGGTACAATCGCATTCGTGTGTGGCCGACACATTGCCGCTGCACACGCACGGTTCACCGCACAGCTCTGCTTGCATGGCTGCCAGCCAAACCGCAGGGCTTTAGTCATAATTTAACTTTAACATGAAATAAAGTATTATGATATCAAGAAATGTGTTACAGCTATTTCTGGATATCCGGTTTAGGACACAATAAAACATTTGTAAATACTGTTAGGTAGTCTCACTTGTCTGCTCCATATACTTTACCTTTTGTTCAATTTGTGAGAGCGAAGAGAAAGTTGACCGACAAACTTCGGAATACTATATAAAATTCGGGCAACCTGTTATCCCTAAGGACGTTCATACTAGCTATCGAATGGTGCGATCGCCATGCCTAGATATAATATTGATATAAAGTAATGAGCATGTGTGAAATATTTACATAGAATAAAATGAAGTCGCTTCTGCTGTCTGTTCGCTTAGATCTTTTAAACTACTCAACGGATTTTAACGCAGTTCTTAACAATAGATTGAGTGTTTCAAGAGGAAGGTTTATATATATAATACATGCATATTATATTACAGAAGAGCCGAGAAACTCAAAGATTTGTATTTCATACTAACCGTTAAAACGAACCCGAGCGAAGCGAGAGTTACTCGCTAGTATCAAATAAGATAACATCAAATGTGTCACACTTTATACTGTAATATAAAAAATATAATAATTTTACTTAAAATCTTTCTATCACACTGACAGAAGTGTACTCTACAAATGACGCATTCATCGATACAAGGGAAGTTAAAAGCACAGATCATATAATACTATTAAAAGTTGCTATAAAAGTCACTCCACAGATCATTGACTCTATAAATCAGCCTCTTTACAGTTCCTCTCATTTATTTCTTAAATACCTATTCTTAGATAACTATGCTTCGTGCATTATGTATGCGTAATGCGAATAAACTCAGTCATGTGTGCAGTTTATTTAATCAAAACAAGAAATATTGATTTCATAATCGTCAACAACATATTATGACATCATAAACTCGTATACCTGTTACTAAAAGTGTATTAGTGATTTGGAAAGAATTCCACTAATTCAGTTCTAATGCAGCGCCGTTGCGTCACATTGATTACAAGCTGTCGGGCTAAATACTAATTAGTAACGATATGCCTGCCTTATCGGCGTCCGAGCAGCATACGGCGACCGTCGAAGTCTGTGTTTGGACAACAATCTAAATGTTAAGACCGATTAATGACAATAATTGGACCCAGTTATGCAAAAAACAGCGATGTGCGTAAGAGTACCAACAGAGTTATATGCATGTTATTATAAAAAATAAAATCATTATAAAAAATAAACAATATTTATATAAATATTGTTCAATTTTAAAATAACCAGAGAAACAAAACATAACCCAAGTGCAACTATCGACAGAAAAATGCTTATAACTCTGTTGGTACTTTTACGCACATGGCAGTTTTTTGCATATCTGGGTCCAATTATTTCGACGCACAGATTTTGTTTAAATATATTGATGGGTAAATCTATTTTTAGGGAAAATGCCTCTATTAAAGAAGCAGCGTAGCTACTTTTTTAACTGAATAATATACCGGTAAGACAGTATCGTGTCAAAATGGTGTAGTGAGTGCGACATCGGTATGCCACTTAATTTTATTCGCAATTGATAATAATGAAAACAACATGCAAAGCACGTTGACATTGTGGCGTCAGCTGTTTAGAGGCTCGTTATAAATTACAACAGAACAATGCCGGTGCGCGCGGAATCAGAAAAGATATATTAAGCGATTAAACACGATTATAAGCACTTTTATATAGTTAAATAATTATTCTTCGCTTTCGATCCTGACGTACTTATTTCGTAAAGGCGTCTTGGTAGCGGTGGTTTTTAAATAATTAAAAGCGAAAACTCTTTTCATCAACATTGTAATGTAATGCGACAGCGTCAAGAATTTAACTGTCAATAAAGATACATAAGCGAGTAGCGAGTGCGACGGGCCCCACTGTCCCACACACGTTGCACAACGTAGAGAAAGCGCAGCCGCCGAGCGCCGCCCGCCGACGCGTCGCACAAAAGATATAAACGCGCGCTCTCGAACTCTCATAGAACAATGGAGATAGCACTTACATTGAGATAAATGAAAACAGGTTTTTAAACTTTACAATCATTTTTATTTCAACAGCCTCTCGAACGGGCAAGACGTTCGCAGATATTCAATCACATTTTGTCAATAGAGTTCCTCATATAAATTAACACATATACATATACAAACACGTATACACTAAAAATGCGGCACGAGCCTGGACTTTCGTATGTATATATATACAGAGCCTCGACACGGTCGCAGGTACATCATACATTCGTAATCGTTAAACTAGAGTACAAAAATAATACTGTAGAATAAATATATGGTGCATGTGCGATTAGCACACCGTCTCCATGGGCAGGCGCGGCTGAGCCGGCGGCTGGGCGGGCTGCTGGGCGGGCGGCGCGGCCGTCGTGTGCGTCAGGGACTCCCCGCAGGACGGCAGATGCGAGGATGAGTGCGCGGCGGCGCCGGGCGCCCGCGCACACCACGCCGCCGCCGCGCGCTTCAGCGCCGCCCACGCGTGCGGCTGGCACCCCACCACCAAGAAGATGAACACGCCTTGCAGCGCGTTCAGTAGGTCCGTCGCGTACCACACGTACTCTGGACCACCCGCCGCCCAGGACACCACATCTGCACCCCACGTCACGCCCATCACCACCACCAGCTTCGCGCACACGCGACCGAGGGCAGCCCTGGACAAGAAATGTTGCATTATGGCATATGGTCGTCATCGCTTGGCTAAACGTTGAATAAAGTGAAATACAGATTTTATAAGATATGTACCTCTCTGATGTGGACTTGACTTCATCGCGCCGCCAGAGGCCGCACGTTAGCTGCCTGGTGGTGGAGATGAAGAGCGCGAGGTTAACGAGCAGGAGCACGCCGACGGGGCCAAAGAAGTAGACGAGTATCTCCATGTCGCCGTAGAACCAGCATCGCTGCACGGCGAACCGCGGGCGCAGTAGGCCGGGAGCAGCGCCGGGCGGCAGGCGGTCGAGCAGGGCCGCCGCGCCCGCCACCACCAGCGGCCCGCCCCACGCGTACACCATGTACACTCGCAGGCGGCACGCCTCCTGCCCGCGCTCCAGCGACGTCGGCCGGAAGTCCCTGTACGACACAAACCGAGCGCAACGCGCGTTATTGTTGGTTCCAAGCCCTGATATTACCTTTCTACGAGCATCACACTAACCGTTTGATTTGTTGAATATTCGTAACTAATTGTTTCAACAGAAAATCTATTTTGCCAATATATGAAAGGGGCCATTCATTAACTACGTAAGGATGATTTTGACGGTTTTTGAACCCCCCTACCCCCATGTACATAAGATTTCTCGAACCCCTCCTCCCTATTTTTACGAAAGATACAATGTAGTTTTTCTGAATATTAAAACGTTGTTAGAAAAGGAATAGATACACTAAAACTCACAATTTAACGTAAATGAAAGATTTAATCTATACATATAATAAAATTCTATCCGAGTCGAATCTGTACATTAAATATTCTTTGGAAAATCTTATTAAAATAGACATTATTATCGATACAGAGGCCGAATCTATAGTTTTTTGAACTTTTTGTCTGTCTGTCTGTTACCGCATCACAGAAAAAGCACTGGAGGGATTATAATGAAATTTGGTATGATGACAGCTGGTTATCCGGGTCAACATATAGGATACTTTTTACCACGGGAAAATGAATTTTGAGAAAAAGTACAAAAACTGCAATGTAAAAGTATACTAATATGTAAAACCTAAGAATTTGGTTTTTGGTCACCTGAACGCGGGCGGAACCGCAGGCAATGCTAGTTATAAATTATAATAATCTTTGATAATGCCGCCGATAAATCTGCGAATTTTAAAATGTTGTATTTTTCATAAGAAGTAAGTACTATCTTATCTTAGTGCACTAAAATGATTACAAATATACGATTTGTTTTTTTACCTAATCATTTTATACATATGTATAATAAAATTAAAATTCTAAATAAGCCGAATCTGTATATGAAATATTTTTTGGAAAATCTTATTGAAACTAGCGACTCACCCTTCGCTATGCTTCGCTCGGCTTCGTCCCTAGGTACGTTTTAATTTTTTTGAGCGGAACCCTAATTCTTTTTCTAAAATAAAAGTAGCTTATGTTACTTCCTATAACATCAGCTATCTTCCAGTGAAAGTCCCATCAAAATCAGTCCAGCTGTTTCAGAGATTATCCGGAACAAACAGACAGACAGACAAAAATTAAAAAAAAAGTGTGTTTTTTTATAAGTACCGTATATATTTTCATATGCATTTAGTAAAACGCTGTTATTTTGACATTACAAACAGACACTTTATCTCTACATTTCATTTATCTGTATAGATAGACATTATTATCAGTGCAAAGGCCGAATCTATAAATTTTAGAATTTTTGATCTTATTATAAATATTTTGTTTATATATTTTGTCTGTCTGTCTGGAAACGCATCACGACAAAACCACTGGACAGATTTTGATGAAATTTGGTAATATAATAGCCGGTTGTCCGGGTCAACATATATGATACTTTTTACTGCGGAAAAATCTATACATCTCTAAGGAATCTATATTACCCGTTAAAACGTACCAAGGGATGAACACAAGCGGAGCGAGGGTGAGGCGCTAGTTGTCAATAAGTATTGTTTAACGATCGAGATTTAAGCGGCCAACAGCAATCAGAGTAAATAATGTATCGAATAGATTGTTATTCCCGTAAGTCATTTGTTGACCTTTAGACATAACAAATACGAGGTTTTTGAATGTACTAATGTTCTGTGTAAAATTCATTGTATTGTATTCAACCCTTTTTAACGTCCCACTGCTGGGCACGGGCCTCCCTTCAATACGAGGGGGATCGGGCTATCATGTGTGTGTGTGTGTTTGTTGTAATTTGTATTTTAACGAAGAACACTAAATTTGAATCAACTGTCTGTAGATAATGAAAGTAACTGTTAATAACCACTGGTTATTTTAGTTTTTCAATATTTTCAAAACTTTAAAAAAAACTGACTTCCAGGCACTAAAATGTAAAAAATAACTAAACGGAGGTTTTCATTTAAAATAGATACCTAATCAGATATTTTCGAAGTCGATGCCAGCCGATGCAAAGCAAATCTAATATACATATTTTGATACGTAAAATACATATTTACCTATTAGAATATTCATATCTTAAAATATTATATATCATATAAAATATATATTGTTGATTTCTTTATAAACCGCTCGACCGATTTCGATAAAATTTATATCTGGGAAGATTATAAATATAAATATTACCTGGGAAGTATATAATATGAATATTACTTGGAAAGTATACCCTATGAAACAAAAAAATCCAAATCGGTTCAGGCGTCTTCGAGTAATCGGTGAACATACATATAAAAAAAAAGATTCCGACGAATTGAAAACCTCCTCCTTTTTGGAAGTCAGTTAACTTAAAGTCCTCCGCCGCGCATGTCTGTTTATTCGCGATAAACTCAAAAACTACTGCACCGATTTTCATGTTGTTTTTACCAATACATAGTGGTTCTCGAGGAGGGTTTTAGTATATAATAGTTTTTGTATACATTGGCTAAAATATAACGATATTTGTTGGAGGTGTCGGAATAAAATAAGCCTTCTGGGAGCTTTCAACGAAAAGGCTGCCTAAACCCTTTGAGATATAATAAAATAATGTATGGTGGAATCGTGTATCTTATATAGGCCTACAGAAAAGTCCGCGATGGCATATGTCCATCTCTTAAGGATAACATACTATATTCATTTCAATTTAAAACGTACCTAGGGACGAAGCCGAGCGAAGCGAGGGCGAGTCGCTAGTGTATATTATAAATAACTTACTTTTTTGCATTAACTATCTTAGTTTTTAAATACTTATGGGTATCTCTGAACATTGTGTACTCACCGGAAAGTCCACCAGATGTTAAAGCACATAGTGTTCAACCAGAAGAACGCTGACAGAAACAGGAAATGCATACACACAGCTGCAAGACCACACCGCCGCACCGCACATGCACAGAACGAGAACAGCACGTTATTTATCTACAGTAGCCGTTTGGACATAGAATATACTAAATATGTTCGTAGAGGAGTCAGGAATCTGAAGCGGGGAAATGCTCACCGAGCGCGCTGCAGAGCGCGGGCGGCACGCGGTCACCGGCCAGCTGCGTGGCGGCCAGCAGCACGTCGCCCAGCATGAGCGCGGCTACGTAATGCGTCTGGCAGCGCCAATGCAGCGCGTGGTGCGCCGCCGGCAGCGCGAATCCGGCCGCCAGCGTGGCCGCCAGGAACGCCGCGCCCACCGCCAGCCCCGCGCCGTACAGCGCGTGGCGAGCCGTCTGCGGCGGCCGTTGCGCGCGCGCTGCCGCCTCACACGCCAGCACACGCGTGCCCTCGCCTACTACCGTCTCCGCACACCACGTGCCCGCCGCTAACCGCGAGCCCTCCCCGTGCAGTTCCAGAGCGCCGTCCTCGAGGAACTTGGCACCGCTCAGCACGCCCGCGACCGCGTAGCGCGAACCCTCCGCGCACGCCGGCCAACCGGCGAACACCGCTTTGCCGTTTGACAACTCGCGCAACTCTTGCAGAGCCTCGCTCGATCCTGTCTCGTTCTCCTCACAACGAGAACCGTTAAACACTCGTCCCTCGGCACAACACTTGGCGGGACCGCGGCCGCCGGCGTCCTCCGCGCATACCAGGGCGGACGTCGCATCCGCACAATATCGTTCGGTCGGTAACGCGAGCGCGACACCACGCATCCACAAAGATCCGTTGTTTGCGAGCAATGCGTAAGATGCGGCATGCTCACGCAAAACTCGCAATTCATCGCAAGCTGGCAAGCGAGAGTACACGAGCCGCCAGTGTCCCGGCAGTCGGCCGCTGTCGAGGAATTGCCCCCGGGCCGGCGCGTACACCCGGGGTGCCCAGGGCGGCTGGGCGGGCGCCGGGCGGCAGGCGGCCGGCACGGTGGAGGCGCGCAGCAGGTCGGCCCGCAGCGCATCGGGTGGCAGCGCGTACTCGGATGGACAGCAGCGCGGCACGTCCACAGCCGCGGGCCGCGCGCCGCCCGCCGCCGCCCAACACCAGCAAAACAGAACCAAAGCCGCTGTAAGCATCGCAGATCTCACCGGCCTCGGGCGCACTTAAAACACAGCATTATAGACTGACGCAATGATTAAAAACTTTCTAAATCACTCGTCGAATATTCCGTTTACTGAACAACTTCACTGGCGGACCGTAAAAATGAAACATATTATTTCGACGAAAGTAAACGAGCACGTGTAGGAAAGCTCACGACGCAGTCGGCGCGACCTCTCACTGCGGGAACTTGTGCGACACTGATGCCTCGCGCCGACGGCCGAGTGGCGGACGCCGCGGACGGGACGCGGACGCGGTGTCGGGTGTAGTGGTAGTGCTAGTGGCTGAGCTGAGTACTTTGTACTCTGTAGCCTGTACAGGCGACTAGGCGCGCCGCGCGGCGCGCACTCCACGCGGGCGGCGGCTCTCGTAACGCATTAAGATTATGTTCACCGTTACACAAACATCGCACACTACAACAATTTCTGTCATAAGTCAAAACAAATAATGGACAAAGTAAACTTTTAAGATCATACTATAATAATATAATTTTAAATAAAACTATCTTTTCGGACGTTTTCGCAGATTTATTTTGATTTTTGGTTCCCGGCGTTTGGAATGCTTTACAGCAATCACGATCACGGGAGAGACTAAGGTGTTAGATGTCTCAAAGGTTATAATAAGGCTACCCACAAATAACAAAATGAATTCAAAAAATTGAAAAATGGCACCTCTCCTTCGCCAGTCTCTCCCGTTATAGCTGACATCTTCATGGAGGCCTTCGAGGAGACTGCCCTAAACACATCCACCCTTGAACCTTCGTTTCTACAAGCGGTACGTAGATAACGCTTACTCAATATTACCATGTGATATTATACCACCTGTATTCTTAGAACATCTTAACTCCATAAACCTTAAAATACAATTTACAATGGAACTGGAGTCTAATAATTCTTTAGCTTTCTTAGATGTTTTAGTTATACGTAACTCAGATAACACTTTGAGTAATACTGTGTATGGAAAGAAGACCCATACCGATAGGTACCTGAATGGTGAATCTCACCACCACCCTTCACAGTTAATTACCGAGGGAAAATCTTTGTTTCAGAGAGCACAAGGGATCTGTGACGAGCAATATCTGGCCAGAGAGCTGCAACATGTCAATCAAGTTCTGCGAGACAAAGCTTCGAAACGTCGGGAACCAAAAATGAAAATAAATCTGCGAAAAAATCCGAAAAGATAGTTTTATTTAAAATGTCACATATTCGCGTAAATCTAAGAAAGTACCATACTATAATTATTATTTACCTGTATTTACAATTAACAAACGATGCATGTTTATGATTCGTGAATGCGTATTATTATTTGTTTATCGAGAAGAATAGATAGGTTCAACCTTTAAATTTCTAAAACAGCTGTTAATATTATAACGTGACGTCTGTAAAGGTTTAATTACAAATTTTTAACATAAACCTTTTTATAAACTACATATTAGTACATATATGTATTTACATAGGTATGATGATTTTATATATTCCTTACTTGAGAAATATTTGATTCCCCATACAAACTTTCTTCCCCTTTTTCACCCTTTTTAGGGATGATTTCCGGGAAAAACTATCCTATATCCTTCCCAGGGTCTCAAAATCTTCATACCAAATTTCATGAAAATCGGTTATACGGATTTTTAGTTTATCCATTACAAACAAACTCACAAACTTACAAACTTTATCTCCGTATAATTTTAGTGTAGATTGCAAGAAAAGTATGTTCGAATTATAATGAGTGATTAAACATTATTTAATATTAGTAGTTACTAGCATTGCCCGCGGCTCCGCCCGCGTTCTGATGACCAAAAACGAAATTCTTAGGTTTTACATATTAGTATATTCTTACATTGCAGTTTTTGTATTTTTTCTCAGAAATGAGATATTTTCTCGCGTTAAAAAGTATCCTATTACCTATATGTTGACCCGGATAACCAGCTATCACCATACCAAATTTCATCAAAATCCCTCCAGTGGGTGTTTTCTGTGATGCGGTAACAGACAGACAGACAAAGATTCTAAAAACTGTAGATTTGGCTTCTGTATAGATAATAAATAATAATGTCTATTTCTATAAGATTTTCCAAAAAATATCTTATGTACAGATTCGGCTTAGTTACAAGCATTGTGTACAATGATAATAATGAGGTAGGCCTTGGAGGCGAAGACGCTACGTTTAGGACCATTGCAACGACTACAACGCACCACGAGGTAACACATGGAAGAAATAAGAAATATCATAAAGCATAATGTAAATACAATAACAATCGAAGTTAAATATAATCCCTAGACTAAGTTCTCTTTTCAACAAAGGCATTTTTTTTATTTTCATTATCCATGTAATCTCATTCTAGGAAACTACGTACCCTTGGCTTTCAACTTAATTCTTTTTATTGCTGGTACGAGGTATATGATTTGACTTCTTTGTCTTTTTAAATCCATATCTACAATAGGGCTTAGTGATTCATCGTACAAATGGCTAAGTTTTAATTGTTAGAGAAACCTTCGCCCGCAGCTTTGTTACAGATTATTGTGGTGATACCTATACAAATACATAGGTATAATAAAATTCTAACTAAACCGAATCTGTACATAGAATATTTTTTTGTAAGATCTTATTAAAATAGATATTATTATCGATACAGAGGCCGAATCTAGTTTTTAGATTTTTTGTCTGTCTATTTGCCTGTCTGTATCTGTCTGTGACCGCATCACAAAAAACCACTGGCCAGATTTTGATGATATTTGGTATATTGATAACTGGTTATCCAGATCAACATAATATAAGATACTTTTTACTGCGGGAAAATATCTCATCTCCGAGCTAACGTTAAAACGAAACTAGGGACGAACCCAAGCGGAGCGAGATTGAGTCGCTAGTCGTAAGTAAAAAAATGTATATTAGCATCTGCTGATCATTAAATTCCTGGTAACAATATAAATTTAACTTCTAGTATTCAACAAATACGTAAATACTTATTATAAATAATGTACATTCCACATCAATTCAATTAATGATTAATTTAAAGTTTATGTATAAAAAAAGTTAAAGATTTGTTGATTACATCGCGTTGTGCAGTGATTGCTAACATGAGCTTTACGACAGTTCTGGGTTCTAACTTTGAGCTCGCTAAGCTCGCACACTGAGTCAAATCTGTACATTAAATATTTTTTGGAAAATCTTATTGAAATAGACATTATTATCGATACAGAGGCCGAATCTATAGTTGTTAGAATTTTTGTGTGTCTGTCTGTCTGTCTGTCTGTTACCGCATCACAGAAAAACTACTGGACGGATTTTGATGAAATTTGGTAAGTTCATAGCTGATTATCCGGGTCAACATATAGGATACTTTTTACCGCGGGAAAATGTCTCATTTCTGAGAAAAAATACAAAAACTGTAATGTAAGAGTATACTAATATGTAAAATCTAAGAATTTGGTTTTTGGTCATCTGAACGCGGGCGGAGCCGCGGGCAATGCTAGTGTACATATATTTTTTTTTTGTTCTTGTTTTGTTGTTTCAATTCATAGAATTTAGCACAAGATAAAATATTGAAGTTGTAGAAGGTAGTGTTTAAAAAAAAATAGGAACTTAAATCAAATTTGAAATATTATACGTAAACGAAGCAATAAAATCTTTGGTTAGATCGTAAAATATGTACAAGTAACGCCATCTGTAGTAATTGCGCTTACACTGTTAAGCTCCGTAGTCCGTACAATTTGCCTTCAACTTTTTATTGAACAGCGCCGTACTAAGAACCGCGCAGTTTATCGTAGCTAGATGGCGTGCCTTTACAATTTTAACAGTGATAATATATAATACCTAAATACATGTGAAATATAAGGTAACCTCGGGTCGCGTTATCGCATAATGATTTAGGTACTCACGATTTCAATAGTTTTCTATTATTTATTACACACTTATCACGATTGTTTTGGAAAGCGGGACTATTAATGTTCCTAATAATACTTACTATTTTATTTTACATAATTAAATTTTGAATAATACTACATTTAAATAACTTTACTACTACCTTTACTTTTTAATTACTTTGCATTAAAATTAGCAAAGTAAAACATATAGGTCGTTTGTTTCACATAAAACACAATTGCCTGATTCCACCAACAACCCATAAGCTACCACCGACGTATTAAAAGTCCCCTAAACTAGCCCCTAAATTAAATTTCGTTTTACGATCGTCTTTAAGCCCATATTTCGAGCACCTAAATTTTCCATGCTTAGGGGATCCCTTAAACTTAGGTGACGTTGGTGAAATCGGGCAAATATCTTCTATCCAAAACAAGGAAATTTTATCCGAATATACGACGCTTCATTGAGTTCAGTTACCACTTGGAGCAGCATCCCAATTAAAAAACTCCAATAGAATCCCATCAAAAGCGACAAAAGCCACTTATTGATTTCTATGTGGGTTTTGTCGCTTTTGACGGGATTCTATTGGAGTTTTTCAACAGGGATAATACGACATAAATTAAAAAAATCCTATGTAGAACACATTATATTGTATAATTAAAGCCTAAAGAGTACTTTGAATATGCAAGTAGGTGAGTAGATTATATTTCGATTTATTCGTTGATAAAGGGCTATAATAATATTCAAATGTGCAAGAATCGAACGCGTAACCCCAAACGGGTTAGGCAATGCCAGTCAAACCCAACTGCGTCACAACTTAACATAATATTTAATTATTATTTAAATCTCTTATCTACATAGTTTGTAAAGTAGGTCCATACCAATACCTTGTTAACATTATAATTTGAATCGAACTTGCGACCTTCAACGTGCTAACTGCGAGCGGACTAGAAACTGTTATGGTAATCAGGATTCGTGACTGACGCATGTTTACTAGAAATTGCAAACCTTTGTACCTATATCTTCCTATAGTCTCATCCATACCTACTGCATCATATCGCGAATTCGCGAATTTATTCTTATCTCGATTGTTTTTTTTTTGCTAATATTAGTCCAGAACGTATTTACATAGTCTGGCCATAAATACTGTTACAATTAAAAATAAACAAAATATTACATTTGAATTTAGAATCTGTCATTTTATATGATTGTTCAATGTGTTTTCCCATTTTCGCGCCAATACATTGTAAAATATTTTGTGATATTAAAATGGAGTGGGGTGATAAACAAAACCGAATCGCTGTAATTGCATTACACACAGTAGGTATGGAGCCAACAATTTTTAAAACTCTATTGTTCCTTCTTCCATATTAGTCAAATGTTTGTGTACCGGGTTATTGATAGGTACAATCAAACCTCTGTTTGTGACAGAAAAAGATCCGGCTGTCCACGTAGTGTTCGTACGAAAAATAGAATGCAATAGAAAAAATGTTTTTTTTTTCTTTGTAACAATATTTAGGACAAGGCTATGTATATATAGGTAATAGGACGATTGATACATACTAAAATTAGGCAACATTGTGGGTCACTGACCTACCTACGAGGCTACGCTAGTGATATTTCAATAAGACCCCTTGTATTTTTTCTGTCGTTTAGTTGAGTTTTACTGTTTAGAATGTCCCAGTAAAAGTCCGGACCGTTAGGGAATTCCCCCCGAACGCGTCTGCGGGTGCTGCGGCTGATCTCTGGTCTAGCATTGATCAGTTAAAAAATTGGACTTTAATTATATAATTTTATTAAGTCACAATTACAATTTATCGGCGCGTGCGGCGGCGGCGCCGTGTTGCATCACCTTTTAACGTATGAATTTCGTTCGCTATACCTACAATGCATGTTGCTGAATGTTTATGATACCCTAGTATAGTACTTGTCTAACAAATTTCATTGTTTTCATTTCATTCTAAAATTGCATTTGTAACCAATGCCTTTTTACAGTTTGTGCCTATTTTGTAAACTGGCACGTTTTAAAGCCATTAAGAAGAGAATTGAATTCTATTTTGTACCAAAAATCTATTACAGAACTACGGGATTTCCTACTTCTATGATTTAAGTATATGATATATGTTAGTGGGTACTAGGTACATGACGGCGACAAAGTAGTAAAAAGAGCGCTCGGAGTCATCCTCGTAATTCATATATTTGTGTATTTACATTGGTAAATAAATAAAGATATTGCGAGAAACATATAGTTATATTAGGGCGGATGTGGCGCTTCGGGAGATTCGTCAGGTGCGGCTGGCACGGCGGGCGCGGCGGGTCGGGCGGGGGCGGGGGCGGGCGGCGAGGGCGGCGCGTCGGCCGCTTCGGAGTAGCGCGGCGGGTTGGCCCAGGGGTCGTAGCCCAGCACGGACAGCATGGGCGCCAGCTCCGCCATGTCAGCGCGCACGTCGGCCGGGATCTGCCCCACCCACTTGTCAAGCGCGTCCAGGTTGACGGGCCGCACCACCTGGTCCGACGACCGCTCCACGCTGCGGCATAAAACACTCCTCATTCATAGCTCCGTTGGAACAGACGTGCAACATAAAACCAGACATTTTTCATTTATGATGACATATAAGTAAAAATGCCTACATAATATAGTGTAGTACTAAAATAAATACTACTAAAATGTATTTATATTGTAGTAGCGTTGCCCGCGTATCCGCCCGCGTCCAGATGACCAAAACCAAATTCTTAGGTTTTACATATTAGTATACTGTTACAATGCAGTTTTTGTATTTTTTCTCAGAAATGAGATATTTTCCCGCGGTAAAAAGTATCCTATATGTTGACCAAGATAAACAGCTATCATCATACTAAATTTCATCAATATCCCTCCAGAGGTTTTTCTGTGATGCGGTAACAGACAGACAGACAAAAATTCTAAAATCTATAGAATCGGACTCTGTATCGATAATAATGTATATTTCAATTAGATTTTCCAAAAAATATTTAATGTACAGATTCGACTTAGCACTGTCGGCTCGCGTTCAGATGACCAAAAAACAAATGGACTAAGATCCCAGTGCAAGATTGCTACGTTCATAGCGTATTTAATCGAAATCATTTTTTTATATACAATAATAAAAGGGACAATGGTTTCGATTAAATACGCTATGAACGTAGCAATCTTGCAGTGGGATCTCGATCCAAAATTCTTAGGTTTTCATATTAGTATACTTGCAGTTTACATTGCAGTTTTTGTATTTTTTCTCAGAAGTGAAATATTTTCCCGCAGTAAAAAGTATCCTATATGTTGACCCGGATAACCAGCTATCACCATACCAAAGTTCATCAAAATTTCTCGAGTGGTTTTTCTGTGATGCGGTAACAGACAGACAGACAAAAATTCTAAAAACTATAGATTCGGCCTCTGTATCTATAATAATGTTTGTTTCAATAAGATTTTCAAAAAAAATTTTAATGTACAGATTCGGTTTAGTTGCAATTTTATTATATGTATAGACAATGTTGATGCTCAGTTGCGTCGCCAAACGTGGGACCAAAAATGTCTTAATCTTTTATTAGAACGCGTTTTATTAGTCGAAGGTCACATTTAATGGTTTTCTCAATTGACTAGATTGGAATCCACGCGAGCGCAGCCGCACCACAGATAAGATAAGCCAATATAAACAATTAAGCACGGCGTACATAGAGTTTCATGTGCTGTATAGTAAGTGTATGTTCATGTAGTAAGTACACTGTGCATACTTAGAGAGCGCGACTCCGTTTGGCTGGTTGATGTAGCGCTCGTGGTGCAGCACGGCGTCGTCCCAGCGCAGGTCGAGGAAGGCGAGTACGCGGCGCAGCGTGCGCTCCGGCGCCAGCACCAGCGCCTCGTACCGCACCAGCAGGCAGCGCGTCGGCCCCAGCGACTTGCACTGCTGGTACATCAGCTCCACCGCGTGGTTCCACTTGCTCAGGCACTGCCGGTAGCTTGTCAGGTCGAAGCCCGTTATCGTCACCTGCACACACATACACAGTCATCGCCGCCCACGGTGCCTCGCCACGGCGCATGCAGGCGACCTACCCAGTAGGTACTCACCTTCCGCGTGATGATGGAGTGCACTGTGGCTCGCCCGTCACGCACCATAAATATAAACTTAGCATTCGGAAAGAGTTCCAGTACATAGGTGCCCATCTTAAGAACTAGGGGGTCCTTGTTGCAGAGACGCGGCGCGGGCTCGCCGTGCCGCACTATCACCTCAAGGCAGAAGGCGGCGATGGCGTTGTCGAGTACCGCCTTGGACACGCCAGCCTGTTCCAGACGCACGCTCTCCTTCTGCGACCGCATCCAATGCTGGCGCATCTGCAGGATGCGCGGCACCACGCGCGTCTCCTGACCACAGCGCACGTCGGGGTGCGCGTCCAGCATGGCGCGCATCAGTGTGGTGCCCGAGCGCGGCACGCCGCCGATGAAGATGAGCGGCAGCTCGCGGCCCTCCACGGGCGCGCCGCCCACCCTGCCGCCCAACCCCGCTGCGCCGCCACCAGGACCCGCGCCGCCGCCCCCGGCGCCGCTACGCCATGCCCACAGCAGCAGCGCGGCCACGGCCAGCGCCGCCGCCAGCCGCGCGCGCGCCCCCCGCACCATGCGCGCTCCGCACACCACTCTCCTGTGTGAGACAACAAATTACTTTATAGTCTATGCAATTTGAACACTATTTGAATCATGACAAGTTTTATAGTTTAAACTAGCAACTCACACTCGCATCGCTTTTGCTTTAAATTTTTATGAGTGGAACCCTAATTCTTTTTCTAAAATTAAAATGGCCTAAGTTACTCTTTGTAACATCAGCTATCTGCCAGTGAGTCCCCTTCACAATCAGTGCAGCCGTTTCGGAGTTAATATCAATAAAAAAGTACTCAATGGATTTTATTGAAACTTTACAATAATGTACATCACATCTATCTATACTTATTATAAAAATAAGTCCCCTGGCCGCGTCTTTCTGTCCTCCTGTCTGTCCTCCTGTCTGTCTGTACGCGATAAACTCGAAAACTACTGAACGGATTTTTATACGGTTTTCAACAATAGAAAGAGTAATTCTTGAGGAAGGTTTAGGTATATAATTTATTATGCTTTTATGTAAATTAGCTGAAATACGGCGACAAATGTTGAAGAGGTCGCAAAAAATCTCGCCAAATGGGAACTTTCCACGCGAACGCCGCGTAAACTAGCAAAGATACAGTTAAGTAATGTACTAGAGAATTCAAAATCTATAAAAATGCTACAAAAAAGTCCGCGATAGCATATCTCTATCTCTTACGGTTGACTTACAATAACCACTTTTATGTTAACTATCTATACTTATTATAAAAATAAGTCCCCCGGCCGCGTCTTTCTGTCCTCCTGTCTGTCCTCCTGTCTGTCTGTACGCGATAAACTCGAAAACTACTGAACGGATTTTTATACGGTTTTCAACAATAGAAAGAGTAATTCTTGAGGAAGGGTTTAGGTATATAATTTAATTATGCTTTTATGTAAATTAGCTGAAATACGGCGACAAATGTTGAAGAGGTCGCAAAAAATCTCGCCAAATGGGAACTTTCCACGCGAACGCCGCGTAAACTAGCAAAGATACAGTTAAGTAATGTACTAGAGAATTCAAAATCTATAAAAATGCTACAAAAAAGTCCGCGATAGCATATCTCTATCTCTTACGGTTGACTTACAATAACCACTTTTATGTTAACATTTTTAATTAAAAACATTACGTTATTTTCAAAGTTATTTTCTTTAGTTCGGTATTAATCCTTATCCAAATGAATATTTTAGTTAGCTTAGTCATTTAATGCAGATTAAAATTGCTCTTTACACTAAATCAATCAGATGAATAGTTTTTGAGATATCGTTGTTAGAAGTAATTAGTAGCGAAACATTTTTAATGCTTGGCGAGCATTGAGATGCCTACGGCGAGTCCATCCCCTCTGCCCCGCATCGCTCGACCGCCTGCTCAAGCTATATAAACCGGGCGATGTAGCGCGCGATCCTAGGATACTTTTTACCGCGGGAAAATATCTTATTTCTGAGGAAAAATACAAAAACTGCAATGTAAGAGTATACTAATATGTAACACCTAAGAATTTAGTTTTTGGTCATCTGAACGCGGGCGGAGCCGCGGGCAATGCTAGTTAATACATATTACATAGGTTACTTTTCTCCGGAAGAAATGTAGTGCTTTTCTAGAGGCGAACCCGAACGTAGCGAGGTTGAGCCGCTAGTAGTAAAATAAATACAGGTAACTTACAGTATATTTATACGTAGAAAAAGTAATCTCTACAGATTGATAAATTTTAAGTACCTATTTTGTAATGTCAAAATATTTCCTGTATATACTACCTGAAATTATATATACATATAGATGGAACAAACAGACAAACAGATAAAAATTTTAAAAATTGTGTTTTTCTTGTAAACTACTATACAGTGCCCCACAGCCCTGGATTTGCACTAAAGGCATTCGACGGAGGGCTAGGGGCACACTTAAATTTTTCGGGGCGGTAAAATTCGAAGGGCGGGAAAAAAAAATGTTCACGTTATCGAAAGCGCTTTCTTTATTTAACAAAAAGTGAAAAATAACAAAAGGATTATTTCGCAGTTTATTTTGATTTTTGGTTTCCGACGTTTCAAATGCTTTATAGCAATCATGCTGTTTGTTCTGTCTAATCTCCGAAATGGCTGGACTGATTTTGTTGGGACTTTCACTGATAGATAGCTCATGTTATAAGGACTAAGTTAGCCACTTCTATTTTATAAAAAGCATTAGGGTTATGCTCAAAAAAATTAAAACATACCTAGGGCAATTAAATTAAAACATACCTAGGGACGCACTCAAGTGAAGCGAGGATAAGTCTTTAGTTAGTAAATAATTTTAATGTACAAATGCACTAGAATTGCATCAACAATGTAAACATCTGCAATGTTGCCTATGCATAAAAACATTTATTTTATTTTTTTACACTAAGGGGAACATTGACCTATTTATAAACATTACAACTTATTTTACCAGTAATATCTATGAACAACATGAAATTAAATTACTAACAGGAAAAAACTACTGCGATTAAAAGCACATTAATTATTCTATAATAAGAGATATTGACTAAATTTATTATAACAGTGTGTTATAGTAACTGACCTACTCTTAATGGTATTAAATCAATAATAATTTAATACCAAAAAGTCCACTTTGTCCCGTTTTAATGTGGCTATTACTACAAAATTTTTGTTAATATAAAAACTTAAAAATAAAATAACTTCAGCTTATAAATGTGTTGTTTAAGAATTGAAGATATTATTAAACATTTTAAAACATACTATATCTAATTTAAATTAATAAACAGTACAGTCAACAACAATTTTAATACAGAGGGGATATTGATCATATTAGAATTTAGAATATAAGCATTAATGTTCATTTTAACTTACAAATCTCTCAAGCTTTGTAGCTAGGTTAATAAAAACCTGTAACAATTGTTGTGAAAATATCTTTAACCAGGTGAAATGTCCGTTAAATGTACAAAAACACACAATAAAGAAAGTCATAAAGGTAGTCAAAAAATATTTTTCTCTGTAATAAATAGTCATTATTTTTATCTCATTTCGCACCTAATACCCCAAAGCCGGTTATTTGGCTTAATTTTATTAAAAACTGTCATTTACATGCATTTCCCAATTTTTGAATTAAGAATATATTAGGAAAAGTCTTACTTACCTACATTAATATTTACTGCTGAAATCAAATACCATTAGTTTCCCTTGCCAACACATCTCTTTACCGAAAAAATTAGTATGTGTATGTACTGTTTGAGAAACTTATAAATCTTGATCTTTTTCCAAAAAAAAAAAAACAATTTATCCTGTATAAATTGTAAAAATAATACTAACAAAATTATTGGTAGGAATTTAAACGACGCCTTTAAAAGATATCAAAAACTAAATGTTCCAAAATCCAATTATTTTTGTAGCTTAAAAATGCACTTGCTTCTAACAGATTACAGACGTCAATATAATTACGATCGTGTCATATAAATGAAATGTTTAATGTACGTCAAGTCAGATCTGTCAAAAATATTGCAACATGTAGAATAGTTAAAGATAGTGATATTAAAAAAACAATGAGGAAGATTTCTTGAAAGGAGGGCGCTATACGTATAACCTATCTACATCCGGTCTTGAATGTTAAGCAATTTATTATGTTATTTCTTTTGTACTTGGTTTTTGTTCCTATTGTGTTCACATCTTACCTATGCAATGTAATGTACAAGTAACAAGAAAACACAGTATTAAATCATCTGTTTTAATCACAACAATTATACTATTACATTTTTCAACCTTAGCAAGACTAAACATTTTCCTCTTATAATAATTAGTAACTAAAGTTGGTATTCTCTCTTAGAATTAGTAACAAAAGAAAACAGTATAAGTCAGATATAACTATAAACTATTCCAATGCATTTAATTACAATTATAAGAATCTACATAAAGTAAACAATAACTCTATTACAGTTATATACATATTTTTCTCTAACTCTGTACAAATAATATAATTTTATGTGAACACTTCAAACCGTTTAGCGTCCTCACCGGGCCAGCGGCTATTGCCAAAGTGAAATATATTTTCCGTGCTGACGCCTGAAGAAATGTCATGAAGAAACGTATTTACCGCCATTCCTTTTTATCAAAGTTGAAAAGAGCGCCTCACACTAGAGCTGCCATAGGAAAAAACACCATGGCGACAACATCCGGCCGTCCTGCACATGCATTCGCCCCTGAATGCATTATAGTTTGATGCAGGAGCTGAGAACAAAATATTAGCATTGCATTAATACAAATATCAAATATTTTCTTTAGTTGTAATCAGTGTTAGTTCCTGTAACACCAATTACCATCAACTAAAATTATTATAGTGTTATATGAAACTTCTTGATATGGCAGCGCTTTTACAATGGTTTGCTAAGCTAAATGATGTACATATCATAAGCCACCAATTACCATTTATCCAAAGCATCCTGTTCCGAGGACTTTCCACCATACCATCCTTCATTTCATATCTCACTACTTTTCGAAGCGACTGCATTAAACAATATCTATGTAATATACTCGTATATTTTGTATGTACATATTGTAAATATATATATATTTTACTTTTTTTTAATATTTTACTAATATTACATGAAATTATATGAAATTTAACAAACTGGGAGATACGTATGTATTCTGAATAGCTTAGAATATTAAGATTATTGATGTTACCTGCATTTTGACAACATCCGGGCTTACACATCCTTTATATTATTAATATGAATCCATGGTTTCATATTAATAATATGAAGGATGTGTAAGCCCGGATGTTGTCAAAATGCAGGTAACATCAATAATCTTAATATTCTAAGTTTTGGTTTCTGGTCATCTGAACGCGGGCGAAGCCGCGGATGATGCTAATTTTAAATTAAAATGAAAAAAAAACCATCCATGCTATAAAGCTTTACAATGTACTAAAAGTCATAGTGATCGCGACATCTGGCGGGATAAGAAGGCAAAATTCTTCTACATTTTAAAGCTTCTGCTTGCTTCTTGGGGTTTTAAAAAAATATATAATTATTTGGCTACCTTATTCTTAATTTTTATTTTTGTACTAAAAAAAGACTGAACACGTATGTTTTTTTATATGTAAACATGCACGACTCTTTACACAGCACGGGTCACTTCGTAATTTTTATCTTTATTTTTTATTATTTTATAAAGTGTACAATGAAGATGGATCAATTTGCAAAAAAACTACATATAAAGATAGAACTCTTCTTCAACTTCATTTTTAAAGAATATAGATTTTTTAAGCCTCTAAAACAAATTAAAATGAGCAGATTCATGAATCTTAGAAATATGTCTGATTTTTACAATCAGTTCGTTTGTTAAAATTCATTAAATTCGTTAAAAATTGTTACCCACTTTATTTTTATGAAAGATCATCTAATAATGATTAAATCTTCTATAATAATTATTATTTTTATCGTAAATATTATAATTTTGATTATAATATTTACGATGATTATTGGGTAACATTATCGATTATGATTTATGTTTTAATTAGTGGCAACATTAGTTGTGAACGAGACAAAACAATTTACTGAAAATATTGAAATATAGTGAGATTTCAATGTAATTTTTATAAATTAATTCAAAATCTGCTAAATGTTATAATGGGAAAGTGTAATATGAGATTATATATTTGTGATACCTTGTGCTTTACGAGATTCGTAACGATTAAAAATCGCATCTCGCAAACATCTATCGCTTGTTAAATATGGCTGCCGCCGGACTGCGTTTGTCACTGAGAAATGTTTATAGCGGCCTATACAGGGTTTACAGAAGTTTTGACAATGTGATTAATTGGGATGAATCGAATGCTGTAACTGATTTGAGCTGTTGTTAAAATAATTATTATAACCCCTATATAAGACTGAAATTATAAATATAATTTTAAATTATCAAAACAAGGGATTGGCGTCCGAAATAAAAGTGCAAGTGTTGTGAAAATTTAATCAAGTTGATTGAATTTAAATTGAAAGTCTTAATAGTAACTATTTCTTTCTGCCTCGCAATGTTAAAATATGAGTGTACAAGATGAACCTATCTCGCCTTTCGGAGCATCATCAACATTACCACTCATGGTAAGTATATTAATTAATTTTTAAATATTTTAACTATACCGTTTAATGTAATTGTTTATAAAAAGTATATACTTTTGAACACAAAATATATTACTAAATTGTGGAGTAAATAAATTGCCTTTTCTATTTAAGTAGCATATTATTTCAGACAAACAAAAAGTCTTATTTATTGGTGTTTATTTACATGTTTACAAATATCAATATCGTGCTACTATTGTATATCCTGAATTAACAAGTTTTATGTTTTTTTTTTAAATCGTTATTACCTAAATACTTCATAAAAACAGATTTGTAGAGTTACATTTAAATTTGATTTTATAGTGTTATTGATAATAAATATATATTACAAATATAGTAATCTGAACATAAATATTTATTTCCTTCAATAATATTCTTTTCTAATTTGTTTCTTTATATAATATTCTTAAGCATTGACAGGTAAAGAATAATAGCCAAGAATAAACAAAAATGTATTTTTTGGCATTGATACTTTGAATAACTTTGAAAAAACCTCTTAAATGCATAGCACTTTCTTTATAACAATTATAATTTATATTAAACCGTTATCTATTCAATGTTCATTGCTTGTAACAGAGGAGATATCAGATAAACAAGAACCATAAGTATTAATAGAATAAGGAAAATGAAATGGATTTTTTTTTTGTTTCTGTCCCCCTAGACTTCTCTAGAGTGTATCAAGTTGTGGTATATTTCACGTAAATCCCCCACGACCACAAACACGCCGGCGTTACAGTTAACAATAGATTTTTTAGAATTTTAATTAATTTCTTAGAAATTTACCTGGAGGTATTAAAGGTCATAATAATAGTTTTATTTTATTGAATAAAAATAACAGTGAGTCATATACAGCAAAAGAACTTACTAATAACTAGCATAACCCGCAGCTTCGCTTGTGCTAAAACTACAAAAAATCATTAAAAAGGTTGTTTCATACAAAATTTCATCCCCTATTTTACCCCCCTTATAGAATGAATTTCGAAAAAATGTTAAAACATGTATTTATTCAATTTTATTGAAGAGCATTAATACCAAGAGTCAAGTAATTCTGACAATAAACATTGTTTTGGATTGAATTATAACGTGTTTTCCTGTGGAAATTAGACAATCTCCTAGTAATAAGTAGCCTATGTCTCTCTCCAGACCCCTAATGATCTCCACACAAATAATCACTTCAATCGTCAATAAATTTCTACATGAAAGAAGGACAAACAAACACACTTTCACATTTATAATATTAGTAAGTGTGGAATAATATGAATTAGTGACTCACTCTCGCTCTGCTCGGGTTCATCTGTAGAATTACATTTTAATGTTTTGTATAGATTTCTCAGATATGAGATATTTTCCTGCAGTATCTTTTTTGTTGACCTGGATAACCAGCTATCATCATACCAAATTTCATCATAATCCCTCCAGTGCTTTTAACACAAGAAATTATTTTCATATTACATACAAAAAATAGCACAAGGCTATCTTGCTTATTTCATTTTTCCACTTAGTCATGGAACATGTGGCCTATCCCCTGTTGGCTGCTATATACATAGTCTTGCCCTAAATATTGTTACAAAGAAAAGATCCTTATCCTTTTTTCTATTAAAAGTAACATATGTTACTTTTACAGTGTGTTAGTTTAATAAATTAATATAAACCATTAGAAATATTTAAAGCTTATTCGCAGTGGTCTCCATTGACTGCAGTACAGTCCTTTAAATGTTGAGGCCAGTTATCAATAGAAGCACGCACCCTTTCCAGAGTAAAATTCTTCACTGCCAATTGTATGGATTGTTTTAGGGACTCCAAATTATTATGCCATTTAGAGTAAGCCATACTCTCTAAAACTGACCATAAATCATTAACCAGCGCATTAATATCGGGACTAGTTGACGGCCAGCCTTCAGCTCTGATGGAAGACCGGAACGTGGGTTTCTAACCAAGATTGCGTGGATCGAGCTTTATAACCCGGCGCCGAGTTTTGCTGAAAGGACCATTCTTGGTTATTGAACATGGTTGTGTTTTAGGGGCTTAACTACATTCTCAAGAATGGTATCTTGATACACTTGTGCCGATGTTTTGATACCTTTTTCACAAAAATATGGCCCAGTCACTCCTTCATGGGTAATACCCTACCAAACCATCACTGAAGTCCGATAATGCCCACGTTATACTGTGTTGACTAATTGGGAAGCTTCCTTAGAACTTTGAGTATAAAATACGGTCATTTTGTTTGTTAAGATATTGCTCAATCGTAAAAAAATTCTCACCCATAAACATTTTTTTTCTGTGACCTCCCTTTGCATACCGCTTAAGTAGTTAAGAAATGACCAGTGCGTCCCTTATAGGCTGCAAGTATTAAGTCATTTTTTTAAAATACGCGATGGTTCTAGGTACTATCTTCATCTCCCGAGATCAAATCTTTTGCTTTCGCACAGGATTTCTTCGAAATCTTTCCCTTACTGCTTAGATCGTCTTTTTCGTACGAACACTACGTGGACGGTCGGATCTTTTTCTGTCACAAACAGAGGAGGTTTCATTGTACCTATCAATAGCCCGGTACACAAACATTCGACTAATACCAAGCGTATGGAGAGTTTTAAAAATTATTGGCTACATACCTACTTTGTGTAATGCTATCACAGTGATTCGGTTGTTGAATGTATTGGCGCGAAAATGAGAAAACACAATGAACAATCATATAAAAATGACATTCCAAATAATTCAAATGTAATATTTTATTTATTTTTAATTGTAACAGTATTTATGGCCATACTATGTACATGTATATAACCTCCTTGAGGTATCTTAATGAGATTTATAAATGTCTATGAACTACATGCTATAGACTTTTTTTCAAGAATTTTTGCTCCATTAAAACGATAGAAAATTAGAATTTTATTTACACACACTTGCCTTGTTTTGGCTTTACATATGTAGATATTTTCGATTATTTTTATGTAGATCTCATTGATTCCTTGGTGCCTCAGACCATATGCTTTGGAGAACACCTTACAAAAATTTGACATCAGCTATCATTTTAGTAGAATATGTACTATACTAAAAGATTATGTAAATTATTTACTTATCACACGTTATTTTAGTATAACATAATTACTATGAAAAGAATTTAAAAATAGAATAAAGAAATAACTGAACAGGTGGACAGAATAACGATAAGCTTAATCATAGGAATCGTGGCATTCCCATCTCTTGTTGGATAATAGTATCCTAACATATTTAGTATAACTTACATTATTGTATAAGAACGACACTCGTGCCGTATCGTCGTCCTCGTCATTAGTCCAATAGTGGCATTCTTAAACAATTGTGAAACTCGAAAATAAAAGTGAATTTACATAATTATAATATTTGAATGAAGATTAAAGGACTAATTTAAACGAATTTACTTAATAGGGTGTGGAACGTGGAAGTAGCTGTAGCGGTGGAGGCGGTGGTGGAAGTGGCGTTGGGGATGAAGCATTCAACGGCATGGGGACGCCGGAACTCCTCGACGAGCCGCCTCGCAAGCGGACAAAACTCATCGGCACCGATGACGTGTCCGCGCTCAGGAAGCGCGTTCTCGAATACAAACAGTTGAGACTGAAGAACCTACGAGACAGGTGAGATCTGATCCGTATCTTATCCGTATTTGCTGTACCGCGTCGTGGACGCGTCGCCGCTCTAGCGCCGCGCTCGGTTACAGGTTCACGGAGCAACTGAGCGAGCTGTACTTCCTTCAGGCGGGTGGGAACATGATGGACTACATGGCGTGGCGGAAGAGGCCGCCTGCGCCGCAGCTGGTGGCATTCCTCGAGGCGCGACGCCCGCCGCCCGCCGCGCCGCCGCCGCCGCCGCCGGAGCCGCCGCCCGCCCCTGCGCCCGCTCTCGCGCCCGCCTCCACGCCCGCTCCCGTTGCGGCGCCCGCCCCCGCGCGCACGCCGCCGCCGTCTCCGGTCGTCGTTGCCGCCGCGTCCTGCGCCCCGAAGACACCACCTGCCGCAGGGGCGGGAACGGTAGTAACTGTTCCCGCTCCCACTCCTGCTGATGAAATGGTCGAAAAAGCCAAACAGGAAGCATATGTGGCCGCCCGCGTAGCCGAGCTGGCGCGAGCGGGGCTATGGACAGAGAGGCGGCTGCCGCGGGTGCTGGAGCCCCCTCGACCGAAAACACACTGGGATTATCTTCTTGAAGAAATGGCATGGCTTGCTCAAGATTTTGCATATGAACGAAAATGGAAAAAACAAGCGGCAAAAAAGGTATCCCATGTTTATAAAATTCGCTTTAAAAGTTTAAATGCCTTCAATGATTTGATTGATGGTTATTTTATCTATATAAAAATTATAAATAGTTTGTGTTGTTTGTTTGTTTGGATAACACATATTAAGAACTAAGGTGTGACTGACTTTATTGACGAAGGTAAACGCAGCACAATGCTACGACCCTTAGAAGCGGGGCTTCTCGCAATAATTTGAAGATAAAACACATTCTACTCTACTAAACAAATATATCTGGATGATGACACTACAATGAGATTCATACAAGTTTTGCTTTTATTAGTTTTGAAGATATTTAGTTAACAAATAAATGTTAGTAAATTGGGATTTTGAAAAAAAAAAATAATTTTTTTAATGTATTTTAAAACTTTATTATTAATAATATTGATATTTAATACAAAAAAGTTTTTTTTTTAATTATTTATAAACAATTAAAAAATGTTAAAATTTAAAAAAAAATCACGTGACTATAAACACGCCATGATTGGTCACCATAGTTGTGACGTCATAATGTTATAGCTATTTAATCCCTCCACGACCGGGGGCACGCCAGCGTGTCAGTTAACAGTAGATTTCTTAGAATTTTAATTAATTTCTTAAAAATTTACCTGGAGGTGTTAACAACGACAACAAAATGAAATAGATCAAATACTTATTATTTCTATATCACTGCAATGAGTGAAAACTAACATTATGACGTCACATGCACTCGGGTTTGTTCAGGAACTGTCGGCGTGTCTTCGGTACTGGATTCAAAAATAAATTTTTATATTGAAATAACTTTTGAATTATTGGGGAAAAAATTGTTTTGTTATAAAACTTATACTCGTAGATGATCTTTCCATTTACCACAAAAAAAATCAAAAACCCAATTGCTACATTAAATACATAATCATAACCAAAAACAAGGTTAGATAATAATTAAATATTTTATTTTTAGTGCGCTCGTGCAGTTCAAAAATATTTCCAAGACAAAGCTGCCGCCGCTCAGAAAGCAGAAAAAGCTCAAGAGTTACAATTGAAAAAAATTGCTGCATTTGCAGCAAAAGAAATAAGAATGTTTTGGACCAATGTAGAAAAGGTAAATTTATGGACTAACTCATACTTTGTGAATATAATAATTATAATCATATCAATTTAAATATAAACTGTTACAATTTTTTTTATAGCTAGTTGAATGGAAAAGAGTGCAGCGAGTGGAGCGAGCACGCAAGGAAGCTCTCGACGAACAACTGAGCTATATCGTGGACCGCACCGAGCGCTACTCGCGCCAGCTCGCTGCCAACCTGGGCGCGCCCGTCCAGTCCGCCCAGCCCGCCGCCGCGCCCGACACGCCGCCCTCCGACGACGAGTTTCAGCCGCGCGGCGACTCCGACGACGACGAGGAGACCATCGCGGCCGCCGAGCAGGAGGCCGCGCAAGACGCCGCCGACCACCGCGACGAGATAGAGGCGCTGCACCGCGAGTCGCACCTCGACCTGGGCGACCTGCTGCCGCCCGGCTACCTGCCCGCGCACTCGCCCCCGCCCTCCGACTACGGGCCTGAAGATGACTCCGCTGACGACGAGGATACTATCGCGGAACAGGAACAAAACGAACGCCCCGAAGATGCTGCCGCCGAACTGGCTGCGCTCAAGGACGAAGCGGATTTAGACATCGACGAGCTCGTCAGTCGGTATGCGGGAGCTGCACCGCCGGCCGCTGATGACAGTGACGCCTCGTCAGCTACTGAAATAGATTCTGACGATGACGAGGTTGAAAATGAGAAAGACGACGACGCAGACTCCGACAGTGGGTCGTCATCTGCCTCTGAGCAGCTCGAGGCACTGATGGACACGGGTGAAACAGCCGAGGCGATGCTGGCGCAAGGCGCGGCGGAGGGGGTCGAGGCGGAGGGAGCGGGCGAGCAGCGCGTGGAGGCGGCCGCGTCGCTGGCGGCGTCGCTGCAGCCCACGGGTACGACGCTGTCGGAGACGGCGGTGGGCACGCCGGTGCCGCGCCTGCTGCGCCACGCTCTGCGCGAGTACCAGCACGTGGGGTTGCACTGGCTGGCCACCATGCACGTGCGCCGCCTCAACGGCATCCTCGCCGACGAGATGGGCCTCGGCAAAACCATCCAGACCATCGCGCTGCTGGCGCATCTGGCGCTGGAACGCCGCGACTGGGGGCCGCACCTCGTCGTTGCGCCCACCTCCGTCGTGCTCAACTGGGAGATGGAGTTCAAGAAGTGGTGTCCCGCCTTCAAGATCCTCACCTACTATGGGACAATAAAGGAGCGCAAATTAAAACGAGTTGGATGGACGAAAGCGAACTCTTTTCACGTGTGCATAACATCTTATAAACTTGTAGTGCAAGATCATCAAAGTTTCCGAAGAAAAAAGTGGAAATATCTCATCCTCGATGAGGCTCAGAACATTAAGAACTTTAAATCACAAAGGTGGCAGATGTTACTGAATTTTCAGACAGAAAGGTAAACGATTTAGGTAATGCATGCATTATGTGTGTTGTGGGTGTGTGTGTGTATGTATCTGTGTGCGGGTAGTGATGTGCTGTGTGCGTTGTGTTTGTTGCAGGCGGCTGCTGCTGACGGGCACGCCGCTGCAGAACAGTCTGCTGGAGCTGTGGTCGCTGATGCACTTTCTGATGCCGGACGTGTTCGCGTCGCACGCCGAGTTCCGCGAGTGGTTTGCGCCCGTGGCCGGCATCGCGGAGGGCTCGCACCGCTACAGCGACGCGCTGGTGCGGCGCCTGCATGAGGTGCTGCGCCCCTTCCTGCTGCGCCGCCTCAAGGCCGACGTGGAGCGCCAGATGCCGCGCAAGTACGAGCACGTGCTGATGTGCCGCCTCTCCAAGCGGCAGCGCTTCCTGTACGACGACTTTATGTCGCGCGCCAAGTCAGTACACACCGCTCGCTCATACTCTGTACTATGTTCTGAATGTTATCATTTACAAACTTTAATTTTTAACCGACTTCCAATTACAAAAAGGAGGAGGTTCTCAATTCGTCAGAATCTTTTTATGTATGTTCACCGATTACTCGAAGACGCCTGAACCGATTTGGAAATTTTTTTTTTGTTTCAATAGGTATACTTTCCAGGTGATCCCATATAAATTTTATCGAAATCGGGCCAGCGGTTTTTAAAAAAATCTATAATAAACATATTTTTTTAAATAAATTGTTTAATCGAATATGTTATTACAAAACCTTTTCTTACAAATTACCTGCTTATTATGTCCACACTAAAAATGGAAAAATAAAAACTTTTTAACACAATATAAAAACCGCCTTCCAGGCATTAAAATGTAAAAAATAACTAAACTGAGGTTTTCATTTAGAATAGATACCTAATCAGATATTTTCGAAGTCGGTGCCAGCCTACAATATTTGAAGATATGAATATCTAATAGGTAAATATGTATTTTATGTATCAAAATATATTAGATTTGCTTTGCATCGGCTGGCACCGACTTCGAAAATATTGGATTAGGTTATCTATTCTGAATGAGAACCTCCGTTTAGTTAATTTTTACATTTTAGTGCCTGGAAATCGAATTTAATTTTTTGTTAAAAAGTTTTTTAGAGATAATACTTGAAATTTGACTATCAAAAACAACACAGCAAAATTCATGTCCCAACAGTATTTATTAACATTGTCTCTATCAGCATAAAATGGCTTATGTAAATGTACAGTGTATACAGAAAGTAACATCTCACATTTTACAATATAATTTAAAAAAAAAAACTCCTGTACCTATCTAGATCTTTTTCATTTTAATAATTAATAATTATTAACAACTTCATACCAGTTTGCATATAATTTTTGTAAACAATAACTAATAATTATAAAAATATAAATTTTAATGATGCATCTATTATTATAATGCGTACCACTTAAATTCAGAACAAAAGAAAGCCTCGCGTCGGGCAACCTGCTCAGCGTCATCAACGTGCTGATGCAGCTCCGTAAAGTGTGCAACCACCCCGACCTGTTCGAGCCGCGGCCGGTGTGCTCACCGCTGCAGCTGCCCGCGCTGCCCTACCGCGTGCCTGCGCTCGCGCTCGTGCCCGAGCTCGCGCGCCGCCGCTCCCTCGCCGCGCGCCTGGGCGGCGACCTCGCCTCGCTTGAGGTGCTGGGCGCCGGCGCCTTCGCCGCGCACCGCGCGCGCCACCTCGCGCCGCCGCGCCGCCTCGTGGAGGAGCTGCCCGACGCTCCGCCGCGCCCCGCGCCGCGCCCTCCGCCCGCGCGCTTGCGCCTGCACCTGCGCCTCGTGCCGCGCACGCCGCCCACGCTGCGCGTGCCGCCCGCCGCACCGCCCGCGCCGCTTGCTGTGCCGCGTGCTACCACCGCCGCAGCCGTCCACGCCGCCACCGCTACCGCCGCCCCGGCCCCCGCCCGCACAGGGGCGCGCGCTCGACTGGACGCGCAACGGCGTGGCTGCCTGCGGCGACTGGCGGCGGTGAACGAGCGGCGCTGCTGGCGCCTGCCGCTTTACGGCGCAGACCTGCGCGCGGCGGTGAGCGCGGGCCCGTCCGTGCTGCCCTCGCGGGACATATCCACCGTCCTCGAGGAAATGCACGACATTATCGATAGGTCGGTGTTAGTCAAAGTCGGTGCTTTGGCTAAATAATTAAAGCCTACCTATTAAATACATACCTAATCAAATATTTTCGAAATCGGTGTCAGTCCATACAAAGCAAAGCACACCGACTTCGACAATATTTGATTAGGTATGTATAGTAAATGAAAACTACCAATCAGTTATTTTTTACTTTTTAGTGCTTTTGTTTGAAGTCGGTTTTTATTTTTTTGTTAAAAAGTTTTTATTTAAAGTTGACGTATCATATTAACAAAATCTTAATTTTAAACAAACCCTTCTAGTTTTCGGAATTTCCGCGAATTTATTTTGATCTTTGGTTCCCGACGTTTCGAATGCTTTACAGCAATCATGGTCACGGGAGAGACTGAGGTGTTAGATGTCTCTAAGGTATTATATAGTTGTTACAGACAGCCTACCCACAATTAACAAAATGAATTCAAAAATTGAAAAAAGGCACTAAAGTACCTTACAATATTTTAACTTTTAACTTTAAACATTTTTATATAATTTTAATTAGCTCAAATTAAATAAATAATATTCCATATTCAATTATAAAGCTAATTAAAATTATATAAAAATTACTCATTATAACGCAGGTAAAAGAAAAGTCGAATTTTAGATCTAGTCGGCTAGCGGCTCGTGATGAGAAAGTGAAGTGGCGCGATCTCGCGAAAACCAACGTAATCGGTTCCCCCCCTGCGCCCGCGTCCCCTTCGCATCCATATCGTTCACACTTATTACAAACCAACCGTTTACCATAACTTTAATAGCATTTTTTGTACTTACTACAAACATAACATAATAAAATATACAAATATAATATTTTTTATAATGCGTCGCTTACAAACCGTTTACCATAACTTTAATAACATTTTTATACTTATTACAAACATAACAAAATAAAATATACAAATATAATACTTTTTTTATAATGCGTCGCTTTCACTCATAAAAAAATATATATAGTAGAATCTGAATCCGGTTTGGGAACAAAATATTGAAAACCTGAAGTTTTATGATTTTAAAATGTTAACAGGTATATAAGGAATAGAAATTCGTAAAATGCCCCCATGCCCAGGTACCCCCGAGAAATGGGGGGACGCAAACCGTCGAAAAATAGCTTTTTTTCAATTTCCGGCTTACTGTGACGTTCTATCGAAAAATGTTTTCGACAAAAGTTGTAGGTCTAGTAAAAATCTACTACTTTTATAAATAACACTTTTTACAATAACCTCTAAACTTTTGATATATTTGCATAAACATTTTCATCAAAAACATTCTTTTTGTCTTGAACTCTACTTTTTAAAAACATAATAACATTGTATGGTCGTCTTGTAAAAACACCCTTAAAAAATGGAGAAATCGATAATTTTTACTCTGTAAATTACATTTTTTTTCAATTATCATGGAAGAAGTGTACTTTATTGACCAAATTTTTATAAACTGATCACACCAATGTATTTTTTAGGAAAAAACAAAAAAATGGCGCCCTCAAATTTTTAATTTGACGCTTATTATTTATACAATGTTGCCATAAACATTCCAACTTTTCAATTTGATGAGTTGTGAACAGGGACCGTAAAACCCAGGTTTAGAGTTAAGCCATAAAAAAAAACGGTTTTACCCATTCAAAATGAACGTAGAAAAACCTTGTTACCCATTAAATGTGTAACCTACCTTTAAGCAAATGAAATTTGTTAATCATTTGTAATGATAGCCCTACTATAAAATTAACCCTATCGAAAGGGTTACCACATCGTTTTACGTGATTATCCCGAAACTTACTTTTTAACTGGTGATGAAGAAAGGGTGGGGGAATATACCTATTTGTTTCTAAATTCGTGTAGCACTGCAAAACAATGTTAATTTAAAGTTTGATACTCCTACCTGTGCACGTTTACTTATTAAAATATATAATTAAACTACACAAACGTAAGTATTTATTTTTCTTTTTATGATTGTATATTTTATTTAAAAATTGATTTTAGTAACGTTTTATATATAGATAACTATTTTACATTTACTTTTATTTTTAATTAATTTTATAAAAAGCTGAAATAGTACCAGAAACGGAGCCAAATAACGATAAAACCCAATGTGATAGCCCCTCTTCAGAAAAACGACTCAATGAAGGCGGTAATTAATCTGTTTACATATACTTGTTAAAATCTTTGTTTTTCTCTTGATTTTTTGGGTTTTCAAAGGGTAATAGCAGCAGCCTCTTTCTCAAGTATGTTTTTAAATACTTGTAATGTACATATATTATATAAACTATTTTTTTAAAGTCTAGGTTCTTACTAATTACAAATTTGTGTTTTTATATATTACAGAATACCGAGTTGATGAAGACTCGTATAATATATTTGAGCCAAACTCTCAAAATTTAGACCAATACAAGGATTACAAAGCCCGTATTACATTTAAAACAATTGAATTTACTGAAAGCAGTACCCAAACGTATGCCGAAGAAAACACTAAAAAAATGGAATTTGCAAATAATGCTTTTGGAACATTCGTTGGGCTGGAATTGGCTAATGTACCGGTTCTGAAGAGGCGTTACGTTATGTACCAAATAATTAAAATTATAGAAAATAATTCACAAATGTTATGAATAAATTATTTTAAATTAAATTATTATTCTACATATTTCTTAAAATAAAAAGACATAAATATTTACATAAGACTTTATTTTTTATTATAACAAGTTTTTAAAGAAGTTTCTATTTTTCTAGTCATGTATGTGTGTGTGTGTGTGTGTGTGTGTGAGTGTGTGTGTGTATCATGTGTGTGTCATGTGTGTGTGTGTCATGAGTGTGTGTGTGCGCGTGTGTCATGTGTGTGTGTGTGTCATGTGTGTGTGTGTGTGTGTCGTGTGTGTCATGTGTGTGTGTGTGTGTGTCATGTGTGTGTGTGTGTGTGTCGTGTGTGTCATGTGTGTGTGTGTGTGTCGTGTGTGTGTGTGTGTGTCGTGTGTGTGTGTCATGTGTGTGGTGTGTCGTGTGTGTGTGTGTGTCATGTGTGTGTGTGTGCGTCATGAGTGTGTCATGTGTGTGTGTCATGTGTCTGTGCGTATGTCATGTGTGTGTGTGTGTCATGTGTGTGTGGTGTGTGTCATGTGTGTGTGTGTGTGTCATGTGTGTGTGTGTGTGTGTGTGGTGTGTGTCATGTGTGTGTGTGAGTGTGTGTGTGTATCATGTGTTTGTGTGTGTGTCGTGTGTGTGTGCCATGTGTGTGAGTGTGTGTGTGTATCATGTGTTTGTGTGTGTGTGTGTGTGTCTGTCATGTGTGTGTGTGTGTGTGTGTCATGTGTGTGTGTGTGTGTCATGTGTGTGTGTGTCTGTCATGTGTGTGTGTGTGTGTGTGTCATGTGTGTGTGTGTGTGTCGTGTGTGTGTCATGTGTGTGTGTGTGTCATGTGTGTGTGTGTCATGTGTGTGTGTGTGTCATGTGTGTGTGTGTGTGTGTCATGTGTGTGTGTCACGTGTGTGTGTGTGTGTCGTGTGTGTGTGTGTCGTGTGTATCATGTGTGTGTGTGTGTCGTGTGTGTGTGTGTGTCGTGTGTGTGTGTGTGTCGTGTGTGTCATGTGTGTGTGTGTGTCATGTGTGTGTGTGTGTCATGTGTGTGCGTGTGTCATGTGTGTGTGTGTGTGTGTTTCATGTGTGTGTCATGTGTGTGTGTGTGTGTGTGTCATGTGCGTGTGTGTGTCATGTGTGCGTGTGTGTCGTGTGTGTGTGTGTCATGTGAGTGCCATGTCCAATCTTTAATAATATTTTCAGTTGGGACTAATCTTGGTGCAAATTTTAATTCTTTCAATGTAATTTCAAAAGAAGAAGCTTTCTTTGTAGAGTGTAATCCTCTTTCTTTTTCTGTTTGTTGTAATATTCTTTCTATGTCTGTGAACTAGAGGTATTTTGATTTTTTTCAATTAAATGGGGATCCTTATAAAGTATATTCTCATCAATTTGAGATTCTTTTATATGCTGTAGCTGTGTATAGGTCTCTTGGAGCAAAGATTGTGCTTTTGCACACTCTTCATCGGATAAAATGACGTTCAATCGTCTATCTAGATATATGTTTTCTAAAACTAAATTATTATTCAAAAGATTTTTTTCTCTTGCCTTCAAAAAAAAAGATTAGACATAAAAATAAAGTATACTATAGTTACTTCAAGTACATAATTAGTCACAGTTCATTTCATCCAAATCCTTCCAACTGTTTCAGTGAGAAGAAGTGACGAACACATCATTACACACGCACACACATGTGTACACACAAACACATACATACACAATAACCATAAAAACACGCCCTCATTGTATTTCTGAATAAGTATAGTGTAGGATCAAGGATGACACTTATAAAATTTCGAGATATTCCTTGCATATTTTCTTATATTCAGTGATTTTGTAGCATCAACTTTATTTTATTAATTTATATACCTAATCGTCATTCGTCAGTAGTTTATCCGTGTGCTACTACCACCGACTCAAAAAGCAGATCTACGGAGAAAAGCGTGAGAAAAACTCAACTTTTACTCATTAAATATTACAGAATTTATAACTACAATTTACAATATTACAAATAATTCATAAGTAGGAAAAAATATCAAAATTCGCTCCATTTTTACTTTTAAAAAAATATATGGATTTCTTTCATTAAAACGCTCATATGAATAAGTGCAACGTTAGTAGTAATCGTAACTTTTGGAAGATAGTAAATAATTCATAAATAATTATTAAATTTTAAATATGATAATTATGTAACTTACCTTTAAATTATTCCCACATATCAAACATTTACTCTTCTTCTCGATGTTGTCATAATTGAAGTATCGATGAACAGCATCGGTTTTAATTGGAGGCATTTTAAAATAACAAGACTAAGAGCATTTTTCATATCACTCGCGTGTTGTCGAATAAAATAAAATTGCATTTCTTCAGGCCTAGACACCTAAACAACGAAAGAAACATGTCCGTACACGTTAATACTCGTAGGTGTTCGTTTGCCGCCTTTTTATGTTTTCTATACTACACTCTAATATGTAATGTTTCTTAATAATTTTAGAGACTAAAATTGTACCATTATATTTGTTAGATAACACGTTATATATGAAGTAACCCATTATTTATTGGGTAACCTAATACCTAACCCAACAGATAGGGTTAACCCTATTAAACATATGATTTAATTAAGCCTGTTGACTGGGTAACCCTATGAAAAGGGTTTCTTGTTAAAACCCTTTAAAAAAACCCAGGTTAAAACCCTTTAAAGGGTAACCAAATGGGTCCCTGGTTGTGAAAAAATAATAAAAGTTGGAATTCACGTAAAATACACCAGTTTTGTATTTTTATGCCGTAGAATCTATTTATGTTATATTTTTTTCGAATTCATCGATATTTTATTAGTTTTTGATCGATTTTGGAGTTGATTTTATTGAATTTTCTAAAAAAAATGATTTTGAGGTATAACTAGCGTCATCTATAAAGAACGCTGGAGGAAAGTGAAGGGGGTATACTCGCGCACAAAAGTACTTAGCCTATTATTTTATTTTTCATAGCATTTCGCTCGCGGCTTCATATATTAGTTATTGGTAGGGACATTGAAAAATATATTATATATAAATATTTAGATAGTATTATATCATTAAATTGCGAGATGTAGAATACTACTAACGTCATCCATTGTTGAATTACCTAAACAAAACAACTCGAACAACACCTTGTCTTCCCCTAACCAATTTTCACTTCTGTTTCTCTTTTTAGCCACTTTCATTCCTGTTTCCATTTTCAATAGTTAAAAAATTGTTAAATAAAACACTACTACTACGCAACTTTACTTTTGGCGGAAACCTCATTTTAAGAGATTTTTATGAATAAGACTATACCCTGGAAGCCTATTAATTGATCATTTAAAATTCTTTATTGTACGTATGTGCTCAGTCCATAGTCGTATAGCATACGCTTTCACAACAATGTAAGGGTAATTATTAAAAAGAATGTACAACAGAATATCTAGTATACTCTCCTTGGCCTCTAGTAAAAGAGATTATAACGACGTGATTGGTCTTTACCAGGTTCGTAATCTGCTGGGCGCCGTGCCGCGCGGCGGGCCCACAGTTGGCGGCGGGCGCGGGCGACGGCGCGCGCGCGTGGCGGCGGCGCGCGGTCGAGCTGGCCGTGGCGCTGCGGCCGACCGCGCGCTCCGCGCTCGCGCTATTGCACGCGCCCGCTGCGCGCGCCGCCGTCGCCTTCCCGCACCCGCGCCTGCTGCAGTACGACTGCGGTCTGTTGCACCTTATCGCCTTATTTAAGTTATTTATTGCTGTGATCTACTCCAGTATTCGATTAACGTACATTTTATAACCTCAGGCAAGCTGCAGACGCTGGACGGCTTGCTGCGGCGACTGCGCGCCGGCGGGCACCGCGTGCTTATCTTCACGCAAATGACACGCGTGCTGGATGTGCTGGAGGCATTCCTCAGCATGCACGGGCACACGTACCTCCGGCTGGACGGTGCCACGCGCGTGGAGCAACGCCAACCGCTTGTGGACCGCTTCAACGCCGACGCGCGCGTGTTCGCCTTCATCCTGTCCACGCGCAGCGGCGGCGTGGGGCTCAACCTCACGGGCGCCGACTGCGTCGTGTTCTATGACTCGGACTGGAACCCCACCATGGACGCGCAGGCGCAGGACCGCTGTCACCGCATCGGTCAGACGCGCGACGTGCACGTGTTCCGCCTCGTCACCGCCGCCACCGTGGAGGAGAATATCCTACGTAAGGCCGAGCAGAAGCGCGCGCTCGGACACCTCGCCATCGAGGACGGACACTTCACCACCTCCTACCTTCGCGCCGTAAGTGTATTGACATTATATGTATGCACTACTTGAATGGTGTTCGCTCGGTTGACAATAGGGAATATGCATATAATTTAAATTTGGATCAAATATTTTTATTCCGAAACTTTATTGGCCGGACATTTGAATGATACCTTTATTTTAGTAATTATTATATTTTTAGTTAAGTACTTAAAATTATTATATAAAAGTACAAATTAAGCGAAGGAAATTCTAATTTTTAAAACGCAATACCAGCGAAACGCGACGTCAAATACTGTGTCTAGGGATGTTCATGTAAAAAAAATCGATAGTTTGTTCGATATAATATATCGTATTGTTGTATCGATACTTCGCGATATATCTTAAAAATATAATCGATATTTTCGATATATCGTAATTTGTAAGTTATTTGTTTGTATTTATCTAGTCAGTAATATTAAATATTAGATAGGGATCAGGTTAATATGAGTAAAAACTGTTAGTGAAGAAGCAAATCATTTTATTTATTTATTATTTATATATTTATCTTCTCAACAATGTAAAAAAGTTGTTGCAGACACTTCGTCTCTTCTAATAAACTTACACCATTCCTTACGTATGTTTGCACCTATCGGGACTGGAAAAAACACTTTGTGAGGTGTACTTCTGATAGTGCTTTTGCATTCTGGCACAATACAATACTTATAAATTGGCTTTTGAGCTTTATTCATGGTAAAATAAGCTATGAACGAGAACAGCTTAAACTTGTAGTAAACAATGGACTAAACTGTCACTATTCTGTATTCACGTCTCACTGACAGCCAGAACACCAGTGCTGCCGTTTAGTGCTTTGGGCTCCAGATCTAGGGCTTTCTTTGTTTTTCTTTTTTATTGTAATTTATAGTTCAAGAAAAAAAGATAGTTAATTTAGCGCGAAGTTTAGCGTTTTTTGTGCAGTCCTAGCGTTGAATGAGTTTTTGGATCTGGCAATACTACTGGGCATAGTATTTGACGTCATCATGGCGTTTAAGCATCTTAAAATTATTCTCTATTTTAAATATTTTTTTAAACTTAATTACGGCATTTTTAAACAGTATTTATATTTTATTCTGTGTTATAACAGTGTAAATAGAGAATTAAAAATATAAAAAAAATATATGCATATTCCCTATTGTTTCGAGTTTTTTTTTCTTTTTTAAGGCCAATATCAAAGAATTGTTCAACGGCGAGGGGGAGGAGGGTGGTGGTGCGGCCGTGGAGGCGGCGGAGGGCGGAGAGCTGGAGTCGGCGCTGGCGGCGGCGGAGGACGAGGCGGACGCGGCGGCGGCGCAGGCGGCGCGCGCCGAGGCGCAGGGCGACCTGGCAGAGTTTGACGAGACGCTGCCGCTGGACGACGAGCGCGCCGCGTCGCCGCCCGCCCCGCACGCGCCGCGCGTCGCCCGCGACGACGCAGACGCCGGAGAGTTCGCCGCGCTCATGAAACAGGTAACACCCAACGCGTTGCTGACATGACACAGACTATGGATGATATATGGATAATATGACAGTATGATGGTATCTTATACATCGTGCTCTGGTTTTTCATATTTTTAATACATCAGCGCAATTAAACAAAAATGTGTGTGTACTTATGTACACGATTAAAAATTTGTATTTCCTTGGCATATCAAAATAAAAATAACTCGAAAAATTTTAGGTCCGATCCACACTATAGTGCCGCTAACGGTTCATCCTAGGTCCGATAATTCACAACTCTACAAAAAAAGAAATTGTATTTGTTCTAAATTTTTTTTATGATTTTTCTATTCATTATGATTAAATTAAAGGAAAAGTACCCATATTTCTTTAAAAGTTTGCTTTTGTTATGATCATAAGTACATCCTTTTTGATTATCATATTTGAAAAAAAGTTCAATACTTCTGATATATTTAAAACATTGCGAATTCATTCAATTCAGAAGAACAAGGAGAACGTTTTCATCAAGACATCATGGACTTCGAACACCGTTATCACGCCAATGCAATGAAAATAGGAAAAGAAAGAAAATACATGATGGGATTTGAGGCTTAGTGAGAGAAAGTACTTATAAACATAAAAGAAAAAGTAATAGGGTTCACTTTTAAACCTTTTGTACTATTTTGTAATTTGATATGATATTAAAAGTTGAAAAAAATGATATAATATAACATTGATATATGTTAAGATATAAAAAGATTTGAAATAGATGCTTTAAATGTAGTTTCTATTATTGTTTCAGAAACACAATTAAGTCTTTATTTTTGACTATGAGAGTAATATCATTATATATGAAATATTTGTTTCGATTTATTACAAAAGCAAACTTTTTCAGGCCATGTATTTTTTTTGTCAGACTTATCGATAAATCTATCGAAATTTCATACTCTTTTATTAAAGTCAAAATTCGTGTTGACCTCTGTAATAGATTGGTAAAGTATTTTTATACAATAAACAATGAGTGCATTCACACCATCAGTAAGAATCAAGTTTCGGTCGAATCACACTCCAGCAACGTTTCTTGTATAAAAATACAAACCAGAACGATATTGGACCGAAAACGGACTATGATCGTCACGACAGTGTGGATCGGGCCTTATCCTGCGTGCCAATATTATACCCCTAGTTACTTTTGCATAGTTTTTTTTGAATCACTCCAAAGCTGCCGTTAAGAAGTGTATCCGTTCTATCTTAACTGAAGTCATTGGTAGTTACGATCTCAGTCTCGACATGGTACTCTCTGTGTAGGGAGGATATTGCATCACACACATTATCAACACATCACTGATCATTAGTGTCTTTTCTTCATAGTGGAAGAATGCTTTTTGTCATTCCGTTACACGAGACCCCTGATCCTTCATGTTTCACATTTCGTCCTATATCTATCCTACCCATTCCATTCAAAGTCCTTGAATTTTTTGTCCATGATCTGCTTTATTCCTCCTCACCCTCTACCTCACCTCATCACTAATAATCTTCTTTGTCCATATCAGTCGGTCTTCCATCCTTTCCACAGGTCCAGTCCTTTCCTTTACACTTTTTGTAATTATTGAGATAAGACGATATAGACGATTATGTTAAGATTCATTTTTTTGATCTGGTACCCCATATGTTTCGGTGTGATGCATATACATATTGTCACAGTACCAGGGTAGCATACACGTCGAGCAACGTACTGAGTGCTCTTGTAACATACACTCGTCATACGACCACCTTATCACATATACTTGCCTGGTACTTGTGATGACGTCACATGGGATTGCTCTTAGTATATAAAGCATAACCATTTTCGTTACGTGTCACAGCTCTTTTTTTGAAAGAAGTTTTATATCACATTTATTGTGTTATGTAATAAATTGTTGGCTTTGATTTAATTTAAAGTATATTTTCTTCTTTTTAGAGCATTTAGTAAATAAAAGCTTGTTATTACTATTATTTTTTTATTTTATTCGTATTCTTCTCAGCAAAGATATCCATATTATGGTGTTGCATAAAAAACATAGTCCGCCATTTGAATTGAGAATCCGCCATATTGGATTTAGAATACGTTTAGTCAAATTTAACTTGCAAGTTTTGATTACGGACAGATACATAGACACCGGGACAGGTAAAACTAAATAAAAGCTTGTAATATAGAAATACCGGAATAACTGTCTTGAATATAGATTATAGGGAAAATTAACGACTAACTTCACACTGTAGCCAATAACGTTTAACTTCATACTGTAAATCTGTCGCATCGTAAAAAAACACTCCCATCATTTTTTTCACTAACGCATCAAAATAAGTATAACTTCAAAAATCATTCATCATCATTGAAGCAAAGTTCTTCGTTTATGTTAAAATATGTTTTGGATTTCAAGATATGGTATATTTGATATTGATACATTTGCCAGTGCTAACGTCAAGTGACTTTGTTTCTAGTTGACGCCAGTGGAAAAGTATGCAATGCGGCTAGTGGAGACCAGCGAGGCGGCCACCGAGGCGGAGCGCGCGGCGCTCGGCGAGATGCGCCGACAGCTGCGCGAGTGGGAGCAGGCGCGCCGCGCGCTGCGGGACGAGCCCGCGCCCGCGCCCGACTCCGACCCCGACCTCGACCTCACCTACAGCCGCGAAGACGCGCGCGTCAAGGTGCGTGCCCGGCGGCGTCGCGCGCGCGCGCCACCCGCCCTCGCCCCCGCGCGGCCGCCGCCCTCGCCGCCGCCTTCGCCGCCCGCCCCCGCCGCCGTGGCTGGGGCGGGCGGCGCGCCGCGCACGCGCTCGCGCGGCACCGTGCACATCAACCTGTGGACGCTGGACGAGGCGGGCGCGGAGGGCGGCGGCGGCGGCGGACGGCGGCGCGCGCTGCGCAACGGCACCCTAGACTCGTGGCTGGCCGGCGCGCCCGACAAACAGAACAATAAATGATTTGACACTGTATACTTTCGTTTTATATTTCTGACGTTCGACGTTTTGGTGCCGCTCGATACTCGCCCGTAAATGCTTGACCTCGCTCTCGGCTCGGTGTTCTCGCGAAATGCCACCAAAACGGCGACGCCGCGAACGTCAGGGATGTAAGGCGTGCAAGCATTTACGGGCGCGCTCGGCCGCGCCCTCCCCTCACCTCATACCCGCCCGCCGCCTTCGCCCGCTGCGCTTGGCTATGCTTGGATAGTGCATATAATCGATGATAATCTAAACATTTAACCTGAAAGGTTAAAAAATTCTTCACTAAATACTAAATTCTTGTCTTAATTGAAGGCTTAGAAAGCAATAACTAGTATATAAAGTACACTAGGGGGTGATATTTTAGAAAGGCACAGATAGCGAAATATGTAATTACAGATAATAGCGAAAAGTATATTCCTATCCAAAAATGTATGATTAAAGTTAAAAAATATATAACCAGAAATTCAAAAAGAATTGCATTGTTGCACCAGTTCGAGATATATGTTTGGGTTCCGTAGCTAAGAAGCTAAAAGGGAACAGTTATCGTATTCGAAGAGTATTGAAGATACATTGTTGGAATTTAGTAGGTAGGTGTTTCATGTATATCGCTAGACAATTCTGTACAAAGTCAAATTAGAAAAAATAAAAAGAAAGGCACATTTTTTAGGTCTACAAAATAAGGCCTTAAAATTTAGACGGAGATTTCTAAGATACTTTTTGTTCAAGCTAATAATTGTCGAGTTATATGCTTTTAAGTCATAAACATTGTGTCCCCGACCTTATAACTTTTGTAGTAAGTTGTGTAAGTATTGATCGGAAAATTGTAAAAAAATGAAAATAATAGAGCCTCTCAAAGTACTTAGAAATTTTGTAGAAAATACGTTGAGTAGTTTTTGGGTAATGGGATATTTTCTGTTTCGTGCAATCAGCCGCAAACTAGTTGTTTCTTATAGTAGTATGTATATACTATGAAATGTAAACTTATTTATGGTAGATAGGTTAATATTTTGTTAAAAAAATTAGTACATGAAAGCATAACATAAATTTATTGCGTCGCTCTTTGTGCGAGTGAGACTCGCACTTGTCCGATTTTTTAGTAAACTAACGCATATTTTCAAGTATATATAAAATGTTTGCTTAAATTATAATTATTTGCATTATTGGTGTTCCATTTATCACTAGCCAGATATCATATTTTAGAATATTATTTATAATAATAGATGAGAATTAAAGAAAAATAATATATAAAATTATTGTAATAATAAAAATATAAGTACGCTTGAACCTGCGACGCCGCGCGCCCTGCTTATAATAATTGAACTTTGTATTGGATAGATTGGTGCTTTTGTAGGTACCAGGTGCGTTCAGACAAACCAAATTTAAATTACCTATGGATATGATGAGAACCTAAAAATTGACAAAGTTGTTCAATAAAAAATAATAATAATAGAATCTTAGTCATTCCACCAGATCTTTTTAAACGGTCGATGTCGGTTTGTTCAATACTGGCTTTTTTTTTCTTCAAATAGTTAATAATAAATATAAACAATTTGTGTTCCGTTTTAAAATATTTATTGTTACTGTTTGTGGGGTGAGTCAATATATACTTTAATGATGACGATGATTGTTGTTCAAATTATTAAAATAATATCAATTAAATAATAAAGATTACAATTTCCCTTATAGGTATGGATCAGCGATAACGGGGTCATAGAACAAATGCCGGTAAGTGCCGAGGCGTAAGTTAGTCATGTATACTTGCCGCGCGACCAGAGCTAACGCCGGACGTTTGCAGATGTGGTGTCCGCCCACGCCGCCATCCAGCGACGGCGACGTGTACTGCGAGGCCTGGGCGCGCCCACTCTACCGTCGCGGCGCCGCCGCTGACGCGCTGCTGCCGCCCGTGCGCTGGCGAGACGCGCGCGCCCCGCGCTCACCGCGCCGTGCGCGCCCTGCGCCGCGCGCCGCCCACGCGCCGCCCTCGTTGTTTGAGCGCGCTGGCCCCCGCCCGCGACCGCGCCCGCGCGCGCCGCCCCCGCCCGCCCGCGACCCGCCCGCACCGCCGCCTGACTGGGCGCCCTGCGAGGACGCCGCGCTGCGCCACGCACTGCGCCTGCAGCGCCTGCCGCCCGAACCGCCCGCCGCGCACGCGCCCAACTGGGACTGGCTCGCCGACCTCGTCAACGAGACGGCGCGCGCGTACCGCTCGCCGCGCGCTTGCCGCGACCGCCACGATGCGCTAGCCGACCCCGAGCGCGCGCGTCGCAAGCACCGCAAGCCGCCGCCCGCGCGCCGCCGCGCCGACGACGATGCGCCGCGCCCGCCGCTGCCACGTCTCGACGCCATGCGTGACGCGGCCGAGCGACGCCGCGCCGCGCGCCCAAGCGCCGCCTCGATGACGCCGCGCACCACAACCCCAAGCACGCGGCGCTGCTCGCCGACCACGGCGTGGACTACGACGCGCCGCCCACACCCATGGAGGTGGCCACGCGCCGCGCCGAGCGCATCGCCAAGGAGAAGCTGAAGGCGGGCGCGGGCGCCGGGGCGGGCGCGAGCGTCGGGGCGGGGACGGGCGCGGCACCAGCGCAGGCGGGCCCGGCGCCGCGTGTGGTGGTGGCGGCGGCGGCGGGCAAGGCGGAGGTGGCGCGGCGGCGCGCGGCGGGCGAGGGCGCGCGCGCGGCGGCGCCGCAGGCCGCGCAGTTGCTCTACCGCCACCAGTCGCTCACCACGCGCCACCATCTCAAAATACTGCACCACGCCCCCTCACCGCAGCCACAGGCAATTGTAAGTTCTTCGTAACAGAACATACATAAGTGAAGATACGCTTCGACTTCTATCAATACTTATATGCCCGATGTTTTAACTATGTGGAACTCGAACTGGTCGCGGGGCCTACTTTTTTTAACAAGTCTTTTCTGCACTTAATCAATTGGATACTACTTTTTAGGAACTGGGCTATAACTGCCTTATACTATTGCATGTGAGCTTGTAATTTGATCCACTTTGATTCGATATTTTGTTCAAGTTAATATTCCCACAGGGCGGAGCCGCAAGCGTAAGCGTGAGCGCGGGCGCGAGCGTGGAGGGCAGCGCGGTGATGGCGGGCGGCGCGGCGCTGCGCACGTTGCAGCTGCAGCAGCTGCGCCGCGCCGCCGGCCGCGCGCCGCCGCCCCACGTCGTGCTCGCGCACCTCGCGCCGTCAGCCCACCACGCCGCGCCCACTCCTCCCGCCCCGCCCGCGGTCGCCGCGCCGCAGCAGCACCACACCACGCCACAGCCCGATACGCAACAATAAAACATTTCACCTGTTTTTATACACTTTTATTTATCTCTCAATGCATTAGTCACAAAAACGTATCAATAAAATAATTGTGGGTAGGCTGTCTGTAATGACTATATAATACCTTGGAGACATCTAACACCTCAGTCTCTCCCGTGACCATGATTGCTGTAAAGCATTCGAAACGTCGGGAAACAAAAATGCAAATAAATCTGCGACAAAATCCGAAAAGATAGTTCTTTTAAATCTATACTAATATTATAAAGAGGTAAAGTTTGTGATCTTGTGAGTTTGTGGGTTTGTGAGTTTGTGACGTTGTAGGGGGTAATCTCTGGATCTACTGAACCGATTTACAAAATTCTTTTACCAATAGAAAGCCACGTTCTTTTTGAGTGTCATAGGCTATATATTAACCCGAAAAATAAAAAGGCTTTTTCGTGGTAGTCGGATTTGCAAAGTAAGTCGGAGAAAAAACGGTCGAACGATAACGTTTCTTACGAACGCTGCCTTAACGATGAGAGATATATGATTATGTTCTAGAGAAAAGTTGTAGAGCTTAATAATGCCTACAAAAAAGTCCGCGACAGCATATGTCTAACTTTTATATTTAAGTCACAAATAGTCTTTTTTTATATTACAAAAATAAATTAAATCGGTAGGTCATGTTTATTGGTCATATTATCAACAATTATGAATTCTTATCAAAATAAGTAAATTTATCGTCTAAAATATTTAAAACAAAAGACTTTTCCCTTTTACTGCATATAATTTGGACAAATGGTTTAAGAGATAATACAACATATTCGTAGATATGGACGAACCCGAGCCAGCTGTTTGTCTGTTTTTCTGTTTGTACGGGCTAATCTCCGATTCTATTGGACCGATTTAAATGAAATTTTGCATGGTGGTACCTTATATCCCCGTGCAACATCTTAGATACTTTTCATCCCGGAAAATTAAAGAGTTCCCGTGGAATAGTTAAAAAACTATAACAATTTATACAGCTTAGTACACAAAAACTACTGATTGGATTTTAATGAAACTTTACAATAATATAGTTCATACATGACAAAAACAAATCAGCTACTTTTCATCCCGAAAAATTAAAGAGTTTTCGTGGGATAGTTAAAAACTATAGTAACTTATACAGCTTAGTACACAACAACTTATTCACCTAATTTAGTGAAATTTGGCATGCTGATACCTTATATTGCCGGTCAAACAACAGGTTACTTTTCATCCCGGAAAAATGAACGGTTCCCGTGGGATAGATCTGTTTGTGCTTTTCTAGAGGTGAACCCGAGCAAAGCGAGGGTGAGCCGCTAGTTATATATAAAACAATGTTGCTTAGATAAATAATTAATATTTTTAATTTTTAATATTCTTTATGGTTATACATAATATAATAATAGGGAAATTAAATAATATTAGTAATTAATAAAGTTTTTTAAAAATTGTAATATAATAATAACAGCTAAAATTAAATAAATAATATTGCTATATTGAAATATAATACTTATTAAAAAAAATGTTTAGAAATAAAAATCAACAAATATTGTAAGGTACTTTATTATCATTTTTTGAATTTTTGAGATCGTTTTTGTAAAATAGCGGGTAGGCACTATCTGTAAGAAGTATGTGTTTGAGACGTCTATAACCTTAGTCTTTTCCGTGACAAGATAGTTTTATTTAAAATTATTATTTACTATTGTGCGAATACCATTAGATTTAGATGTGAGCTTATTTTTAATTCTAACCCACGCATCATATACCAAATTTTTCGTTCTGTGGTCGGGGTTACGAGAATCCTGTTTAAATTATAATACTCTCCGTTTCATAAAATCTAATAAACTCCAATATTTTTTCATTGCTCTAAATTATACTGTAGTTGCGTACCAGTATATAAGTGTATAATCTATGGTAGTTGCGTTGTCACTTTCCCGCCAAAATATCACACGTCCGTTACGCTCAAAGTCTGGACTGCAACTCAAGTGGCGAAGTGTACTGTGTACTACACAGTGTGTAGCCACGCAAGGGAATATTGTCGCGCTAAAACCTTTTGATGCGCGCCAGTTTACCGACAGTGCCGCGATAAGCATTTATCATGGCCCGAATACTACGCGATGCGCCGAACTACTCGGCCACACTTGTCTCGCTAACACGAATATTCACCGTATCCCGCTAATGCAGCCGCGGGCGCGGTATAAGAAATTAATTAAATTTCTAGGAAATCTATTGTAAACTCTACTGTAACGCCGTCGTGGAGGGATTAAACTTGCGTGCACTGGTGTCGGTGCGTGGGGGCCGCGCGGGGGGCGTGGTGGGCGCATGCGCAGGCGCGCTCGACGTGCACGAGGCGCAGCGAGGCGAGCAGGTGCGCAAGCGGCTCGAGCGCGTCGCCAAGCGCGGCGGCGAGCGGGCGCGCGGCGCGGCGCAGCGCGGCGGTGGCGTGCGCGGCGCACAGCAGCGCGGGGCGCGCGGCGGCGTGCGCCTGCGCCAGCGCCGGCACCACCGCCGCGTCCGCCGCCGCCGCCACGGCGCCGCACACCGCGCCGCGCACGCTCTCCAGCACACACCTGCAACGCACCATCAATCCATCACATCCAGAATTTCTAAAGACGTGGTGTGCTCCTTACATTAGAAATTAAGTTCGCAAACGACTAATAAAAAAATAATTGTGGTAAATACAAAAAATACTTAGTATCAAAACATTTTTCTCTTACTATAGTTAGTACTACAACAAAAAGATTTTTGAATTTGCCGCGTTTTCTCAGGTCACGCTTTCGTTAGCCAGACTATTAAAAACTACAAACTTTATAAAACATGAATAAATCTTTATTCTTATAATTTATACTAATTTTATAAAAAAAACACTAATATAAAACCTCAGTCACATCTAGGCGATAAAGAACATAAAAGATGGCATATGGTATTAGGCGTAATTGTGTAAGTTATTAATCATATTACCTACGTATTCTACTGCTACTATTTTCTCAATACTAATATATAAGTTCAAAACTTATTCTGTCAGTTTAATCCATACTAATATATAAATGCAAAAGTAACTCTGTCTGTCTGTTTGTTACCTTTTTCACGCCTATACGGTATGGAGATAACTTTAGACCCTGGGAAGGACATAGGATAGTTATAAAGAATTAATAGCAATTATTTTAGGAATAGAATACTTTAGGGAGACTGTAATAAGGCAATAACATTTTAGAAATAAGAGTAACAATGACTTGGAGTATAATTTGACCATCACACCACGGAACAAGTGTGGTGACTGACTCGAACAAGAAGATAATGAAGCGTATTTTTTTTAATAAATAATACTTTATTCTTTTCAACCAGCTTACGTAGAGTGACTTGCCACCTTCCTAAATCATAACACCTCCAGGTTAATTTCTAAGAAATTAATTAAAATTATAAGAAATCCTTTGGTAACTGACACGCCGGCGTATCTGCGGTCGTGGAGGGATTATGCAAATGTTACTGCTATATATGTTTGGGGGTTATGGTATATTTTGATTTTAAAGATTATCCACGTACAAAGTAATAGAAGACAAACACGGATTTACGCATAACCAAATGTTCTAAGAAAAAGAAAAATTTGTAAATGTTCTTAGAAAGAGCCAAGGATCTATGTAAACCTGATAAAAAGGAATAGCAACCACAATATCTCTGCTTTGTTATTGTTTAGCGAGTTGATTTTTTACTTAATATACATACTTCTTTAACATGTCTTCTAATTAGGTATGATCTAAGTTTCATTACTGGCGAAAGACAAAAAAAATAGACCACCGGTTCATACAAAGGGTTAAACATTTGTACTTTAAAAAAAAAGCAAACGATAAAATTAAGAAAGGTAGGTTATGGCTATTTTGTACCAAGCGAGCCTCGGCTATAAAATAGAACGAACTTTATAAGTTCAACTTAATGTCAGCGGCTAGCGTTAAATGTGTATGTATATCTATCATTCAGGTTTCTGTAAATTTATTGTTGTTATTTCTGTATAACTAAGCGGCGGACGTAGTCACGTGCAAATACAGTCGATCAATCAAATGCACATAATCCTCTTTTGGTGTTTGCTGCAGTCTGTTAAACATAGCCCGTACAAAGGTAAATTTTATTTCTTTGGGATTATGCATCAGTACTACAAAACGTAGAGTATTAATATTATGTAATAATCTATACATATAATAAAACTGTAACTAAGCCGAATTTGTACATTAAATATTTTTTGGAAAATCTAATTGAAATAGACATTATTATCGATACAGAGTCCGAATCTATAGTTTTTAGAGTTTTTGTCCGTCTGTCTGTTACCGCATCACAGAAAAACCACTGGAGGGATTTTGATGAAATTTGGGATGGTGATAGCTAGTTATCCGGGTTAACATGTAGGATATTTTTTACCGCGGGAAATTGTCTCATTTCTGAGAAAAAATACAAAAACTGCAATGTAACAGCATACTAATATGTAAAACCTAAGAATTTGGTTTTTGGCCATCTGAACGCGGGCGAAGCCGCGGGAAATGCTAGTAATTAAATACTGTTTTGAACCTTTCTAATTGTATGACTACGGCAACAACGGCGCTGAAGAGCACGCGCGGCACGGCAAGCAGCTCGCGCAGCATCGCGGCGGCGGGGCGCGCCACGCGGCGGGCGGCACGCTCCACGCGCGTGGTCGGCGATGCGCGCGCCCACAGGTACTCCGTGCCGCCCTCAAAGCTGTACACCTCGATTCGCTCCGGATCTGCAATTTCAACAAACTATTTTACTGCACAAAAATAGCGAACTGACTTTAAAAAGTATCATGAAATATTAACCGTCTTCGAACAAATCCAAGTGTTCCTTTTTCGGACTATTTGTTTTCTTCCAAAAGATTTTTTTTATAGATCTCTAAAAATAATAATAAATGAATTGATATAATACCAATATTCGAAAATGAATATTCACAATATTATCAGTTATAATATTTGCACCTTATTCTTTTTATCCTCTTCCTTCATTGTCGTAGTACAGGCGTCACCTGCCGCGCGATTAAACGCTTCAGAAGCTCTCGTTTCATTAACACATGAAAGAACTTTGTCCCACCTTGCAAAAAATTACAAGAATCAACTAATTATTTACACATTATACGTCACTAGGTGAAAGAGTACGGTCATCTTACGATTGCTGGTTAAGTGCGGTAAAAGCCGGACAAGCTAACAGGACAGCTGCAGGGACATTGCCATTCTCATGCACAGTCTTCTGTATTTGAAATTTATATATTATATTTATGTAGAAATATTAGTAATTAATAGATACTATTTACACATTATGTTGTATGTATGATGCAGCTTGTGTTCTTTAATGTTGGTAAATTCGTTCATATGCAATATGTACTTACTGGAAATGTGGGTGTGAAAATGGCCGCAGTGGGCGGTCCGACGGCAGGGCTAGAAGCGGCGGGCAAGCGCGAGCCCGTCGGCTCAGTGCGGCGGTGTTTTTGCACCACTACCTTGTAATATCATTATATAAAATGACTCACTAATTAATAAAAATTAAAAAATCGAAACGAATACATACGAGTATTATATATTTAAATATTTTTGATAGTGAGTACCTATACGAGCATTGAGTTTTGATTTAATTTGTCTTGAGTTCTATTTTTGTTAAAAAATTCTCGTGTCAAAGATACAATCCAGGCTATATAAGATGAGCCTCATGGTAATTTTTCGGACCTCTGAAAGTACTGTGCTGCTAGTTGTAGATGCGCTCTCAGGTCTTCTTTGGCTGGATTTTTTTATGTACGTTGTCAGCTTCCCGATTGATCTCTTCGCCTTCCTGCGCCCTTAGGTCTTCTTGGTGAGAGATGCAGGGACATTTCGTATAGGATGCCAGTGTACTGATTGCCTTTATTTGAGTAATTGGACACTATCTATATTTTTATATTTAAAAAATACATACTTACTTACCAAAAGACAGCGCTTGAAGATACAAACTCATGAAACCCTCATTAAATATTATACGTACATAATGTAATAATATTCTTGATGGCTTAATTTATTGTTTTCAAAAAATATCAATTATTTAAAAGTGACTGAAAATCTACAACCTGTATAAAAGACGCGGACTGATCGCTTAAAAGTAAAGGCGACGTCGGGCGCGGCGCATCCCCAGCTGCAAGAGCGCCACTCTCTGTGATGGTTCGACTTGAACTTGACGTGTCGACATCTATACATATTGTCTAATACATCAAAATATTCTTTCTTTATTAATAACACTACTTTACAAGGTTTTTTTACCCATAGAGAAACTAATGTGAATCGGTAGAATAATGAACCCTAAGTTAGATACTGAAAAAAATAGGACGTCAAGTTTTTTAAATACTTACTATAGGTATTTGTTTTCAACAAAAAAATTTATGTGACCCACAAAAATCAAAAATAATACAGATTACTTCTTCTTTTATTTTATTAGCGTTAATTTCTCTTAATATAGACCAGAAGTAATCGGATATCATATTTTATCCCAAAAACTTCGATACCTCTCCTCATAATTCTTTAAATCTTGATGAAAACATTCACCATGTTCATCACTTATGCTTACCAGGTCCTCAGGAAAAAATCCAGATGCGAATGTAAAAAATGAATTTTTAAGGACAAGTTCACCCCCACTCTGTGGTAATTCATCAATAAATTAGAAATAATCGCTTCATCGCTTTCATTTGTTGCCCAAGAAATTTTTCCCTACAGCTTTAAATGAATGCCGAGCATCTTTTTCGACACTGGATAAGTGACCATCAAATTTTATTTTTCAACCGACTTCAAAAAGGAGGAGGTTCTCAATTCGGCTGTATGTTTTTTTTTATGTTTGTTAAACAAAAGCACTAAATAAATAAAAATAAACAAAAGCACTAAAAAAACTTTTTAACAAAAAAATAAAAACCGACTTCAAACAAAAGCACTAAAAAGTAAAAAATAACTGATTGGTAGTTTTCATTTACTATACATACCTAATCAAATATTTTCGAAGTCGGTGTGCTTTGCTTTATATGGCCTGGCACCGATTTCGAAAATATTTGATTAGGTATGTATTTAATAGGTAGGCTTTAATTACTTAGCCAAAGCACACCGACTTCGAATATATTTGATTAGGTATGTATAGTAAATGAAAACTACCAATCAGTTATTTTTTACTTTTTTTTCTTTTGTTTGAAGTCGGTTTTTATTTTTTTGTTAAAAAGTTTTTATTTTTCCCTTTTTAGTGTAGACAGTAGTAGCAAAGTAATAATTCTAACGTATTAGGCTTGTCAAATGAAACAAAACAAGCCCAAACTCAAAGTATCTACTATTAGCCGTTGAAGAGTTCCACCTATCCACCTTCTGGCCTTACCATCAGATCAGGTCAACAATACCGAACCACTGTACTATCAACGGAAATAGAAACACTTGCAAAGTTTCAAGTCAATATGACAATTAGAAGTAGATTAAATTCATCATTAGCCATTTTTCCACCCTTAGGGGTGGTATTTTTTTTTGAAATTTAAATGGTACCAATCTGGAAGTATACACTTTCAAACAACACAAAAATTGTTCAAATCGGTTAATAAATGACGGAGTTCTGAGGTAACAAACATAAAAAAAAACATACAGTCGAATTGAGAACCTCCTCCTTTTTGAAGTCGGTTGAAAAGTAAAAAATAAGTGATTGGTAGTTTTCATTTACTATACATACCTAATCAAATATTTTGGAAGTTGGTGTGCTTTGGCTAAGTTATTAAAGCCTATCTATTAAATACATACCTAATCAAATATTTTCGAAATCGGTGCCAGCCCATACAAAGCAAAGCGCACCGACTTCAAAAATATTTGATTAGGTATGTATAGTAAACGAAAACTACCAATCAGTTATTTTTTACTTTTTAGTGCTTTTGTTTGAAGTCGGTTTTTATTTTTTTGTTAAAAAGTTTTTTCCTGCAGCCCAGTTCAATAATATACTATAATTATCACATACTGCTCCGGGAAACTATTTTATTATTAAGATATGTTACCGACAATTGGAAGTATTGAAAATAGGCTTGTTTTACGTCTTCATTAATTGGTCTCTTCTTTTTTGACAAGATAATTTGACTACAAACATACCAAAAGTCGAGCACTGTCTTTAGGACATTTTAAAACAAATCAAAATCCTTAAATTAATAGATAAACACAACAGTAGTGAATAATAACCCAGACACGAGTAACCAGATAGCCAAATAAAGTAATGAGGATATATTAAAAAAACTTGACGTGATAAAAATATGGGACATATATTTTTGTAGTAAGAGAATAGGTAGGAAACATATTCAGTATGAATTATCTTTGGGTATTTTTTTTTGTAAAGTAGTTTAATATATAAATAAAAAATCCAAACCTAGCCGAGTGTTTCCAATTTCGATTTCTTTAGCTTCTACTCCTCTATTTACGGTTATGTTTGTAAAAGTGGAGCCTAGTTTTTTGAGCGACATTGTCATTTGTGTGTTAATGTCATTGACTTTTACTTGTTATCTATACTAAATATTATAAAGAGGTAAAAAGTTTGTGACGCTGTAGGGGGTAATCTCTGGATCTACTGAACCGATTTAGAAATTTAGTAAGAAAATCTAAAATAATTTCCATTTTACGCAAGTGCGTGTTACTTTCTCTTTATTATACTTTTCTTTTGTATAGCTACTAAGCATTGATTGAGTGTATTACCTCGTAATATGTCGTTTAGGTCACCGTCAATATTTTATTTCATATTCCTAAAAGGGTCTTCTGACCCTTTTAGGATTTTTTGCATTAGCAGAATGCTTACTATATCTTTTTATTTTTGCCACAATTATTCAGCATTTGACAGTTCAATTGAGTTTAATTTACTTTAGATCTATGAAGATCACTTCTTCAAATTTCACACTTAGGTATCTATGTGACACGTACAAATGTGAAATACGTACATATATCTACTATAGATATATATCAAGAAATAGCCCTGTTGGTATGCGAGTCGGGCTAGCACTTTTTTGGTTAAACTTTATTTATTTCCGTTTATAATGTAAGGATGATAAAATTAAACAATAATTACATTCAGTCATTTATTTATTCTTATTCTTACACATCTCTCGCGACGAGTGCTTTGTGCGGCGTCGTCCTCCACGCGAAGCCGACATGGGGTCGGCGCGGGGCCGATGCGGGGCCGGCGCCGGGACAGAGCGGTGTCAGTGCGCGACTGACGCGGGACCGGCACAGGACCGAATTTCATACGTTTATTGTAATCTCTATGATCTCCATAATAAACTAATTGTCCATTCTAAACCTACATCACACGCTTCAAGATATGACGTTAATTTTGCCCAATACATTCAAGCGACAATAGAAAAATTATAATGACATTAATTTATTTAAAATTCGAATAAAAAAAAACGAAATATTTCTTTGACATAAGTAATTATACATTCTGACAACGTTGAGAACCATGTGTGGTGCTCTTATCTGTTATTTAATTCTTACGGTTGGCCGTCATGTCTCGTACTAAAGAGCACTAACATTTGATTCTTATTAATAAAGAAAGTGTTTTATAAACAAAGTACTGGTCTTCGACCACGATTGTATCGACGTCACCTCACAGCGCCATCTTGCGGCCCTCGATCGAGATCTCGACGGCGCGCCGCGTGCCGCCCTTCATGCGCTTCTGGTCCAGGAACTTCTTCATCTGCTTCTCGTACCGCGTCATCTTCTTTTTGCTCATCTGCAATCAAGCATTACAGGAATTTGTGGAAATGTCAATTAAATAACATATATATTACGGACGTCATTATAGTAAATTATATTTATAAAATCTTTTGATAATACAAATACATCAGGGTTCTCAACATAAATAAAGAAAAATTTATTATCCATTAGGTCAACGAATGGAGCGAAATGTATCGGTTTGTTATCACACGTGTGGCGTGACTCACGCGCGACATGTCGACCTCGCAGGTGGACTTGGGGCGCACGACGTAGTCTTTGCTGCTGGGCGCCGGCACGCGCGCGCGCGCCACCCAGCCCGGCTCGCCCGGTCGCAGCGTGCGCTCGGGCGCGCCGCCCACGCCGCCCGCTCCCGCCGCGCCGCCCGCCCCCGCCACGCCGCCCTCGCGCCGCCGCCCGCCCGCCATCGCCTCGTCGCGCGCCTGCCGCTCCTCGCGCGTCATCGCTGCAAACGCAGTTGACACCATGAAACATTAACTACGAGACCGAGTTATCTAAAAAAATAGCCTAACATTAGCCCTTGAAACCAGATTGATTTAATTAACTGTAAATATATTTTTTCAGAAAACAGCTATTATGAAATGTGAAAATTGACGTCACTGGTTGTAATCGCCATACAAAATCTTTGGGAGAACTGCTATATATGCATTATCAATTGATTTGTTGTGAGTAATATTACCATATAGAAAATAATAATATTGTTACTTTTTAAAACTAAAAAAAATACTAAATATTGCAGATATATTATGTAATCTATACATATAATAAAATTTCTCAGCAAAAATACAAAAACTGCAATGTAAGAGTATACGAATATTATGTAAAACCTAAGAATTTGGTATTTAGTCATCTGAACGCAGGCAATGGTAGTAATAATAATAAATATGGGACCTTTAAAATCGGTAGAGAGGTTGAATATAGGGCGCGCCCACTCGGAGATGAGCCGGCCGGCGCGCTCCTTGTTGGCCTTGGTCTCCTTGGGGTGCTTGTAGAGGTACATGACGGCCTTGCCGATGCCGGACTGCTTGAGCAGCGACTTGTCGATGGCGGGGAAGTCCTGCAGAAGCTTGAGCACGCTCTCGCGGATGAGTAGGCACGGCAGCGCGCGGTTGGGCATCGGCGCCAGCCAGTCGCACAGCACGTTGAGCACGTTGTGCTCGAGGAAGGCCAGCTGCAGGTCGCGCTTGATGAGCTGCGACATAGCGCGCTTCAGCAGCGACACCTTGCGCACGGCGGGCTGATTTCGCCGGTTGAGTTCGCGGTCGGCGTCGGCGGCCGCGCGCATCTGCTGCAGCAGCGCCGCGATCAGGTCGTCATTATCGTTGATGATGTCGATGTCGCGCCGCCGCCGCCGCCCGCGCCGCTCCTCGCGCTTGCGCGCCAGCATCGCCTCGAAGTCCGACAGCCCGCCCATGCCACCCTCCGCCCCCTCCCCGCGCTCCGGCCCCTCGTCCGACGACTCCGCGCCGCCGGCGTCCGCGTCCGCATCCGCTCCGCCCTCCACCGCCACCCCCGCGCCGCTCTCCTCCCCCGCCCCCACCTCCGCGCCGCCCTCGCCCGCCTCGCCCTCGTCGTCCGACTGCAAGCGCACCACGCGCCGCCTCTTGGCGTCTCTGCGCGACGGCGAGCCGGAGCCCGAGCGCGAACGCGAACGCGAGCGGGACCTGTAACCATTTGGCATTCCGTTGCTACATCCAAATTCAAAATATTATATTTAGCATTAAATTATTACGAACGCACCACTCTCTTAACTGCTATTAAATATTGTTTGCTAAATAAGTAATATTGTAAGTTATAACTTTTACAGATACTCTTCATAGATGAGCTGTTTCCTTACATGCAAAACTCTGAGTGCTGTGAAATTATATCTTATACACTACAGTGTAGTGACTGCACACTACACTGCAATGGTTATTAATAAACAACGTAATATCCAGTATGTTTATTGTTACCTTGATTTAGATTTAGCAGAACCAGATCGAGATCTAGAGCGGGATCCTGAGCGGGAGCGCGACTTCGACCTGGAGCGTGACCGGGACTTGGACCGCGAGCGCGAGCCGGACCGCGAACGCGAGCGACTTGCTCTTCCCGCTGGAAAAGTGATTGATGAGATGTGCCCATTATTTAAATCATAATAATAAAATCAGTCAATTAGTAAAACCGTGATATTCTTTATCACGTAAAAATAAGTAAAAAACTTACCAGACTTCGCCCTTGAGCCGGAACGCGACCGCGAACGACTAGCACGTGATCCTAAAACACAGGATTATAAATTTTTGTATATAACAACATATAAACATTCATAATTAACATTTTGATTGTTTGTAAATCATCAATGGGACTGACCTGCCGCTGAGTGTGGTCTATCGCCATCTTCATCAACATCCATTTTTTCAGGGGATTTGCTTCTATCTCTATTTACGGGAGATTTACTTTTAGACCTTTTTGGCGATTTGCTTGTAGACCTCGATTTAGCTGGTGATGTTTTATCTGCAGATTTGGGAGATCGACTTTTAGACCTAGATTTTCTAGATGATGATGATTTCACAACAGACCCACTCCTCGAGCGGGATTTTCTTGGTGAGCCGCTGCCAGACCTGGATCTGGCGGAGCCACTTCTAGACCTTGATTTTCTGGGAGATCTACTTTTAGATTTTGATTTTCTTGGAGACCCACTTCTAGAACGAGACCGGGAATTTCTAACAGATCCACTTTGAGATCGTGATTTTCTGGATCCTGATCTAGATCGGGATCTTGATCTAGATTTATTCCGTGAACCGCTACGAGAACGTGACTTTGCTGGAGAACCACTGCGAGAGCGCGATTTAGCGGCACTTCTTGATCTAGACCTATCTCTGGATGCAGCAGATCCGCTTCTAGACCTTGATCTAGATCTAGACTTGCGAGATCCACTGCGCGATCGTGCAGACTTGGCAGATCCACTGCGCGATCGTGCAGACTTGGCAGATCCACTGCGTGATCGTGCAGACTTGGCAGATCCACTGCGCGATCGTGCAGACTTGGCAGATCCACTGCGCGATCGTGCAGACTTGGCAGATCCACTGCGGGATCGTGCAGACTTGGCAGATCCACTTCTCGAGCGTGGGGACTTTGGGGATCCACTTCTAGACCTCGACCCGCTTCGCGACCGAGCAGACTTAGGAGAGCCTGAGCGCGACCGTGACGACGCCCGCGAGCCACTTCTAGACCGTGACGAGGATTTGGACCGGGAACGCGAACGTGACGGGCTCCGTGATCGTGAGCCGGATTTTGATCGTACTGACCCATCATGGGACATTTTAGAGTCTGATGCTGCCTGTTATAAATAAAATTATTAAAGAGAACAATAATACTCATGTACATTTGTATATAAAAGCATGAAATACAATTATTATTAAATTAATAATTGTTCTTATTATTAAGCAAAACAAACTGACGCTAAAGAGAATAATAAGAGGAATTAGAATTAAAATAATCTTTTATGAATATTTTAATTTTAATTAATCTTATCATCTTTTAGGAATCGAAATATAATGTGTTATTTTAATTAATTTTTTTATCTTATGAAGAAGAATCACTTACAGATCTGCTGCGAGACCGAGAGCGCCGGCCATCTATAAAAAAAAATATTTCTAGTTATTATATAATAACTCTTAAACAGTCTATTTACATAACGGTTTTATCATTATAAAACAAAAGGAAATATTTAATTATGATAAAAACTTGCTTGTATGTTTTTTAAAATATTTCTTTAGTTACAGAAACCTAAAATAACAACTATTTAAAGGAAAAAAATATAATTTTAATTTTGCTGTCTTGTTATAGCTGTACATGCCAATATAATTATTTAGATAAACCAAACTTTTAACTTTTTTTGGTTCACAGTTACAACAGTATATTTTATAATTGTAACTTAATACACAAGTTTATAACAATTGGTAGACAGACTTTGTGAAAGAATGGTTCCACTGAATGGGATAAATCTATATATGTATGTAAAAATCAATTGCTGTTTGTTAGTCTTGCTTAAACTTAAAAACGGCTGAACCGATTTTAATAATTATTTTTTTGTTTTGTTGGAGGTACATCAGGGATGGTTTAAATATAAAAACATTAGAATAAACCCATAAGAACAGCTGGAAAATCGAAAAGTTCAGAACTGGTTATTTTGTACGGGAATGACTACTTCAGATTACTTTCAATAGTGGTGGTAATACTGACCATCTACAACAATACATCAAGTTTAAGTTAGAAAAAAAAAATATATGTATATAACAGTATTCAGTCTATCTATTCTATACTAATTGTTAAAACATACCTAGGGACGAACCTGAGCGAAGCGAGGGTGAGCCTCTAGTGTTTTATATAAATTAGATATGCAAAAAATATTTAGCTATACATAATTCGAAGAAAGTCACTCGAACCAGAAAGCCCACAGAATATTCGGTATTATTTGGCATATGACTGAATATGATATTGTTGTTGTTGCAAGTCTTAACATAAATACATGGATAGTAACTTACTGCATCATGTTTATGTTCTATCATAATTATATTTAATTACTACTTTAATCTACATTTCACATTTATATTAGAGAAATTATAGAAATTTTGTATGATAGTAAATGAAAGTTAATATAGCTTATTGCATGTGTGGCAACATGTTTAGTAATATAATATGAAATAAGGATAACCTCCAATATGCTTTTGCTTACTGCAAAAAACAAATAGCTGTATTTGCTATCTTTTCATAAATAAACCTAAGATTAAGACAAAATATAATAACTGTCATACAACTAAGTAGTAAGTGTTCATAGACCTGTATTATTCTCTTATATATATATCTGCTTAAATATTTCAAGTCTAGCCATGTACATAACCAATTGTTGAATTAGAAACACACATTTATGTTACTAGATATAACGAAAATCAATGCAATAGCAACATTTTATTCTTAATACCTAAAAGGTTTAAATTTTTACATTACAGCTGTAAAACTGCTCTTTATTTAATAGTGTGTAAATTATAAAATGTTGAAAGTTTACTACAATATTTATAATATTTTAGAGGAATAATCTTTGTTTTAGAGGTTATTATGACAAAAAATTATATCTTACCCGTATCGACATCCATTTTTAGAGTTTTAAAATTTTCACGTTATTATGACTTCTATTAAACGGAACTGACATATGCAAAAGAAAACCAAATATATCAAATCATTGATAATACTTGCACAAAATCATGTTAAGAATAAAGGTAATTGTTATCTAAAATCGAAATTACAAGAATAATTCAATTTCTTTCACACAACTCAAGTCTCAAATCTCAATCACAGATTAAACAATCTCAATGTTCAATGTTGGGCCACAGACTACCATAAGCCGTTGGGAAATGGGAACAACTTCACAGATACAGAATGTTAGTACAAATATTGCCATTTGACGTTAAGCTATAAACCACAGTTCTACTAAATCCTATTTGAAAAATACTTTTTGCATTAGATAGGTATCCCGTTCATTGAGGAAGGCTATAGGCTACCTAATACCTATATATCATGAAGCCTACTACCCAAGGAAGTGAAGCAGTAGTCATAAGTGAAAAGAAAATACTGATGTTTATATCGGAAGTATGAATGCGGGTGAAGCCGCGAATAATGCTAGTTATAATATATTTAGAGCATAGATGATTAAATAGAACTTTGTTAGAGCAGTCAGAGATGTTTTCATTTGTATTTTGTATAAGTCATTCTTTGTCAGCGCTGTCATCATTCATCAGTCAGATTTCAGTTGTAATATAGTTGTCAAAAATCAAAACAATGGTTTGCAGTATAGTTTTAGTTGTATTTCATAATACGTAGTTACAATAGGATCATATAAATTGTGTATTAATAATGGATGAAGAAAATAAATTACCCTTAAAACGTGTCGAACTGTCGCTGTCGAAGTTCAATGAAGTGGCTATACCACACCATTTGGATCTACTTCGTCAACACAAAACGAATATAATAAAGGTAACAAACCTTCTATTTATTTATTACTGACAAAAATAGTAACAACATTATTCGTATCAGTAAAAAAATCTAACGAAATAAGAAACAAGCGCGCAATAATCTCAGTCTTTGACGTCATGAAGGTCTATAAATAACGTATTTCTAGCAAGGTTGAGAACTTTTTCTAAAATTCTAAGACTATGATTTGTTTAAAACATGATTTTTATGTATATATTGTTATAAGGATATATAGAAGAATTGATTCAAAAATAAGCAATAAGCAGAAGTTTTTAATATTGTATTATTTTTTACTTGTGAATTATTCCATAACAAGCAGCAATCTCAAGGGAGATCTCCCATCGTGATCATGATATAAACAGAAGCTCAAATATTAATTTTCATGTCTCTTCAAAAATGAATTTCGAACATTCATGTCCTATGCATCCCTTTTAATTTCATTCTTTGTATTTTCAAAAATCAAATCTATATTGCACACCATTTTTCATGTTTCTAGAACATTGTTTGCATTGTCTGTTAGTGGTTTTTATTAGCAGTACTGGATTTTCAAATAGTAGCTGTACTGAACATCATACTTATAACAATATTTTTTTTATTATAAAGTAGACTATTTTACTATGACAAGCATGTAAATTGGATATGTAGTTATTAGTTTAGGAGATATTGTAAAATTAAAATAAATCCCAACTTGCATGTGAAGATATCTTTTCAATTGCATACAAAAATATCTAAAGATGATATAAGGTATGAAATGATAAATAATGTAATAATAAATAATTCAGCCTTATTTGTCATTGCTGGGAACCCTAGGCATAATTGAGCTCACAAGCCAAGTACGGATTAACACTAGATATCCTTTGAAAATTAATGTTATAATAATATATACCTAGTCTATGTAAATTGAATGACCTTACCATTCCACATATTGTAGTATGAGGAAACAGGACAATATGCTCGTATGCGCACAGAGCAAGCACACGCGCGGCGCGTAGCGTCGCAGTTGCGTGCCTTGCTGGGCGAGCTTGAGGCGCTGAGGCGGCAGGTGCGCTCCCAAGATGTGACTAGCTTTGATCGACTCACGCAGCGGTCTCGGGACCTCACTCTACGAGCTATCATGGATTACCTAGGTAATATCTTTTGCTTTGTATATTCTTTTAGCATACTTTTTTGATTTTGTTTCTAGTGGATTGTCATACATACACTTTTTACCTAGTGTTATATGAGATATCCTAGCTGTAAATTAAAAGAGGGGTTGAGAGTATGTATGGAACCTAACTTTTTATTAGTTTTTTTTGTAGTTTTAGCACGAGCGAAACTGCGGGTTCTACTAGTTGCCATATATATTGTAATATAAAAAATAGTAAATGAATAGAAGTATCAAATAATAAAACAAAAATACATTATGTTTTTTTCTAATAAAACCATAAACTTTTCATGTATTATAATATAACTTCTACAGAAACTTTCAATAGGAAGTATATAAAAAATATGTACCTATGTGGTGGTTGTAGGTGTGATAGAGCGCAGTTGTATAGCGTTGGTAAGGGAGTCGCAGGCGAGGGCACAGCGCGGGGGTGAGAAGTGTTGTTAGGACTTGTTTCGTTTCATGCTTAATTAACTAAATTGATATATTTTTCTTTGCATATTAAGTTGTAAGTTTTACTAAAGATATACATATGTATATCCGAGAGAAAAATCAAACTGACATGGGAAAACCACAACGCATTATATAACAAACACATAATATTTACGCTATCTCTAAATCACCATTTTTAGAAAAAATCGTAAATGCATGTGTGTAAATGTATTTTAATTTTAAATATAATAAAAAATACGTTTGAAATGAATACATAATATGTGAGGTGAATGTTCTTGATGTTGCGATCTAACCGAAAACGTTCCATATTTTAATAAAATAATTAGGTAATAGTTAAAGTTTTGTTTATCAGTAATAATCCTACTAATATTATAAATGCGAAAGTTTTTGAGGATGTCCGGATGTCTGCATGTATAGTTATATGGATATTTGTTACTCTTTCATGCAAAAACTACTGAATGGATTTTAATGTAACGGTTGCCGTGGGATAGATATGCTTGTTGCCAATGTTGCCATAGAGCTTGTTTACAATTTACTATCTTTAAAGATTAAGGAAAATTTATTATTAATCACGATAAATATCTAAATCTATACACGCTGACATATTTATTTGGTTTTATGCTTAGTTCTTTGATAATCCGGTCTCCGTCTATATTATTCCTTAGTCTGAGAGCTTCAATTAAAGTTGCTACGTCTGCGCAGCGCCTAACATCCATTGTATACTTAATTAGATATACAATATTAACATGAGGAGTTCTATCAGATACGTCGCCTGTGAGTATGAACCGCGCGGCGGCGCGCGACGAGGCGGTGGCGGGCAGCACGCGCTCTACGGAGTCGGTGGGCGTGCTCGCGCTCGGCGACGACCAGATACAGCTGCAGGTCGACGAGCAGGTGGGCTTTCGTGCCTCAATAAAATTGTAATATATGTATGAACTACGTTAAAATACGTTTGTTTTGATGCGTATAATTCGTTTATTGTAACACAGTCTAAGTCGAGTTGTCTGCTCTAGTCTGAAATTTTACTGAACCAATTAACTTGACATAGTGCATGTCCATATGGACTCAATATTTTATAAATGAGTTTAAATTTGAATGGTTAATTCGATTTAAAAAGCAAAAATTGTAATCTTATGGGATTTGCAAAAACTACTGAAGGATTAGTGTAGTCAGTATTCGAGCGAGGCGGGGACGACCTGCTAATTGGTAATATAGGCTGTTTGCCCGTACCATACTTATGCAACATTTACATAAATACTGTAATACAAAGTATCAGTCTTCACAGGTATCACGAGACTGTCAGAACAAACAATGACACCTCAGTGTACAGTAAAGTATCCGTTAAATAATAGTCGCGTCCCGCAGGAGCTGGCGCTGCGCGAGCGCGAGGCGGCGCTGCGCGGCTGGCGCGAGCTGCAGGCGGAGCTGCGCGCGCTGCACGACGCCTGGCAGCACGTGCAGGCCGCCGCGCTCGCGCACGCGCAGCACGTACGTACTACACGCTGCAAACAAGTTCTGCGGTGTCTACGCCGTAAACTTTGCGCAACAGGATTCAAAATCTTTGTTAAGATACTTCGGTGCGACATCATGCCGTCCGGCGAAATCTATTTGTTTTCCAATCTATCAGTTCCTGCCCTGCTAGGAGTCGTATATAAATAATTATTAATTTTGTCAAAGTTAATTTAACTTTCAAATATTGAACTAAGGAAATGAAATTTTTACATATAATTAAAATTTCCATCAAATCGAGCCAACATTCATTGATATTGGCGGATGGCAATTTCGGTAACATGCACACCCTATTTTATAATCCTTCCAATGGTTTCATTTTGGATTACTATTATTATGAATCACTTTCTTTCTAACTTCAAAAGCTAAAGAAAAATCCGCTGACTTCAAAATCACTTTTAATGTAATTTATTTCCCTTTTTTGTTGAAATTAGAAGGGATGGTTATTCACCATCCATTTAACTTACTGGAAACGGAATGATTAAAATCGGTTCTCAAAGGTAACGATATCGTGTGATATACTAACATACACAAAATCACATGCATGAGTTTCTCCTCACTTAGATTTGTGCTAAAATGAGAATAATATACAAATAGGTAAATAACATGATCGCAGTATAAAAATTCATACGGTAAGCGAAAAATACCAATATACACGGTGAACGGTTTCAAAGATAAATCAGCAGGATATGTCGCAATTCGCAGGTGAATGCCGTGTCGTCCAGCACGGAGGCGGCGGCCGGCGACGTGCGCGGCGCGCGCCGCCACCTGCTCGCGGCCGAGCGGTGAGTGCGCGGCCCGCCCGCTTGTACTGGACAGTGGAGAGTTCACTTTAATGACACCAGCTACATGTAATTTGTAAATGATAAAGTGAACAAGTTATTCTTACTAGTTTTATGATTTCTTTCTGATGGTGTCCTGTTTTCAATGGATATCCTTGAAGTGGCTTATAGCAGTACTTTTAGCCGTTCAGAAAAAATACAAAACCAAATATATTATAAGTACTACCTAAGATATGTTTTTTTTCTAATAAGAAGCCTATAATTTCTTATCTTATTTTAAATTATTGAACTCTACAACCAGGAAATTAATGAATTCCATCAAGTTTTCATTCTTATTTTAATGTAAACTAAACATGCCAAAAGATAGATAGTAAATAGTAAGACTATCTATTGAACCTTTTTTTTTTAAACTTTTACAGTTAAAAAATGGTAAAAATATCAGTTTTGACAAAGTTGCACCTTGGGTATAAAAAAAATTATGACAACATGAGTGACCAAGTATTTTAAGATATAATTTAAATGAATATCTAATAGGTAAATATGTATTTTACGTATTGAAATAAGTATATTAGATTTGCTTTGCATCGGCTGGCACTTCGGAAATATCTGATTAGGTATCTATTCTAAATGAAAACCCCCGTTCAGTTATATTTTACATTTTAGTGTCTGAAAGTCGGTTTTTTTTTAAGTTTTTATAACGTAATAAATTAGTATATCGAAATATGATATACGAAATAGGAAGAATATTTTCACACTACGGAACTCGCGATGAGTCAGACTCGCAATTGTCTTATTTTTATTTATACCTATAGTAAGAAGTCGATAGTCCTATATCTAGCGCTTCGACTCATTTTCTGAACGGTCATTGTGAGTAATCGTGTGTGTGTGCGTGCAGGCTGCGCGTAGGGCTGTACGGCGCGGGCGGCGCGGCGGCGGGCGCGCTGGCGGGCGGCCCGCTCGGCCTCGTGCTGGGCGCCAAGGCGGGCGCCGCCGCCGCGCTGGCCGGCTCCGCGCTCGGCTACCTCGCCGCGCGCCTGCTGGGCCGCCACCGCGCCGCCGTGCTCGACGCGCAGGACGCGACCGACACGACCGGCGCGACCGATGCGACCGACGCGGACGGCGGGAAGAAGGAGCGCTGACGCCGCGTGCGAATACGACATCGGTTCTGGTAATTAAAACACTCTTATATTTAGATATAATACGCGCCACGAAAGATGAGACATGAGCGTCAATAGTGGAGATGCTGCGCCGGTACAGTCGTGTACAAAATAGTTATCTATAAATTATTTCTATATCTATTTAGGGATTTTTCGATATCATGCGGAATAAATCGTGAGCTATATTTATTGATTTTGTGTGATCTGTTCTATTTATGTCTGTTTTATCGTTTTATTTCGAAAAACACACTTATAAAAGTCATTTTATTACAGCGCGAGCGCCACACATCGACAGCGATAAAAATTTAATTAGAACTCAGTTGTGCACAATGTTCCTGATTGAAATAGATTCTCTCAATTTACTCTCGGCACCGTAAAATATTTTTTTTATAAGTAGATAGTATAATTTGACATGTACATAAAATATATCTGTAAATTATTTATTTAAGGTGTATGTAATTTAGTAATGACATAATATGTATATATATGTAAATTGTCAAAATGTGTCAAATGTATGTATTTATAGATACTAAGTACCAACTACAGCGCTGTGATAAAACGTAGCCTTGTGCGTCGCGACATCCTTGTCGTAGTAAATGTTTTTGCAAATTCAAAAAGTATATAAAAAACGGATTTTTTTATCACATTTTATCACTATTTATTATTCTTCATCCTAGATGCTGCATGCTGTTTTTATCTACTGTTAATATACATACATACGATATGCATACGAGTATTTACATTTTAACCAGGATATTGTACAAGGTTTCTAGTCAAAGATAAAATTATTAATTAAATATTATAATTGAGTAGTTTTGTTATCTTTAACAGCAACACTGGATGTTTTTAAATAAATAATATTTTTAAAACAAATACGAAAATGTTATATGTACTGATGTGTTCATTAAAGTTGTGTACACACGTTTGCATTTCGTAATCATCGCTAATAGGTATCTGGAAACTGTAAGAATTTAAGGAAAATGATGAATTTTGTTTTAAATTGCATACTCATATTGATTAAAATTTATTAATTTCATCATCTATGTGTTTTAACATTTTGCAATCATGCTGGAATTTTTAACAAGGGACTTTTGTCTTCGTCATCACATCACATTTTTGCGAGTTATTTTTGAATGAATTGTAATTGTAATTCATTGTATAGAGGTGTACCTCAATATACTCGTCGGCGCAGTGTGAATGGTATCATGGTTTATTAATTTTTATATATAAAATATATATAGGTTAACATTATGACAATATATTGTACAAAAATAAATTTTTTTAAACTTTAAATTGCTTTATTTTGTTGCCTTAACTTTTTCCTTTTTACTTTAGTATCTACATATCTACAAGCTCAAATTATACAAACAGTTACCCCAACGCCAGTAGAAAAAATTATCAAAATCAAAATAAATTTGCGAGAACATATAAAAAGATAGTGTTATTTAAAACTAGCAGAACTTGTGGCTTGGCACGTGCTATAACTACAACACGAAACTTAAAAAGGTAGGTTTCATACAAACTTTCAGTCCTTATTTTACTATATATGGGATGAATTTCAAAAAATGCTAATATAAGCATTTTTTTTAAATTTTATTGAATGGCATTAATACCAAGTTTCAAGTAATTTTGATCATAAATAAAATATTTATGATTAAAATTACTTTGTGTTGTATTGTAATACGTTTTCGGTTTTCCCGTGGGAATGAGATAATCTCCCGCAGTAAAAAGTAGCCTATGTTACTCCCCAGTCCTCTAACTATCTCTACACAAAAATTACGCCAATTTGTCACTCTTTTTTCGACGTGAAAGAAGGACATAAACACACGTTCACACGTTTGATGAGATACTTCCGATGTAAGAAGTCATATACAGTTCAAAAATTCTAATAATTTTTAAACTATTCAAAAAAATAAATTGCTATACAAAAATTCTGATGGTACCTTTAAAGTTTTGTTGTTCCGAAAATAACATCTTTAGTCTGTGGAAAAGCTCCCACAGCCCACTGATTTTTATAATCTGTGCATGAAAAATATGGCCGATTTGATTTGTGATGTCGATGTCGGTGGAAGTGAAGCGTTATTTTGTGATAACTTAGTTATTTAGTTAGTAGATAATCATAGAATAATTATAAAGTGTTATCAAGTGAAAGCTTTTATTGTTAGTCTATATGAAGTTGAAAACTGTCATATATCATTGTATATGTGTAACGTCCTCAGTTGTGAAGAGTTGATGAGTTTGTGATCATTTGGGATTCTGGTACGAGGTGCGATGTCTTTTCCACCTCGACCGCCTCTCGTGCCTTACGGGATACCACCGGGAGTTGTCACGATGCCTATGGCTACACATGTATGTGTCACAGCTCTTGTAAAACAATATTTTACATTTAACCTCTTAATAAATCATATTGTGGTTTATAAACGGCTATAGCCGTGATAAACGTTAGGCTATTTAAAAAAATATATATTTAAGTATAAAGATACTTCAGCATTTTATTTCTATTTTTCAAGCCAATTCAACAAAAAACATCAGTAATGAAGTAGAAGAATGTTTCTTGTATTTTATTAATTTTGAAGTGTTTAGACAATTTCTTACAATAATAAAAAAGTAATGCACAGTCAGTTCTTGTAATTGATTTGTCATTACAATAACAGTTACTAAGATAAACAAATTACTTATATACTAAATTGATAAAAAGCATTGCACATTATTTAATAAATTATACAAATTAAACTGAAAAAATGCCCCATACCATATGTGACAAAGTACACAAATTTAAATTATACTACATCATAATAATGTTTTATGTAGGTAATGGTAGGTGCATATGGAGGTGGTACTGTAGGCACTGGGCGTTCTGCACTACTGCCTGCCCCTGCACAGCCCACACCTGGAGGCAAGACAGCACAGAGGACACAATCACGACCTGCTAATGGAGCCAAAGATACAGATGGAACTCCAGTTACTGTTTTTATAGGTAAATAATTATGCATAAAATTAATAACTTTAGTTGTATGTTTAGTCAACAGCTATGAGTATTTTTGATATTGCACCGGTTAAATTACGATTATTTAGATAGGTGTTTTTATTTCTTAATATGATATGAAATATCTTAGGTTAGAATTAACTGACTTATTTTCAGTAGTAGTATACCACTTCAAATATGATATACTCATAGATTGAAATGATATTTTTACAGGTAATATATCAAGTCGTGCTCCAGATGCCATGATCCGTGCAGTACTAGGTACCTGTGGGCCTGTAGTCAGTTGGAAGCGTGTCAGTACATTTGGCTTTTGTGAGTTTGCGGGTCCGGAGGCAGCACTACGTTGTGTCAGGCTTTTACATGAACGCCCATTAGCAGATAAAAAATTATTAGCCCGCACTGATGGAAAGATGCAGGCACTTGTTGATTCATATAAAAGTAAGTTGTTTTAAGATTTATATGTTGAATACAGCATATATGTATATATATTTAACCAATTCAATTAAAAAAACCGACTTTAAAAAGCACTAAAAAGTAAAAAATTATGATTTGGTTGGTTGAAAAAGATATACTTTGATTTGTATTGGCTGGCACAGACTTAGAAAATATCTGAATTTAATGTTCTTTATTGAAGTAGGTAGGTTTTATTTTTAGTGTACACATAATAGTACAACATAAGAAGAAAGTATTTTAATAAAATATTCACTTCAACTTAAATTTGATGCCAATTTTTATATGAAGATTGATGAACTAAAGTTCGCTTTTATTAGTAACACTATAAATCAGGCTCTAAAATACAATTGTAATGTATTGGGCTTGACAAATCATACAAAATAAACCCAAGTTTGTAAATATCTATTATTAGCCGTTGAAGAGTTCCACCTATCTTCTACCTTCTGGCTATACCATCACATCAGGTCGACGATACCGAATCACTGCATTGTCAATGGCCATAGAAACACTTGCTAAGTTTCAAGTCAATATGACCAAGTAGGTTCAATTTTCATTAGCTTTTTTCATCCTTAGTATTCACTTCAAACGAAACAAAAATTGTCCAAATTGGTTAATAATTTATGAAGTTCTGAGGTAATAAATATAAAAAAAAATACAGCTGAATTGAGAACCTAGTTAAAAAACTAATTTTGCTTAAATCAAATACACAAAGTTCTCGGAAAAAATCTGACATTGTAAGTTTTTATTTAAATTATTAAATATATCATTTTTAACCAAAATATTAAAAAATATCTTTTCAACTTAAACTTAAAACTTCTTGTTTAAATTTTACTTTCATTCATAAGAATTATATGGAACAAAAATTAACACAATTCAAGTTATGTCATAAACCCTTATCTTGTTTATTTTATTTCTGTAGACACATTATAGATAGAAACCTATTAAAAAATTACAACTTCATATTTAAAGCTAAAATATCATTTTAAATTTTGCTGTAAAATTATATCTGTACACATTGTTCAAATAAACATAAATGTATAAACAAACCTAACCAAAAACTTGAAATATGAAAAGAGATTGTTTACAGTATGTCCAGTTAAGGTGAAATAAAATATTAAAATATTTTGATTTATTTTATATGATTAATATTTACATTTAAACGTTTTAGGCAAGCGCACTCCAACCTAGACCTCATCAGTGCTTCCAAGCGCTGATTGTAGTCAAGCGCAAGCCTATTGCACAATAAAAAAAAAATTAAATGTAAGAGATAAAGTAATAATAATTTAGGAACTATAATTTATATAATGTTTTCTGATGTCAAATAATTTTTTAAATTATTGTATGTTTTACACATTCTGTGCAAAAGATTGTTTTGCGAAACATTATTAGTTGTCAAAGGTATATTATAAAGTTGTGGCTGACGTATCGAGTCGGTTCATACCAGCTATATTGTATAATCGGAATTTAAAATTCATATTTTAAATTCCAATTTCTTTAACAATTTGCTGTTGAAAACACCGCTGGCTATTTCATGGAGAATACATAAATCTCACATATCACGTCGATCTTCCAGCCTTTTTAGATTGTATTGAGAGTTTGCCGCCCGCTTAATATATTAAGAAATTTACGTTGTATATTCTCAATTCTCGATTCTGTTAATATGAATGTCGTAGATCGGTTTCATTACGGAACAGCAGTGTTCAAGTATACTTCTTACCATGGTGACACATAAAATTATCCACGAGATTGTATTATTTGAAAGCTGGGCAGTGGGCAGTTTGGATGATTAAGCTTAATGTTGATCTGTTTGCTATTAATATAATCGAATACGCTTCAATAATAGTACCTGGCATGTTATAGTCGAACGACATTATTGGAGCTTTATTTCTTTTAAATGAAATGGTATGACATTTACTTTTACTACGAAAATATATACAAAATTCATGCGTTCAAAAAGTCCGCAAACTTTTCCGACTCACTGACTACCTATTATTATAAAGTCGTTTTCGTATTTTTATCTCGCTTTTAAAACAGTCAGGTTTTTTATTATTGTAAATATATTTTTTTCTTAAGTTGCATTATTATGCTGCCCGGCCTATCCACAGGTGTTTGGGCACATTCTACCTGTCTATTCATGTCTAGTATAATGAGATGTGTGTCTTTGTGTGTGTCGCAGCGGAGCAGCGCTCGCGCATGGCGGAGGGCGGCGCGGGCGCGGGCGCGGCGGGCGAGGCGGAGGGCGGCGAGGCGTGGCTGGACGCGGCGCAGCGCGCGCTGGACGAGGCGGCGGAGCGGCGGCTGCAGCAGCTGTACCGCGACTACCAGGACGACATCAACAACTACGAGATACTGCAGAAAGGTACTCCCGCTACATCACTACACCACTTCTACTAGTACTAGATGTGTACCTTATTAATTCAATTTAAATTACGAATAGATTTTTCTAAAGCTTAATCAATGTTTCTTTTAATTATTTTTATTAATAATTATTGGCTATAGAGATTTACCAGTTGTTCAAATATCCAGTCTTTGTCAGTCAAAATTTGTTTTTGATGAGAATATATTTTTAATAAATAATAATATTTTATTATTTACATATATTATGTATTAAAGTATGCTAGCAAACACAAGTGCACTATCTATTTTGTTTCACTCTTAAAGCCAGATGGGACGATATTTTACATACATATACACTATTACACGAGCGATGGGAATTAATGCGCAGGAGCGATGTATTGTCCTAAGCACGGGAGTGTAACACCGCCAGCTTCTCATCTCCGGGCTGCTACTGTAAACTTCTAAAGGTGTTTGCCCACTACACCGTCTCATACCATGACCGTGATAGGACCGTGTCAGGCAAAAATATTCTTTGTACTGAAAAGTATGAGACTGCTCACTAGACCGTTCTGTCACCGGACCGGTACCATCGCGTGCCGTGCACGGAGCGGTAACAATTGTCGGCGAGAATATTTTGCCTGTACCGGTACGTTCCGTGCCTGGCACGCGACGTTGCGGGCCCGGTGCGCGCAGGCGGCGCAATGGTGAGCATACACAGCACTTAAACTGTTATGTACGGGTATGATACGCTGTTGATACGTTCTTGTGGGCATAGTAGTCCGTGCCATGCTCGTTTCCGTGCCTGATACGTTCATAGCACGGTCATGGTATGAGACGGTGTAGTGGGCGGAGTCCTTAAACGGAAAAACTCACGAACTAAACTTGGCCCGACTCGGGACTTGAATTCAGATCTTACCAAACTAGTAACAGTCTATCTAAATGGGTGTTGTAGGCGTTTAGTATTTAAATGAAGTAACACCTATCTAGGCTCACTCGCAACATTTGCTTACCACAGAGGAAGCTATCTCGAAGACGGCGCGCGTGCTGGAGGAGGCCGACATCTCTGAGGAGAAGCGGGACGTCATACACCGTGAGATCGGCAAGTTCCGCGAGAGCATGAAGGTAAAGCACGGAGAGAAGGACTACTCTCTCCCTCCTCCTCCTTCTCTCCCTCCTCCCTCTCTCCCTCCTCCCTCTCTCCCTCCTCCCTCTCTCCCTCCCCCCTCTCCGTTCATCGGCGACGCACGGCCCCCGCCCGCAAGGATAGATAGTCTCTATTGTTAGTTTCTTATGAATATGTATTGTGATTTTATTTGTTGACTTGTGCAATGGGTTTAATTTGAAGTATAAACATTTTATAACTATGCATATTCTTGCTTTGAAATTAAAAGATAACGAAATTTTTTCATAATGTTAATCGGAATATTTTTTATGGATTGGGTCAAACGAAATGTTTTAAAATATGAACTGTTAGAATATGTCAGGTGTATCACAAGTATGTATTTTAATTTAAGTCATTTTGTCAATATCGTTTTCTTACTAGGAGACTATGCTATTTGTGAATAGTGCCTTTTTTATTTTTCCTCCATTATAAAACTAGGTATTTCAATATTGAAACTATAGTACAAACTAATTCGTAGCGAGAGGAATGTATGTGATTGTGTATAGTGGTTAGGAGGGGGTAGCAGGCGGGCGGGGCGTGCGCGCTAAGCCTGGCTTTGCGGTAGGTGCGGCGCGCGGCGGGCGCCCGGCCCCGGCGCGGGCGAGCGGGTGAGTGCGTCTCCGCCGCCGCGCCTCCTCGTCGCACTCCCCACTCCCTACACTCCCCCGTATCGCCCGCGTGCGACCGACCGATCCGTGGAAATATAACCATATACTTAGTTATAAAAATATTTTTACGGATTTTTACCTATGTCCATATAAAATACCATCATCATTGTCATCGGTGACATTACATTGCAGTACATCAATGTGTTTTTGATTCAACTACCATTAGTTGTTTGAGGTCGAAATGTTCAAGGTCACACACGCGGTATTCGTGAGCGGGGGAGTTTTCTTAAACATAAAAAAAAACTTTTTTATATTTTTTGCTAATTAAATATTTAAACAACAGTGCGACGACGAAGCGTTCCCATTACAGAGGCGGCGGAGTTTATTATTTTTACATTGAACTGTTTGCATTTCAAACAAAAGTTTTCATTTATTTTATTTACAATATTCTTATTTTATAATATTTAAACCATAACACTTGATTCCTAAGTTAAAACTAACCGCTTTATCACCGAATGTTTCATTTACTGTATTTACAATGATCGATAATATATAATAGAGCCTGCAACCCACTTGCACTCACGGCGTCCGTAACTGAAGCATTCCCCTCACACTCGTGGTCGCCTCTCCGCGCCACAGTTGATTTCAGTCTCATCCAACGTTGATACATACTCATTAGGAACACCGTTATATTTTAGATTTTTATATATATACATTATTATATATTCATTTGTGAATTTGGTATGCGACTGGTCGAAATTCATCTCGCTGTGATATCTTATAATTATTTTTGATCTCTGAGGTGTTTAAATATCATGAAAACCGGTTATCAATTGGCGCAAATGTCGCGTTACTTACGTACTAACACACTTTTTTCAAGTTTTCGTTAGAAATACTTGATACATAAGTTTTTTTTTTAATTTTGAATGCGTTTCGACCGGCGCTGCCGTCAGTCGCGAGCTCATATTGTGAGTTGTGAGCGAGCGACTCGCCCCGACCGAGCCCTCCCGCGCCGGCGCCTCGCTCACGTACGTGTTTACATATGTTTCGTTTTTGGCTAAATCTAAAACATCTAAAGTTAAACAAACGTAAAGTCATATATTTGTAATATCGTATTAATTATTTAAGTTTAATAATGTCGGTAAGTTGCTCCGTTAGAAATATCTTTCGGTTTTTTTACTAAAACATGATGTCACGTCGAGCGTGTCATGAGCACACACGAGTGAGGGAGCGCTCGCGCGGGCGCTGCAGGAGCCGCCGCCGCCAGCCGCCGCCGCCGTCGCCGCCCGCCGCCTCCAGCCGCCACACACAGCGTATGACACTTGGTTTCGTTTCCCCCGCGCCCGCCGCTGCACTCGTCGTCCGCCGCCGAGGAATCGAACGCCGGACCCGGCCGAAGCGTGGCTGGGACGCACGAATGCAGCGGCCGGGATGCGGTATATCTTTTTATTAAATAGTGTCGACTCGATGCAACCCGCGATTGCTACTACACTGTCGACGTGTGTATGCGATGTCGACACTAGTCTACGCGATTTCGTTTTTCCTATAGCTGTGCTCGTGACTTGTTATTTGTATTTGTTCGTACGTTTGCGGTACGCTCTTGTTCGCAATCTGTTCGTTTGTATTTCGTTTTCCGGAATCTTATCCTTTCTCTACATTTGATTAATTGATAACGTTTAGATGATGGATGTAGTCTAGTTGAGTTTCGAGCGAGAGTGTAATCGTAAATAGTAATGAAATAATGAAGCAGGGCTATGAGGTAAGAGATCACGTTTGAACGTGTGTTGCATTGCGCAGGAGGAAGCCGACGTGGTGGTCCGTCGCAAGCGCGACGACAAGCCCGAGCGGGAACGGGAGAAAGAGAAAGAGAAAGATAAGGACAGGGATAAGGAGAGGGACCGCGAGAGAGAGCGGGACAGAGAGCGTGACCGAGACCGCGAGCGGGACAGAGACAAGGACAGACGGCGGAGAAGTCATTCCAGGTGTGCTATACTACCGATAATATATGTATTATGAAAACTTTAAGGTTCATTAAAACGTGTATTTAAGCTTCTTTGCCTTTCTGCAGGAGCAAGGATCGACGCGAGGAGCGGGAGAAGGAACGGGAACGGGAGCGAGAGGAGCGCGACCGTGAGAGGGAAAGGGAGCGAGAGCGCGAGCGGGAGAGGGAGAGGGAGCGCGAGCGGGAGAGGTGAGCTTTTGTCGGCTTAGATTTAGAATCATGTTAATACGAAGATTTCAATATTTTTGAAATTTCATCATTAATTTTACTAAAAAATAATTTTAATCAATTATATTATGGAAATTGTACAATCGATATATATATTATATTACAGTAGATGTCTAAATTAGTTGTAGAAGTAAAGTAATGACGAACTTCATAGGAATCGCTAACAATAGCAAAACTCCTACTTTTTTCTGCGAGACGCTTGTCGTCGGGAGATGGCGATCTGACGTAAGTTTGAACACCGATCTATTTTTTGTTTTGACTGTAGAATTGATAATGTCTAGTGTTGAGATTTAGATTTTAGATGTATGAGTCATATACTCCGTGTCGTACGCAATCTAACGTGCGCGTGTCCGCAGGGAGGTGCGCGAGCGCGAGCGGGAGCGAGAGGCGCGAGAGCGGGAGCGCGAGCGGGAGAGGTGAGACACGCTTTCGTAATATGCACATACACTGATACACAGATAATCCTACTTGTTTTCATATGAAAATATATATGTATATAATAAAAAATATGTTTTTTTATACAATAAAAAAATATCTAGCACAAAAAAACTAAACTTTAGTAAAAAAAATTAAATATCATACAATTATGGATACTTTAAACGCCTATCATTTTGGCGCCTTTGGCGTGACGTTATAGTCTATGACAACATTGCAATCAATTCATTCGAACAAGTCTAGATTGTTAATACAAATCGCAAACACCAAACAAAAACAGAGCTTTATTATAATAAACTTTGACGTCATATTCGGTCTGACCAATGGCGTTGCGTTTAACTAATATGAATTTCCCACCTATTTTTGCACTTTTTAATAATTATTTTGTTAATAAAAAACCATAATTAAAAAATTTAAATATTAATTTTCTAATAATTAATTATTAATAATAATTTAACTCTCTTAATGCCCCGCCGCTGAGCACAAGTCTCCCTTCAATGCTGAAGGACTTCATATGTTTTTCGAAAACTTACGATTTAGGCATATAGGTTTCCTTATATTTTATTCATCGGAGGGCAAGGGATCCAATTATGTTGATAACGATGCGAAACCCAGGGTTTGAACTCGATTTACTTAGTTATTCAAGCGAATACGTTACCACTGGCCTACCACTGCCTAGTCTCATAACATCATCATCATAATACCTGTTGTTAATGTACTCGTATCTTTTGTTGATATTAAAAATACATTTATGTAAAACATTTTATTTTACAACGAGTGTTTCTTTAGTGTTCTTTATTGTATAGCAATAGCCTTAGGAGTCTGTTATCGCGTCGCGTGAGTTGAGTAATTCTATCGATAAAGGCTATAGGTAATAAGAGCTCAGTCCTGCCGCGATCTTATGGAAAACTGCGCTTATTCTTACGGTACTAGTATACAGTGAATCGTGTTTGAAACAATTAATTACGTCTATGAAAAATCAAAGGGAAATGTAAACTTTTCGTGTATGTGAAATTATAATTAAACATGACTAAGAAAACTGTGTTGGCGCTACACCCCTACATCCGCACGCGCCACGAGATAGCGGAGGCCGCGCGCGCCGCGGGCCGAGGGTGGGGGTTGATCGCTTTGTAATACATATTGTATAAACCTTTAGTTACTTGACAACCTTTGGAATTCTCGAGTTATTCTTTATTACTCCCGTAATTGATCGCGAGTGCATTAGTTTATATATTTATGACATCTTATATTACTACACTGTCGAAATATTTTGAATTCCTATTTTTTCAATTAAAGTATAAACACAAATTGGTTTGTATGATAGTTAAAAAATATTAAAAAAACATATCCGAACAACCTTCTTTTTGCGCGTCGGTCAATTAAATGATGGCAGATGTTGTAGTGTCGTAACAGATGTGTCTCGACTCGGAAGTATTAAAATGATGATATTGTTTGTATGGTGACAGAGAGCGCGAACGCGAGCGTGACCGCGACCGCGAGCGGTCCCGCGAGCGCGATCGCTCGCGGGAGCGCTCGCGCACGCGCGGCGACGGCGACGCGCGCCGCGACAAGGAACTGGAGGAGGAGGCGCGCGACAAGAAGCGTCTCGAGAAGAAGGCGCGCGAGAAGGAGGCCGCCTACCAGGAGAGGTGAGCGACTGACAGGAAACACATTTTTGTCGTATTAAAACAAAAGCTTAAAGCACGAGAGACGTCGAGACGGTAATGTAGCTTCCATATATACAATAGTGTTAGAATGTTCAGAATCGTTACTTTTAAGGCTTTAAACGCTATACATACAAATTTAATTTTTTCATTATATTATTTTAGATTATTGACTTAATAAAAAAGAAATAATTGAAATGATTTTATTTAGATTAGATGTATTTTTAAAGTTATATTAAAAGTAACAAAGTTATAAATAATTAATTAATTATTCAACTTTATAAATGTAATTTTGAATTTAAAATAAATAATATATTCAAAATATATGTATGTACATCATTTTATACATTACTCAGATCAGTAATAATAATGTGACCTCAGATTGCGCAACTGGGAGAGCCGCGAGCGCCGCAAGGCGAAGGAGTACGAGCGCGAGCGTGAGCGCGAGCGCTGCCGCGAGGAGGAGCGCGAGCGCGAAGCGAAGCGGTTAAAGCAGTTCCTGGAGGACTACGAGGACGAGCGCGACGACCACAAGTACTATCGCGGCAAGGAGCTGCAGCGGCGGCTCGGCGCGCGCGTGCGCGAGGCAGAGGCGGACGCGGGCGAGCGCGCGCGCGAACAGGCCGAGCTGGCGGCGCTGAGGCGCAGCATTTTCGGTGCGCGTGCGGCCGACGACCCCGCGGCGGCCGCGGCGTTTGCGCGCGCCGCGGCGGCGCGCGAGGAGCAGTACCGCCCGCGCCTACTGGTTGACGCGTCGCTGCGGCGCGAGCAGCAGCGCGCGCACGAGGCGGCACGTGCACGCGAGCGCGAGCGCGATCGACGTGCCGCGCGTGAGCGCCTGCGCCTCGAGCGCGAGCGCTACCTGCGCGCGCAGGCATCGCGTGAGCTGCCCACCGAGGCCGAGCCCATCGACTCCGACGACAGGTGACTGACGACCGCCGGGAAGCCTTGTGACCTATACTTTTATCTAACTTCTTTTTTGAAATTATACTTCTTTTAGCACCTTTGGAAAAAACTATGAAAACATTTTTTTTACGACGCGCGCGCACACCGACGGTCAAAAAACGACATGATGATGTTAGCTGAAAGCGACATGATGAAGTTAGCTGATAACTATCTCTCCGGTTTCCGTGAAAACTCATAAATATATTCAAAGTAGTTTCTCAAATATTTATACATCTATAACACGTGTTTTATATCACTTCCAAATCACAATCACAATCCTTTTACATTCAGAGAGCTGTTACATACGGGATGAAATCTGTAGCTATTTTTGTTCTATTACGCCAAAGAAATATAACTTCTTAAGTGTGTACATAAGTACACACACATGTTTTTTTAACAAAATTTGTGTTTTCCGTTTTCGGTTATGAACATCTAACGTTTGATAATTGTCAATAAATAATATTTTATATGTGTCGTTTTGTTATTAAATCTTGTGGAAAAATCGAAAAAAAATCGTTGCTTTAAAAAAATAAATTGTTTATAAAAAATTAATAAAGCGCTCATTAATCGAATTTAGGTAATTTATAGTGATTGAGAATTCAGCATTCGAGTAACGGTTTTGTGACCGAGCTAGTTTTTATTGTTTTATAAAATAAATAACAGTCATATTTGTTTCCAACGCTCACGCAGCGGCGGCGCGGAGGCGGCGGAGGCGTCGGAGGGCGGGTCGGGGTCGCCGGCCGCGTCGCTGACACCGCCGCGCCGTCCGCACCACACGCATCACCACCCGCCGGTAAATATACTTTATTCCAATACACTTTAGAATCTTCATTTTTTTTATTTAATCTGTATGTCAATATGGTAAGTCTATGAGGAATCTACAACCAGCACCGAAGGCAGTTCTGCTAAGAAGAGCTGGCGAGAAATGAAACGGTTCTTCTTATCCTACGTGAGATTCAACTAATATTAATCCCACAAATTTACTTTAAAATACAAAAATTATAAACTTGATATGAAAGCAAATTTTTATTATTTAATAACAGTACGTTTTTTTGATAACACTTTATAATATTTTATTGAAATTGTGTTTGTGTACAAGACGTATGTGTTGCATTCCAGAGCGACGGCGGCAGTACGCCGCCGCGCCCGCCCTCGGACGAGCGGTACCATGTGAGTAGCCACCCAGTTGTCTTTATACCAGTCAGGTTTAATTTCGGCAGATTGCTTTAATAATATGCCATCCACAAAATGTTGTGTTCCAGTCATTTTAGTCACATATTTATTTTATCCATTTTAAAAAGCAAGAAATGATATCTTAGCGATCGTCCATGTTGTAAGGTTATTTGTTATTTTACCTGCGACATTGCTCGAATTACTTAGAGAGACGGTAGCGAAAGATATATGTACTATGTTTGACTACAACTTATAGTCTGTTTTTTAATCTCCGAGACTAAATTGACACATGCAAATGTCAAAATTACAAATAATGCTGCCAGCTTTTTTGTGCACGGTGCATGTTGTACTTACGATACCGGTTTGGTGAATCATAACTTCTTATTTTTTTTAGACGATTCGCTTCAAAGTTTTATATTCCAAAGTGTTTCATTAAAATTCACACTATTAATTCTAAATCAATAAATAATATATTTTTATTAATTTTAAATCATTAAGTATTACACTTACATTATTAAATTTAAATTTGCATTATTAATTTTGTATTATTACGTTTTAAATAAGTATCTACACATTATTTCAGGATAACTTATTATAAAAAAACGAACTTATTATAAAAAACGTTAATTGACTATTAACGTTAATTTTCGATAGTGGCACATCAGTATTTAAAAATTGCAAAAAAAACTGGCAACCCACGTAATGTCAGTTTCGTCTCTGAGTACTGAGATTAAAAAACAAACTATACGTCCTTTAATAAATATAATACAATTTACATCATCGTCGGCCACAGACAAACGCGGGCGCGGGCATGGGCGCGGGTGCGGGCGGCGCGACGGGCGGCGCGGGCGCCAGCGCCGGCAGCTCGCCCATCAGCATCAGCTTCCGCAAGCACAGCCCGCAGCACGACGCGCCCAAACGTACGTACACCCTACACACTCTGCACCCTGCACTAGAGTAGAGCGAAAAAAGTTTTTTTTTCTTAGCTCAGGGGTAGAATTTGTAGCTTATAAAAATCAAAATTACTGAAATAAAAAAAATACTCAATTAAAAAATTTATAATTAATTTAAGTTTTCGGTTTGAATTAATTTTTTTTTCGCGTTATCATCTTTGAAAATATTCAAGAATTGACGAATATAGTCATTTTCTATTTAATTTTAACTGTAATACAAAAAAAGTAACATGTTATTATTTTTTTTAATTTCAATAATAAAAATTCGTCAATTCTTGAATGTTTTCAAAGGTGATTGATCACTCGAAAAAAAATTCCATGCAAACCAAAAATTAAATTAAGTATTTTAAAAATTTGTGAGCCACCCCAAAATGTGTAGTTAGAGATAGATAGATATATAGATGCTTTATTGTACACCACAAAGAAATATACAGAAAGTAGATATAAACAATAGATGATGCACAGCAGGCGGCCTTATCGCTATAAGCGATCTCTTCCAGGCAACCTTAGGGCGTAGGAGAAATTATATGAAATGGTAGGCGGTGTACTTACTACACACAATTGCATATCCTAAATACAGACATACATAAATACATACATACATACATACATACATACACACACACATACATACATACACACACACATACATACATAAATGATTATTTTTGATATTTCAAAAAAAATATTTTGCTCCACCCTACACCCTTCACCCCACACTACACCCTAAACCCTGCGCTTTCAAGCCTACACTTTACGCTTTACATCCAACACCCTCACACCCCAATCAGTAAGAGTGTCGTGTGTAAGTCGTGCTTGTGTCGCCCACAGCGGAGCGGCGCGGCGTGCACGCGGCCTTCGCGGAGGAGGAGGAGGCGCCGCACGCGCACCCGCAGCACGCGCAGCACGCGCGCGACCGTGAGTAGTACTGCATACTATAAACATATTATTATCTATACAGATAAATAAAATTGAAGTGTCTGTTTGTAATGTCAAAATAACAGCTTTTTACTAAATTCATATGCAATTATATATGGTATTTATAAGAAAAACGCAATTGTTAAATTTTTTGTATGTCTAATGTAATGTCTAATCTCTGAAACGGCTGGGCCGATTTTGACGGGACTTTCACTGGCAGGTAGTTGATGTTATAAGAAGTAACTTAAGTTAATTTTATTTTAGTAAAATAGTTAGGGTTCCGCTCAAAAATTAAAATGTATCTAGGGACGAACAAGAACTGCTAGTGTATTTATAATTTTAGCATATGTGCTGTTAAGTTTCATCAATATCTGTTTGGTAGTTTTAAGTGCTTTTTAGTAGTTACATGTAAATTTTTTTTCTTTTGAGCATTATAATCCAAACTTAAGTTTCTTTACAAATCTACTAGGTAAAAGGCTATATTTTTCTAGATCAATGTAATTTTTAAATATGTAAACATGATACGCAAAAATATTCGCACATCAGAAGTAAGACTCGAATTTGAATTGTTTAAACTTAAGTCAAAGAAATGATTTTCCAGTCGAGAGAGCCACCAATGCATTATCATTGATAGTTGTTGTTATTATCGCTGTGCTTAGCTTTTATAATTTTGTGTATCTATGCGATTTATCTGTTTAATTATCGAAGTCGAAAATATTTTGAAGTAATATAGAGCAGGATAGATAGTTATTACGATTTGTGTGACATGTTTTGTCAATTGATAAAACTAATAACTAAAATACGATTTTAACTTATTTTCATTTAATAGAATGTAAATCTTTAATTTCTAAGGTAAATGATTTACAGGTAAAGACAAAAAAGATAAAGAGAAAAAGAAGAGCGAGAGCAGCGACAAGGAGAAGGGCGAGAAGGCGGAGAAGGGAGAGAAAGAGAAGGCGGAGAAGGGAGAGAAGGACAGTAAGTGCGCGGAGGAGAAGCGCAAGCACATCAAAAGTCTTATCGACAAGATCCCCACGCAGAAGGAGCAGCTGTTCCAGTACCAGCTCGACACTGACCAGGTAGGCTGTTGTTTTTTAAGTTGGGAAATGTATTTACGCATGCCACCTGCATACACACAAGTGGTTATGTGGGACTCACCTGCTACAGAAGTCTGTACTACCCATTAAACCCAACAGAACCCATCTGGAGCACAGAACCTCAACGGCAGACAGGGTCATGTATGCTTTAGGACATTAGGAACTCTTATTATTTATTATACAAGGAGTTTGTATCTGTATGTTATTTTTTAACGGTTTCAAAAAGTTAGAAACATGTTATCTTGTGTAATATAAACATACACGTACGGATCATCTTCGCCGTAGATCTCATAAATATGTGAAAGAACAATAACATTGTTAAGCATGAGCTTTTTTTTGAATTTGATGTAATTTTTTGTTCATAGTCTTTGTTAATCTGTGAAGATTGAATGTAATATGTTTAAATGAAATGATTTTTCCTGAATATTACTATTTTAAACTCAATTACGAATGATGAATGCGGTATATTTTGTCGGTCGGAACAGATCGACAACACGCTGATGGAGAAGAAGATTCGTCCGTGGATCAACAAGAAAATTATCGAGTACATCGGCGAGCCGGAGCCCACGCTCGTGGACTTCATCTGCAGCAAGGTGGTCGCGGGCTCCGCGCCGCAGGGCATCCTCGACGACGTGCAGATGGTGCTCGACGAGGAGGCCGAGGTGTTCGTCGTCAAGATGTGGCGCCTGCTCATCTACGAGCTGGAGGCCAAGCGCGCCGGCCTGCATAAGTGAGCCCCGACCTCCCCTGACCTCCCCCACATGTACATACACACGCGCCACCGGAGCGAGAGAGCGAGAGTGCGAGCGCGAGAGCGAGACAGTGAGAGCGAGTGAGAGGTGACGATCTAGTGTAATAATAAAAATATTGTCAATGACGTGTTGTTTCCTTCATCTCCTTCGCCATAGACATAGTGATGTCAGATGTGTAAACAAGTGATTGTGTAAATTTCATTACGTATATTAGATTATATTTATTGTACCACCTGTGTTGATCTGAGTATTTAATTGATACGATAATAATTTTAAACGTGGTCGCCTCGCGTCCATGTTTTTTTATTTGTCAAACGATATTCTCACATATTTTTTTTATTTGTTTTTGTGATTAAGTGGATAATTGATTGTTATCCAATTAAGTAGTTAAAATAATTTTACGTATTATTTGTGTGGCGACGGTCGCCATGGCCGACGCACGAGTCCTACTCGCCATAGTGCTATTGGTGACATTTTATACTTATTTTTGTAGAATTCAATATAATTTATATTTGTTTAGAATTTAAAGTATAAATATAATAAGGCTCGAAACGGTTTCGTGTTTGACGTTTTCTACTAGTTTAAATTTGTATATTGCTACTGTAATATAATAATGGTATATATAAGAACTTTTTATTGTCTGTATATGAATGTACATAAATATGTTTACTTGGAACTTGGAAATAAACGACTGTTTCTTAATTGATTTGCTTGTGAATGGCTTGATATCAGGAAATACTTAATTTTGGAGGTATTTCTATGAGGTACCTTGTGTTATATTATACTAACATCGCGGGAACTATGGGAAATAAATTATCATCGACCCTTGTATGAGTTTCAATATATTAATAGAAATGCTTGTAAGAAAAGTATAGGAATGGAAACTCGTCTAGTCTTTGTTAAAGATGATCACGTCGCTAACTAAATATTGACTTGCGTCTGAGTTTCAACCTGTACTTGGTGTCCTTTAATCATTTATCTTATTATGACTATAAGTAAAAGCTATTTTTAAAGAATATTTTGCACTATTTTACCATTAAGGTAGGGCGAATGTTAGATATTTTAAGGGATATTGACTGTCAGAAAGAAGCAGCTTATTACGCTGTAAGACTTGAGTTCGATTCCCGCACGAGGCATTGCTGGAATCCGAATAAGGTATTCAGGAAAGAAGTTCAGTATGTTGTAAAAATTGTCAAATTTGTAAGTTAGTGCCTACTGTAATAAAGTGCTCTTTTATAGGATATGTTTTACGGGGCAACGTCTTAGTCCGGTCAATTTAGATATTCGAAGTTACATAAAGTCCCAACAAGCTGAATTTCTGTGAAATTGTTCAAAACATAATTATAAACAATGTCTAGAAGTTCCCCATCATTCCCCTGTAAGGAAAAATTTTTATTCAAGGTCAAAGGTCAAAAAAATGAGTTTTTCGCGATTTTCACCAATACGGTAAGTTTTATCATAAAAGTACCTCAGACAAAAATTGTACATCATAAAATTATCTATAAAAAATGTATCAATACTTTTTTCTTACGAGCCACCGTTTCTTTCTTTCGTTTTTTATTAATATAAAGATATTCCCAAACAGCTTCATTTTATTGTTAGACAAAAATAATAGACTAATAACATTACAGATCGTATACAATATTTTACTCCTAGTTCGGATGAATACATCCGTGAAGAAAATTAATTAAATATTTTAACAAGTATGGTGATCTACCCTCTCTTCACTCAGTTCCCCGACGAAATTCAAGTATAAAATCTGATACATAGTTTTTGATATTTCAGAATGAAATTTTACGTCAGTACCAACAAGTAAGTGCAGTATTCATATACTTACATTTTCAGAAATATTTATTAGAAGCCTAACGAAATTAGCTAAAATCCATTTTTTTTTTCCAGAAAACCGTCCATTATTGTGTAATTACTAATAACCAACTTATAAATTTACTCGTATCTAGCAAATGCCCTTTAAAAATCTAAATCAATTTTTAACACTCTTTATACACCTACATATAAACTTGCCAGAAAAACTATCATTTGGTAAAAATTAGAATGAAAATCGGCTTAGTACTTTTGGAAAGCGCGTCTTAAATATATGGATAAAATGGCCTTATAGTTGCGTTAACAGACGCAATCCATTCTGCCAGTGTCACATTTTGTGAGGAAGACACGAATGAGATTGAGCGGTAATTTTGAAATTTAGTAACTTTAATGTGGAATTAAAAATATAAATGAATGATCGGTCTACAGGGGTAACCTATATGGATAATTTAGTGCAACGTCGTGTCGACGAATTTATACTTCATAGTATATGTAAATAGCAATAAACAAAAAGTATTTTTAAAACAAGGTTTTATTTAAAGAACCTTAAGGAGCTTCTGCCTTTCCACCTATCTGGCTTTATCGTGACATTGTAAAGTCAACAAAGATATGATACGTCGCCGGCATTGTGAACCAGAAAGAAATACTTAGCCGTAAAAAAAAACAAGTAGTATGAAATATTTTAGTTATTTAAATTGTAATGACAAAGTATTCGTAAATTATATTATAGCTTCACTCGCAGCCGAGCACGGACTTCTTGCAGCAGTTGCAGCACCGGGGCAGCAGCAGCGCGGGCTCGCGCGTGCGCTCGAAGGGGCGGCGCGCCGCGCGCGCGTGCGCCGGCAGGTACCCGCGGCCCGCGCTGTCGTACTTGGGGCCCTCCGGCATCAGCACGTGGCGGTGGCAGATGCGGCCCTGTCGGACACGTGCCGCGTTATTGTTTATATCGGACTGTTAAAAAAAGAAAGTGTGTGTGTGTGTGTGTGTGTGTGTGTGTGTGTGTGTGTGTGTGTGTGTGTGTGTGTGTGTGTGTGTGTGTGTGTGTGTGTGTGTGTGAGTGTGTATGTGTGTGAGTGTGAGTGTGAGTGAGTGTGTGTGTGTGTGTGTGAGTGTGTGTGTGTGTGTGTGAGTGTGTGTGTGGGTGTTTGTGTGTGTGTGAGTGTGTGTGTGTGTGTGTGTGAGAGAGAGAGTGTGTGTGTGGGAGTGTGTGTGTGTGTGTTTGAGTGTGTGTGTGTGTGTGAGTGTGTGTGTGTCAGTGTGTGTGTGTGTGTGTGTGTGTGTGAGTGTGTGTGTGAGAGTGTGTGTGTGTGAGTGTGTGTGAGAGAGTGAGTGTGTGAGTGTGTGTGTGTGTGAGTGTGTGTGAGCGTGTGTGGGCATGTGTGAGCGTGTGTGGGCATGTGTGAGCGTGTGTGAGCAAGTGTGAGTGTGTGTGAGCATGTGTGAGTGTGTGTGTGTGTGAGTGAGTGTTAGTGTGTGTGAGTGTATGTGTGTGTGTGAGTGTGTGTGAGTGCGTGTGAGTGCGTGTGAGTGCGTGTGTGTGTGAGACCACACAATCAAAAGATTGCTCCCATGGTCCACTCTGCTGTCAGATAAGTACCAGGAGCACCTGTATAATACACCACCCACCATAGTGGGCAAGCCCGAAGTGTGTTTCTTGGCTTCACGCCTGGCTGGATTGCCGGTCGCTAATGAGCCACGACAAGGTGAAAGAAGCGAGGGTAAGCACATACAATTAGAAATGTGGAAGTTAGTTGAATACATTGGGATTAATCTTAAGCAAACATAGAACAAGTCCCGTCAAAAATCATAGGATACATTTAAATAGTGCCTTTACAGTAGTTTGAGGTATTTAATAGTGGAAAATACAAAACAAGTATTATGAAGTATTTTAGTTATAGTGGTTGTAATAACAATTTCACAACGGACGAGGCCGCGGGCTGCAAGTAGTATTGTTTATTTTTGATTAAAATTTAAAACATGTTAATTGGTACTTTGTCCAATAATAAATATTACACACATCACCATCTAGTTCCATGGTAAGTTACGAGTCTTGTGTTATGGATCCCAGATAGTTAATACAATACACATATATAACTTAAAATTCATACATCAAAGAATGTTTCGTACTTCGGAGATAAACATTCATAAAATTATAACTTAGTTGACTCTCACAGGCACTACCTATTGTCAATTTCGATTGAAAAAACTGTAAAAAATATTGAAAAGAATATATTATTATACTAGCGACTCACCTTCGCTTCGCTCGGCTTCGTCCCTAGGGACGTTTTAATTTTTTTGAGAGGAACCCTAATTCTTTTTCTAAAATAAAAGTAGCCCAAGTTACTCCTTATAAAGTTATAACATCAGCGATCTGCCAGTGAAAGTCCCGTCTAAATCAGTCCAGCCATTTCGGAGATTACTCGGAACAAACAGACAGACTGGACGGACAGACAGACAGACAAAAATATTAAAAGTTGTGTTTTTCTTATAAGTAGGTACCATATATAATTTCATATGCATAGTAAAAATCTGTTACTTTGAGATTCCAAACAGACACTTTAATTTTATTTATCTGAATAGATTGAATTCTCGCCAGCTCCTCTCAGTAGAGCTTAAATTGCATTCTGAACCGGAAATTGGTTTTATTTCACTTAAACTATTTGAATAAAGCATTAATAAAATGACCTAAAGTGCTTACTTTATGTCAGATGAAGGTTCGAGTGAAACGCGATTTTGATAGCGCTAAATTGATTAGCTTTATCTTAAAATTGGCGGAAAGTTGACCTCATTTTACCTATTAGGAACTTTTTCCTCCTACACCAGAAGTATAATGATACACTAGCGGCTCACCTTCGCTTAGCTCGGGTTCACCTCTAGGAAAACAAAAACAAACCTATCCCACGGGAACCGTACATTTTTCTGGGATAAAAATTAGCTTATGTTATTCTAGACTATCTCTGTGCCAAATTTCATCCCAGATCCGTTCAGCCGTTCTGGCGTGAAAGAGTAACAAACATCCATACATACAAACTTTCACATTTTAAAATTAAAAAATAATACGGAATAATACGGATTACACCTTTTTTTTAAGTCAAAGTGTTTTTATTTGAGCTCTGTCGTGCTCTTAAGTCGTATAGTCAGATCGTAGACATAGATAGATAGCGGGCCGAGTGTTTCTTTGCCAGCCGTCAGCTAAAAATGGCGGATAGGCGCGACAGAGACAAAACGAATGTGCGGGCAGAAATGGGTCTTCTGCATAAATTAAAATACCTACGATTAATGAATATAGATATTTATAATCATATTACATTTCATTATAAAATTATAATATTTATAAAAGTATATAATAATATTATATTTTTTTACATTCCATTTATAAATTCAACTTGAAATTAAAGACAGGTATTGGCCGCACGTTTGTTTTCTCTCTTTCTAGAGAGTGGCCAATTTCATGAGAGTATTGCTTAGTCCATTAGTCTGTGATTCAGATTTAACTATAATTAGGTTTAGTTCCCGACTTGTAACAGCCACTCGCGAGCGACTGGAAATGGCGCAGATTTGTTGCATATCATATTAACGTTAACGAATTGCGGCCGAGTTCCAACAGCGCGTGGTCTCTCCATTTTGTACCGGCACTTACAGATGTGTCACACTTGGAGGAAGGCCAAATGAATAGTTCCATATGCAAAATAGATGATAAAAAAAGGAATATTTTTTTTGAGTTACCTTCTAATTTCTAAAGTACCTATATAACAGTTGTCTTTTATATTATGCAATAGTTATTTCCTTTGTGTGTGACAGACGCGCGGCCGTAATTTTTGTGAAAGAAAGCTGTATCACTTTAACGAAGTAAATAAGTTATTTTTATTGGCGTACCACACTAGTGAAACCGTGGAAGGATACGAGAAAGATGAATGTAATTTGGCTATAACCTCTATATAGAACAGAAAATAAAAATTATTGTTATGTGAATAAAGAATATAGTTATCTCGTACCTTAACCCTTTGCTTGTGTATCCGCACGCCCGTGCCCGGCGCCATGTCCAACAGGTCGCCGTTGGGAAGCTCGTCGATATTGTCATCGCTCCATACTTTAGACTTCATCATTTTTTTCTGTTCTTTTAATTTATTTTGTTTATTTTCGTTCGCATGAAGTTGTCGTAGTAGAGCTTTCGGAGTTAGAACGTCAACTTGCGTACTTAAGTATTCTTGAAATAATTTCTTATTTTTTTCAACGAATTGTTTGAATTTATCAATTTTCCTTTTGTTAACTAATTTAGAGGCAGTACTGGGTCTATATGTGTGCTGTATGTTCTGTACGATACCGGGGGAAGGTTTGTGGAGCGGCAACATCACTCCGTTAAGATTTTCAATCACACTTTGATTATGTACAGGAGGCATGAAATTAAGCCCGGGTGATAAGTTTCGTAATCTCGGAGTCTTGTATGTCACCATCTTGGAAGTACTTTTAGTACTTTTTAAATTTTCATTGTTAGCAGGTTCTTTATTAAGAAAGTCGTAATATTCATAGGATCGGTCATTAGTTCTTCTGAAAGTTTTCACGTTATTTTTAACGTTTACAACTTTGCTATCAAATACGACTGGAACAGTTTTAATAGTAAAGTCAAGTAGTTTATTGGTGATAATGAGCTTGCTCTCTGTTGTGAGGTCCTTGTAGTCATCATTGTTGCGTTTGAGATCTTTTTTTATTACTTCTACAAAGTTATTGGTCTTTTGCGTAGCGTTTGTGCGCAGTGAAGCTCTACCTGTAACTTTAGTGTAACATTATACATAAAATGTCAATAATTTGAAGAATAGTTAAAAACTTCGTTACAATTTTATTTATTTTCAAATTATGACTGTCGAATGAAGGTTGTTATATAGGTACCTTCTCAATAAACCGATTGATATAAATATAATACAAATTATTTAAAACATCATACTTTGTAAAATCTTTATTTTGTAACATTTATTGCATTAAAATACCTGCGTCGGAGCGAGTGACTGAAGCGAGTTCCACTTCACAAAGGACGACGGAAGCGGCGAGGCAAATGTAAACGTTCATATTGCATGATTTTAAAATATAAAAACAGCTTTCGAGAAAATAACTCGGTGAATAATAAAAATTTATAGCTAGAGAATAGAGTGCGCGATAAAACGCAGCGAAACGAGCACTTGCGCAATATTCGCCGAAGTGTAACTGCCGCCGCGGACGCTCATTTGCTGCCACATTTGTCAACTTGCTACCGATTCTTATTTATATATGTATACTTTAGCGACTTACCCTTGCTTCGCTCGGGCGCGCCCCTAGGTGATATGAATGGGTAACAAATTCAAATTCAAAATGGTTTAATCAGCATTAAATAATTACAATTTTTTACTGAACGTCATGAGTCTACTACCAGTTCGGAAAGAAGAAGCCTCAGTCCTGAGAAGAACTGGCGAAAGAAACTCAGCGGGACTAATATTAACTCGTTATCTTTTTTTAAAGTTAAATTATAATTTACAATATTTCTATCAAGTTGAAGTAGCCTGGAGGCGATCATTTCAGTTCCAAGGCGTGCCATCATCTATAAAATCATTTTCATCATTCATCACAAGCAAATACACTTCACATTTATAAGTAGTAGTCCGATGATACCGGATACAGTTCAAGTTGCTAACAGACACAACTTCCATCTGTACTTAGTTTTGTACACGACGCACTTCCTAAATTTTTAAATATTCTGTAGGCTGTATTTAGACATCTCCTGAAATTTCAATCACAGTAAATAAATATACTAAAAATGAAATGCTGTTTGTTGGTAAGCGCTTCATTTGAAAATCGCTGGAGTGATTTGTCTATTTTTTGTAAAATATAATAATCACAGTAAGTTTTGGAAAAAAAATCGAAAAATCATCAAACATAGAAAATACTGAGAGAGCTTTTTTCTATACGATTTTTGTAACCTCAAGGATCATAAATTTATTGAAATTGGTTCTGCAGGACAACGTCTGTCGGTTTAGCTAAACTATAATAAAATAAAGTAGTGACCGCTGTATTTTGTCGGACGTTAAAAATAAATATCTTATGTAAATACACTATTTGTATATTAATAGTTAAAAGTAATTGTTACCACGAACATAACTAATACAAAAGCGCACTCTGTAAACTTATAATTTATTTGCTTTTTATCGGCCGTAGTACCTGGAGCTATATATTTAGACTTGCGCCATTGGGCATCAGCTCTACCTCAATTTGTATTTTATACGTACGGATACAATATATATTATACGATTGCGGAATCAACTGAATATATCCATTGTATATTATGTACGAGTTAGGTTTACTTTGAATTTGAGCAACATTGTTTTTTAGTTCTTAAGTAGATGTAACAATTGAACAAATATTTATTATATGACGGCCAAGCTTTTAAAATCAGATTTTTACATTTAATGCCTAAATATAATTCTGCTATTTATGTATTAACTACCTTGCCACGTATCTAATCACGTCGAGTTTATACTTTTCAATTTAAAGATAAATAAACATTGAGACAAAAATATTAATATCTATTACTCCATACAATATTCCTAAATGACTAAGTGAGCGTTCCTGGTGTAATAGAAAATTTAGTAGTAGTTTCATCATCTGGTGCAGCTTCAGGATCGCTGGTGTTGACCGGAGGAGGAGGAACCTCTTCATCATCGGCCACGACCTCGCCAGGGTCTCGCATGTATTGCCTCCGGGATGGCGGCAGCCGCAGTTCTGGTATAGGACCTTTGTCGAGATTAACAATTGCAAACTTCTCTGCGCCCTCTTCTTGGACGAGACGTGGTTGGTTATGTCGTCGATATGGATGTTTGAGCTACAATTATAAAAAATAACATTGTTTCGTCACTGTTTGCTGCAGTCCTAAGCGTTAGACTTATTTCGACTGGGTTTTTAGTTACGTTTACCTACTATTTACCTCAAATACACGAAGAGTGTATGGGGGTTACATATACAAGTACATGTGTATGTCTGTATGTACATGCTAAAGCCGTGACGTACTAATCATTGAAGATGATCTAATTGTGAACACATTTGCAGGTTTGGGGTTCTATCCTATATAGCAACCACCAACCGCCGTAGCTGAGAAACATCGCTTTCTGTTTATTTTGTTGGTACTTAATAAATATAATAATTACCTTCAAATATCTATATTTCACTGTTGATTTCACATCATTTCTCATATTTTTGTGATGATTTTCATTCTGATACTTTTTTTTAGGTTCCGGGACTAATTTCTGATCGTCCATATAATAGAATAGATCTTTGTTAGATACTACGTGCTGTGCTTTTATAGGCTGTTCTTTCTTTGAAGAAATATTAGGCATTTTTATTTTTTGAATATTACTAAGATTTGGTATATAAAAGTTTTTTCTTGATATTTCTTTATAATATTCTCGTTTTTGTTTCTTATAATGATTCTCCTTTGATTGCTTTTTGCTGTGATGTCTTGTAACTAACACTTCACCGTTTTCCTGTGATTTAACAAGTTTAGAATTCGCTCTCATTTGTAATTCCGTTTTGGTGTCGTCTTCTAAAGAATAGTCAGAGTTGTCTCGCATCAGTTGACGCCTCAAATTCCTTACGAGTCCGTTTGAATCATTTATTTCATCTGGTTGAATATAGAAAAGTTAGAAAAGTTTAACAGTAAAAATTAAAGTACCTATCAGTAACCAAAGTATTACATTACCGTTCTCATTCGGAAAAGCCATAACACTGAAAATCACTACAACTAGATTTACAACCAAAAACATTATGCGCCATTGAATTTAAAGATTATTTGAAACATTATGTTTTAAAGAGAAATCAATATTACAATACATTTGATTCTGAAAAAAGAGAAAGATTTTCGTGATTACATATAAAGTATAAACACACTTTTATTAATTTGAGAACAATAATAAAATAAAGGCCATATCTCCATTAAGCCACTCGCACTGATGAGTGATCATGTTTTATGCAGAGGATATACTCGTAGTACGTATAGTAGCTACGTAGTGTGCAATATTTTAAGCAAGTGAATTATGAAAATTAAATCGATTAATATATTTTAACTTCTCTCTCTCGGCTTTGTTGCGTCGCTCCTCGACGGCTTCGGTGTATTTAATATTGATGTTTTTAATTTTGTTTATTCATGTACAATTTACGTACTTTTAATATGCCCCGCGCAAATACGTCGTGCGTCCAATAACGTATAAAGGTTGCGTCGCGAGCCGCGCGGACTCCAAATAAAGAACGGTCTGATTTCATTTTAATACAAAGCGATAAACAAACGATAAGCCGCAAATGTTCTGTACCCACTTGCCTAACGCCGTGGTCCTGACTCGGCCTGCCGCGCCACGCGCTCCACCGTTTATGAGGTGATTTGTTTTTTATACTAGAGATTTAGCCTCGCTTTTCTTAGGTTACGCTCTGGTTACGTTTTATAAAGATAAAAATAGGTTTTGTGAGCGTGCCTTAGAATATAGACACATGGTATCGCCGATTATTCTATGGTACACTTTTTCAATGATTATAAAAAAATGTAGTTAACTTACTTATCGATTTTTCCAGTTTTTTTTTTCATTTTTAAGGGTGTATTTACAGGACGACCGTACTGTTTTTATTTCTGCAAAAAGGAGAGTGCAGGATGAAAAAATGAGCCCTATCTGAAAATTAAACGACATTTTTTTTTAAATGTAAACATTGACTTGAAACTTGAAATTGGGAGTGATTTTAACCCTCCCGAGACCATACAATATAAATTTCTCGAAAACGACTAAATATTTCAATGTCAAAAAAAATGGTTATTATATATAATACATATATGTATTTTGAAGATTATATTCCCCTAGTTTCATGAAAATCTATAATTTTTTGCAGAAATTAAAAATAAAAAAAAACAAGAAAAAATTAATAATCGTTTTTTTTTGGAAATATATCGAAAACTTTAAGGTTATTGTAAAATTCGTAGATTTTTACTAGACTTACAACTTTTGTAAAGCATATTTTTCGATAAAATGTCACAGCAAGCAGCGTCTTACATGCCCCCATTTCTCGTGGGTAGGTGGACAGCGGGAGCGTTTAACGGATTTTTGTTCCTTATATACCTGCTAAAGTTTTAAAGCCATCAAACTTAAGGTCTTGATTATTTTTTTAAAAGTCATTGTTTTTAAAAATATATCATGTACAGATTTTGCTAAGTTACAATTTTATTGTATTTCAGGCTCTGACCAACATGTATGTCTTGTTTTGTCTGTTCTGTAGGTCCTGATTTTACAACGAATCGCTCTGTTTCTACATGTAATCATATTAGTGTTTTTTCCTCCTTTTTACCGATCATTCAATATATAACGTGTCTTCTCCATTCTACGCGACATTGGCGTAGTAAATTGTGCCCAAAGGCACTCCTAGAAGCCACGAAACTAACGAATTGAATTCACAAATTCTTTTAGTCCATCAGACGCCTGTATTTAACATCCATTCTATTGGGTGTACTATATATATTTATTACATAGAGGTCTTTCTTAGCCCTACTATCCTGTAAACAAAAAAAATATTTGGTGTCTTGCAAACCATGTCGTATTACACAAAGTCCCACAACTTTGAGATCTCCATATACTTTCTAATTCATATTTGATGAGCTTAATCAATGTTGTCATTGTCTCATAAGATGTCTTTGAATTTACTGCATGTCCTATGAGAATAGACAGCTTTTAGTTGCTATTATATAATAATACAGCATTCAAAATTACTTTTGAGGAATCTATGAATGAACGCCATTCTTTAAGGTCGTATGGCTGTACACTTGAAAAGACTACAAACATAACAGAAATACTATTATCTATCTTTTGATTCAAAATACTCAGCAAATAGAAGTTTTTGTAAGCCAAAAGTAGCACTCCGTAGCACGTGGTTGGTTCTCCCCATAGCATCGCAACTCCACATTGCAAGTATTTTTTTAAATCCTGCAGCCTAATTCGTTAATATACTTCTTTAATTCCCATATACCTACTGCTTTTGGAACGAATTTTTTATTGAGGTTTGTTACCGAGATTTGAAAACATTGGAGGCACGAGTACGCCCGTTTTACTGCTTCTGAGATTGGTATATTCACGTTTGTTAGTATAATTTTACGACAAACAGCAAAAGTTTTCTATATGTAATTTGTTGAACAATTCATTTCTTTTAAAATGAGTGTATCCCTTGAAGACATTCTAAAACAAATAAATTAATTATTTAATTGTCAAACAAATAAGTTGAATTAAATTGTCATTTAATGATTACACTGGCACGTGTGAAGCATTAAATTAATCGAGTAATCATACACCAAAATGCCTTGATTTATTTTGGAAAAAAGCTGATACTCTTACACTACTGGACCGATATTAACCAAACATAGCTAAGAACCACCGCAAGGAAACTTGCTTTCAAATGAAAAAAATCGCACCGAAATCGCCCCATCAGTTTAAAAGCTACGATGCCACAGATAGACACTCACACACACACAGACAGGCATCGACGTCAAACTTATAACACACCTCTTTTTGCGTCGGGGGTTTAAAACAATAACAAATGATGTCCACAAATGATTTTGCTTCTAAACTTCTTATTCTTCAAGTTTTTTTAATATACCTACTTAATGCCATAAATATGTGTGTTCAACATTTTCATAATAACAGGTCAGAAAATAAATTCGATATAAATTATGTTTGAATAATTTTCTATAATAATTAAATATTCCTACAAGAGAATACAGTTGTCAGTTAGTATTTGTATATTTACGAAAAGTTTTAACGGAGTTTTTCTTGTAGTATGTATATAGATAAATTATATTATTTATTGAATTAAAAAAATAATAATAAATCGTGATGTGGACTAAAACGAGATATTGGAGTGGCATAAAGAAACGCGAAAATTGCCATTTCTATCATTGGTAGGTTTTCGGAGCGAAGCATTCGGATCTTGAAAACAAAATTGATATCTCAAATCAATCAATATTGTTATTGCGGTCGGATGGATCGCGCTCTTTTGTACGTTAAAAAATAAATGGGCGACATTTTTCTGTATCGTCCGCGTATTTCATTCAAACGATACAGCGCTGTCTCCTTTGGGACGTGTGGGGGGTGAGGGGGGCAGAGGCGAGGGGGTTGCGGGGGTCGCGATATAGGAGGGGATAAAAATTGCTTTACAAATGGACAACATTTGGGCACGGTCCCAGATAAATGGTGGGTGTTAGTTTTTGTGGATTAGTAAAGAAATATTGTATCTGTAATGTTTAAACGGTCTCAGTTTTAACTTTCAGTGAATAAATTGCATGATTAAATTTATTTATTGGCTACAAATAGGCTTCGAGCGCGCATTTATAAACGTTTGTCAGCTACTTTAGTTTAATTTTAGATATTTCATTTGGGATTTGAAGCAATAGGTCGTATGGCGGCGCGCCAACTCGCCTACAATTAGCTCTCTTACACGAAGAGCTTAACTTGAGTGAGTGATAAGGGTGCGTCTTGGAGAGAAAACGTGCATTACGCTACGTGAGAAACTACTGCAGAGGCAACACCGGCTTCAAGACGTGTATATGTAGAAGATGTTAGTTATACTATGAAGTACATGACAATCTGTTAAGTTGGAAAAGTAACACGTCGTATATGTTGACCCAGATAACCAGCTGTCACCATACCAAATTTCATCAAAATCCTTCCAGTGGTTTTTTTGTAATGCGGTAACAGACAGACAAAAATTCTAAAAACTATAGACTCTACTCGATATTTCTACTCGATAATAATGTTTATTTCAATAAGATTTTCTAAAACATATTTAATGTACAGATTCGGCTTAGTTGCAATTTTATTATATGTATAGATTATATTCACTTTGTGCTGGACTCAAATATGCACAAAGCAAGCTTGCTTTTTAATAATAAAGCGATAAACATTTTTTTTTATTTTAAAAATCAAGTTCATGCTACAAAAATCCTTACAACTTTTACGACAATATAGACAGTCAATATTTTTTTCTAACTTAGCAACATAATGATACTAATTTGTACCTTTATTTTGCGGCCAACATTGCCTCGACGTCTATATTCTTGCTGAGATATGCGTTTACCTGACTGGTCATTCCGAAATCCCCTTTTTATGTAAACAAAAATAACACCAAAAACGAACGCGGTAGAGACTAAAATTGACTGCGATGTGCTATCACAACTTAGTCGTTAGACATTTAAGTTTTTAGGGACCTGTAAATAAAATAAGGGAACCCTTATAAATTGCTTAAGACGCGGCCTTTTTCTTAAGCCCATAATTCGAACAATTTTGCTTCGATTGGAATGAAAAGTTATGCGAGCTTTAAGGAAGCAAGATGAAGTCCTGATCTTAATATTCGAATGGTTTGCCGCTACACTGAGTCATTTAATTTTATATTAAGCCTGTAAAATAAAGGAAGTATGACAGGGAGTTGGTGTGTTTTGTTTGACTGAACAATCGCTATCAGGGTCCAACTGGGGAATGTGGCAAGCCGGCGGACGACGGCCGCGCGCTTTGCAGATATGACTTGTTAGATATGAGTGCAATAGAAATGTGTATTTGATTTTATTTTATAGTTTTATTTATTCCGCTCTTTTGCTATTTAATGTTGAAAATCATTTTAAATTTCGATGAGATCATTCAATTTTCTTCTATTAACTTACATTAGAGTAACAAATGAAAAAATGAAGTTATTTTTTTATTCT